TTACTTATCCCATCTCCATCACCATCAAGAACTTTCATCACCATTATCGTCATTCTCTCTTCTCTATCTTTAATTTTAACAACTTAATACTATTTATCCTCATTGGGATCACTTCACCCTCAATGTTACCTACCTTGTATTATTCATCTTCATTGAGATCACTTTGTCCTCAATTTTGTCTATGTAATATTATTAGTTATCATTGAGAAACCTTCATCTTCAATTTTTCCTACCTAGTATTATTCATCTTCAATCTCATCTTCCCTGATTTTGCTTGATCTTGTTCATCCTCATCCACTCTAGGAGCTAGGTCATATTCATCTTCTATAGTTTGACCATCATCTCTTCTCTCTATCAAAGCCTTCGAGCTTCATTAGGATGTCTATTAGGCCTTTCATTAAGGTTTCTATCATCTTAAGAGTTTTTTTCTTTTTCATTTCCTCATCATCCTCACTCTTGTTCTCATCAAATTCCCCTCATTTCAAGTTCTTTTTCATTAGCTGTGAGGCATTTCAAATTAGTATCATTTTTTAGGTCAATGACATCATCCTTCAATTTTGAGATCACTATTACCTTACTTGGTGCCTTCCACTCTCTCTCTACTATAATTTTCAATCTCTTGATCTTTTGATCTTCATTTATATTGGACTTGAATTGTTTGGTATTGCACTTGTTCATCTTCTTCATAATGGGCTTAGTTTATTTAGTCTTGATCTTTAGTCTCAGTCTTCATCTTATCTCTTCTTTGATATCAAGTTAGGGTCTTTATTCCTCAATATTAAGTCTAAGTTTTTTCATATTAAATTTGTTCTTGAGCTTGTTCCCTTCTCATCTTAATCTTATTAAGTTATTTGTCGCAAGTCTTCATACTATTGGTCTTGTTTTGGTATTATACTTTGGATTTTAATTTCCTTCTTATTTGATCATTCTTTAGTTGATCTTTTTGAACCTTATTTCCTCCTTTGATCTGTTGGTGATCCTTGTTGGATCTTACTCTCATTGATCTACTTTCATATCATGATTAATCATTCTCTTAGTTGACTTATAATCTCCTCTTTTTTACTACTCATTTCTTGACTAGAAAAAAAGGATCCAATAACTCTGATGGTTAAACTAGTTATAATTTTTCAACATATTACATTTTAGAACTAAGAGTAGAAATTGATCATATGAATTCAAAATATTTTAAATATCAATCCTTTATCCATCCCTTGATGGTTCTCTTACTTGATATCTCTCATCTACTCAGGCTTCTTGCTCTATGCCCTCTCTTCTCTACTTCTAATCCCCTAGTATGATTTATTCCTTGATAGAAAAAGATTGAACAATTTTCGCTTTTATAGATTTCAAATAAAGATCTCTATGAATAAAACAACAAAAGTTTACAATAATTATTTTTCATTTAATTTTTCTTTTCAAATTATTTTAGGCTCACAAATATGGTCGTGTTTAGTTGAAGACAAATACATTTGATCAATTACAACATCATGAGTGTGAGGGAAATGTTAGATATAGTCATAATATGAGCTTTGTCATATCTTAGTTAATGGGCTTAAGATACTTAGTTTATGATGTTTCTATATTTTGGGTCCTTACTATGTTTTTAGGTTTATTATCTTTTAATCTTTATAATGTTATATCAAGACAATATCATACTTAATTATTTATAGATTTTTGTTCTTCAGTTGTGTTGTCTTACTTCTTTGTGTCATTTATCTCTATTTCTCTTGTGAATATAATATCATTACCTTATTTCTCCATATTTACTAATATATTAAAAAAATGATGCAAGTAAGAGAACATTGATTGAAATAGAGAGAAGTATCTTCTATCATCAAAAATAGAGGAAAATAATAATAGAACATAAATCCTCTATTAATTGACTTAAACCCTTTAAATCGTAAGAAAACCTTACATATATTTTCTCAAAATATCATCAATATGTTATATTATACTACAACTTAGGAATACCAACACTCCCCCTTAAGATGAAATATCTTGATTAAGTCATTAATAGTCACATTGTTCTTAGAATTGTGATGATAGTTAAGGCTAAACAAAAGTAAAAGATGTCAACAATGAATTATGGTGACAATAAGAAGGTGATGATCATGCCATCAACTCTCTTAGTAATGATGTTAGAAAGCTCCTTCAATATTGTGACTTAGGGACTTTTTCATTAGGTAATGATGTCATATGATGCTGAATTGTATGAGACGGTGTTAGACTACATGGGACAACATATAATAGAGGAGAGGCAGCACTCAATGAATGATGATGTTGAACAAAGTAGGGACAATGTTGAATGAAGAAATGACAATAGCAAATGACATAGATTATGACAACATGAATAGTGCATCATATGCAAATAAGATAATGTAAAATAGGGAATGACCATATTATGTAAAACAAACTGATACCCTATCATCATAAGACCTCACCTCATTATTTTCTCATTGATGTGAGGACATCAAGCCAATATGAAATGAAAATATTATGGCAACAAAAACTTTAGGGAGATTGAAAAAAATGATGAGAATAGTTCTATGGTGAATGAAATCCTAAAACAATAGAAAAATAGATCACAATGGTAATTGTGATGTTGAAGAACTACAATTTGATGGTGGTCTAAGTCCCTATTTCAATAATATTGTCTCACTAAGACAATAACTTGAGCCAGTAGAAAGAATTAGAAGAAAATAGACCATGTAGTGAGGCTAGATGAGGTAAAACTATATATGATATCATCAAAAGAGGAAGAAGATATCAAGATGGCATGAGACAATGTCTTAATTGAAAGAAGATGTTGGAGTATGACAACTAAGAATGGTCTAGGATGGCTAAATGATGCAGGATGTTGTCAAAGGCTTTAATACCATGGTATAAGATAACATTGATTGAAATATAAGAAAGCTTACTATGTTATGGAGGATAAAGATGAGAAATGGTAAAGACTACTTCCTTTATTCATTAACTTTTAACACCCTTTAAATAAAAAGGAACATATATATATATATATATAATTATTTCACAATACCTCAGTCTTTTATAACATTGCATATGAATTAGAACTTTCAACAATCTAAAATACTTAGAAACAATAAATTTTTAAAAAAAATAGTTTTGAAAATTTATCATGAAATATAATACAAAATTATATCATTCTCCACATAGCACCATGACCCCAATCAAAGTTGAAATAATTATTGATTTCATTAGTTGTAATTAATCTTCAATTAGGGCCTATGTCATGTTTTTTTTGAAGTACTTACATATGACATCAAACTAACTACTCTTAGATTATAAAATCTTTAGATGATATGTTATCAAGTATTGCACAATTAATTGTGATCCTATCCATAACTTACACAAATGATTAATTGACTTGACTTCTACAAATGATATTTAGAAATCATCCTCTATAGCTATGTGATGTTTTAAGATAGACTAAATATTAAAACCATAGCCTAAATCCCTGCCACATTTCCTAACTATAAAGTGAAAAAAATGAAGAAAGACATAAACATAAAAGACTCTTAAAACTATTCATTGAACAAAGACCATGTTGATGCCACAGAACAAAGTCAAAATCAAGATTGACAAGCATTCCCATAAAAAATGTAAGAATTACTTATATGATTGCCTTTGCTTAACTCTCCATTTTGTCTTTAATTTTTTAGTATACATCTTTCTCTCTCCATTTCTTCCTCCCTTTTAAAAATAAAATATAGAACTGCCACATGGTAGTCAATAGAGATATGCATCACTATAGAGTCCAATCAAGCTTATAAGCCCAATGTTAGTAACAAAGGGTAATTAGTAAATAACCCTCTCATATTATGTAAACTTCATAACTAATTCAGTGGAAAGGTGAAAATAGAAGAGTAAGCTTTCTATGTGATTTGAAAAGTTTAAAGAATTATTTATTGTATATTGACCATAAAAACAAGGCCAAACCCAAGAGACGTTCCACTAGTAAAATCCACTAGCCACAAGTTTAGATATGGGTTAATTTTAAATTTCATCATATTGATCCTTCAAGATGCTTGCTATTTCCAGGCTGCTAAGTTTTCCAATCTCCATTGAATTTAGAAATGGTTTTTTGAATCTACAAAGAGAGAGAGAGAGAGAGAGAGAGAGAGAGAGAGAGAGAGAGAGAGAGAGAGAGAGAGAGAAATTACATTATTAAGATAAAAAATGTTATTTTTATGCAATGCCTCCTTAAATAAGTAAAAACCATCATCAATCCCTTTAAAAATGAGATATGATAAATTTATAGCAATGTCCCTTCACTAGATTTAAAGGAAGTAGTATCTAACTCTGTGAATATATATATATATATATATATATTGCAATATTACAAGCCACTTAAAGGATCCTGTTTTACCATTTTTATTTTATGCATTAAGGCCTCTTAGGGTTGAACTTTTTTGCCTCCCATTTCCTGCAACAATATTTTACATCAGTTTACATCTTATGATATCTCATTGCTTAATCTTCATTAACATCTAACATAAGAAATTTGTGTTGAGTTGTAACTCAAGAGCTGTTATAAATTATAGCTTCTCAATTAACCAATTTGTACCTCTAAAGATGTGGTCATCCCACGGGGGTAGACTTGGCCAAGACCAAGTGGATTTAATGTTTTTTTTTTTGCAAAATCCCTCTATAAAAGATAAATTAAATTATAATTATAATTTTTCCTCATATATTTTATTTTCATATTTTCTGGAAATAATTAATATATATATATTACACCAAAAATAGGGGAATCTTATTACGGCCATGGGACAGGGAACATAAGCTTCTCACATCACCATTCTATTAAAGCCTGGAAATTGCGACCTGGAAGCTAAGGACCAATCTTCTCTTCAGTATTAAAAAAAATAAAATCGAAAGGCCCAAGCTTTTATTTTATTTTTTTAAAAGCGAAATAATTCACAGATAAAGGGTTAGATGCTCATGGGACCACAGAAATGCAGAGGAGAAACCACATGTCGTCATGAAGAGGTGCCGATGTCCTTCCTGAGGACGAGCGCCCCTGAGGGGCCCTTATCGAAGAGATTCTCCAGCAACTGTTCCCAATTGGGCTTCCTTGTCAGCCTCGGACTGGCGGCGCTCGACGCCGCCGTCTCCTCCGCAGAACCGGAAGGTCCCTCCGGCGGCGCCACCGCATGGGGTATCTTCAGGGTCACCGCCCTCACCAGTGCGGCCTTGTGTTCCTCGGCGAACGATTCTTTCCTCTCCATCCTCTGCGTCGCCGGCGGCGCCGCCTCCATTCCCTCCTTCATCAGCTGAGAGAAAACCAGGGAGCAGAGCATCTTGTCAGAGAACAACAGTGAGAAGAGGATAGTTCTTCGCCGGAATATGCTGCCGACACTTACATCCAATGCCTTCTGCGATTCCTTCTCAATCCAGAGGATGCCGTGATCTGATGTCGCGTTGCAGGAGAGCACGATGTGCTCGAACCTGCCCTCGACTGGGATGGCGGTTCTCACCTTCGGAGGAACCCTTCCGCATCTGCCCATGGTTTCGTCTTGGAAATCAGTCCTGACAGATCGCCACCGCCGAGGAAACAGGGATTCACAGCAGGAAGCTACGGGCAATAATGGGGGATCCCCCTACCTGCAGAACTTCCTCTCAACGATGTGAAACATCCGTCCGGGAGCGTAGAGTCTCCTCGGATCTCTGAGCTTCCTTCCCTCCGGTATGAAGGTATCTCTGATGCAGACCCAGAACAGCAAGCACGGCAAGCTGCCCAGAGCACGAAGAACGGTCAAGAAATGTTCTGTGTTGGTTCATAATCGGACGAATTGCGGGAAGAAAAGAGGGTAGGGCCCGCGGAATCGACGGAACTCACCAGAATATCGAACTGAAGATGTCCTCCAACGGTGTCGCCGTTCTCGGCAAGAAATCATCCTGTGAATTGCAGAGACAACACGGATCAGTCGTCATTTGAACGGACTGTCTTCTTCCGAGGGATGCTGGTCGGCTTCATAATTGATTGATTTCTTCCGCAAAATGTTAAGATTTAGCGCGGTCTGGATTGTGAATCTAGCACGGTGGAGAAGAAGGGAGCAGAGAATGTGCCCGCCTGGAGGACGATGGAGTAGATCACGTCGGCGTACTTGACGGCGAGGTTGAGGGACATAGACCTGGCGGGCGCCACCGCGTAGCACCGGACCTTGCTCCGGGGAATCCCTCCGACACAGTGGCCGTGGTTGACGACGAGGATGGACATCAACGCCGCCACGCCGGAGCCCAGCGAGTGGCCGGCGAAGACAAGCTTGTATTCCTCGCCGTAGCGCTTCCAGATCTCCGCTAGGGTTTCGGACTCCCGATTCAGCAGCCAGCTGGCCGACCTGAGCAGGCCGTGGTGGACGTAGCCGCCGTCGAACATCTGCATCCCGAGGCTGTTGTTGAGGAGGAGGGCATAGTCGCTCTCACGCCGTAGGTTGAGGCCGCGGATGGAGAAGACGATCTCGCGGTGGTGGTGATCCGTGTAGATGAGGTACGGCGGCGAGCGGCCGCAGGTCTGCTCGTAGGTGACGCGCTTGACGACGCAGGAGGGGTCGAGGTGATAGCCGCCTGGCGGCGGGAACTGCGGATGAGCGAGGTCGTCCTCGTAGACGGCGAGGATCAGGCGGCAGATGCGGGGCACCGGCTCGAACTCCGCCGGATCCGCCGGCGGCCAGGTCTCGCTGTCGTAGGATCCGACGTAGGTGCATCGCTTCCAAATCCAGCGGGAGCAGCCGACGCAGAACACGCACTCCGCTCCGCATGCCAGCGACATTCGTCCTCCGCCCTGTTCCGATCAAGTCGGAACCAACTACTCTCCGGCAGTCACAGCGCTCTGAAGAAGAAGAAGAAGAAGAAGAAGAAGAAGAGGAACCCTCGAACTGTGTGCCCTTTTGGCTAGGTCCGACAGCTCGAACTGCGTGCCCTTCGTTCCTTCCTCCCTTCTCCGATCTTCATCCTCACGTCTGGAAAGAGGGAATCGCGTCAAAAGATGGCCGCCGGAAATAATAAACTAAGGGGAAATCTCCTGATCCTTTCTCCGGCCACCGCCATCCCAGCTGTTGCCGCTTTTGTGGCGCAGAGCTTCCGTGGGGATCCATCCTTGCGTAGGTCTCGAAGCCTGGCTGGTCTTCGCGGCCCTCCAGCGTCCTCCCCGCGTTTCCCAGCGTCCTCCCCAACGACGAAGATCTGATCGATCCTTAGACGATCGGAGCAATTTCGAGCTTCGGAATTTCTCCCATCGTCGACACCAGAACGCGGGATGAATCCCAGTGATTCCGAATTCCACCGCGTGGTTGACCGTTCCAGATCCGTTCTTCCATGAGAGCAAGCGAATTGGAGACGAGATGACGGCCGCAGGGCCACCGGTCACCCTCTGTGGGATGATTGACGCCACAGAAGCAGGGAAGAAGGCGGGAGGAACAACCACCCACTGGAAAGGGACGTCGATTGCTGCCTTCTGGAAGGATCCGCCGATTCTCCGGTAAAGACTCCGTTCGTTGGCTCCCGATTTCAAAATTCTTCATTCCCTCAGGTTGCATCAAATTTATTTTTATTTTTATTTTTCTAAAAATATTGTCGGGAAATTCCAGAAGTCATTCCACAGAACGCATTTTCGGAATGAGGAGCCCCCTAGACCTCGGATTCTCTGGGCTGGGGCCTCCACTAATTGCAAATGGGCCCCATATTCCTGCCACGTGGCATACTCCTCTCTCCATAATGCAGCCAGTGAAGAAATGAAAGGGCCTCCCAATGGGCCGGGCCCACTATGGCTCACAGCGTCGCCATCCGTAAAAGAGGACGACAAGTGCGAGGCATCACTACCCTAAGCTGTCCCCCAGGTGCAAGATATGACATCGGGAAGGAAGGGGGGTAAAAACTGACAGTTCCACCGACCCCTACAGCAGGCATGGCAATGCGAGGGGGGACTTTTTGAAAAGAGATCGAGACTCTGAGGGGCAGTATATTATACTACATTTATTAAAGGGGGAAAATGCAATTGTGCCCCGATCAGTAGGAACCAGCAGTACTGCGCGCAGGTTCTTCGTCCATCGTCACCTGCTTCTTCTGCTTCTACCCATCGCTGCCGCTGCAGATCCCGGTGAGCAGCACCGGCAGCCTCCCCAGAGAGCCCGTTTCCGCGCGGTGGGGATGCGGCGGCGGGGGGAGGACACGGCCGCCGTCGAACAGAGGGCCGCCGCCTACCGCCTCGTGCTCCGCCTCTCCCCCGCCGCCGTAGAAGAGGTGGGCCTCCTGCTCACCGGCCAACTCGCCGCCACTCAGCCTCCGCTCCACCTGCAGGAAGTCGGCGAGCGAGGTCGGGGCCATGTCCTCCCCCCTGCACAGCTTCCACCACCTCCTCCTCCCCGCCGTCCTTCTCCTCCCCCGCTGCCTCCCCGCTCCGCCGCCGGCGCCCCTCTCCGCGCCGCCGCCGCGAGACAGGAGTGCCACCGCCGGCGGCCGAGCGGCAGGCGTCTCTATAAGGCTGACGCCCATCAGCGTGCCGAGGGTCGTGCTCCGGTCGGGGAAGAAGGACCCCGTCGACTGCAACAACAAGAGATCAACGCAAGAAACTGCAGCGGCGGCGGCAGCAGAGAAGGAGGGATGGATGGAAGGAAGAAAGAAACAGGAGGAGAAAGAAGAACGCCATGGGCGGCCATTACAGGGTCCCTTCCCAGTGCTCCTCACCTCGGTGTCCAGGTCGGAGGAGGAGGGCGACGAAATAGTGGGCGAGGAGGGGATGACTTCTCCTTCGCGAGCCATGGCGGCGCCACCGCCGCTGCTGAAAGAGGGTGGAAGACGGTGGAAGCGGAGAAGGGATCTAAAAGAATGGAAGCTGAGAAGACGGGAAGGAGGGGAAGTGGGGCCCCCTCACAGTCTGCGAGATGCTCTGAGAGTTTCTCTCTCTCTCTCTCTCTTCCCGACCGTCCATCTTTCCAAAAGCTCGGGGGGTGGGGGGGGGACCTCCCCGTTTGACCTCTCCAAGTCTTAGAACCCTGAACCCACCCTCCTCTTCCTCGCCCCGCTCCATTAGATTAGATCAACTTAATGCTCCCTCCCAAGAGACTGGAAACACCCAATGTTCCTGCTGACTTTTTCAGTCAACCCTATTGTCTGACGAAGTCGTCGACCCCGATGTCAACGATCCCACACAGTTCCGGAGAGAGTAGAGGTATCCTTTCTCTGGGAATCAGCCGCCAGCTCACGGTTACTACCATAAGTAGAAACTCAGTAATGAGTTTCCTAAAGCAGAGAGATGGCTCTGGAGTCTCCCCTGAGCTCAAAGTGGGGACATGAATAGTTCTTATAAGGGAGGGTCGTGTTGAATTTTCAGGCCATTCTAAAGAGAATAAGAGAGAGAGAGAGAGAGAGAGAGAGAGAGAGAGAGAGGAAAGAGGCAACCAAGTGAGATGTCGTCCTATTAGTAGTTGAGCTACGGTTGACTTTTTCTCAACTTCCCTAACCTTCAGAATCCCCTTGGAAGGGTCAATTTTACATTGGCTATCTGTCATTTTACCTAAAATTATTGGAATTAATCATAAATTAAGTTGATGTACAGCTAAAAATCACAGGCAAAAAAGTCAACGGAAAGAAGGTCTTCATATTTGACCTTCTTAGAAAATAGGTCTGGTTCCAAGAATTTTCAATATTTTCGGGGTCTAAAGAAAATCCCACATCTTTATAGGGGTATATTCATAAAACTACCCCCCATCATCGATATTGCCGTCTCTGTAGGGGTCTCGGCTGAAGCGAATGGGGCGCAGTATGGGCCCCACAGGTTCTGTCGGATTCAGACCGGCCGACTTGACCAACAGTGTCGAGACGCGCCTCTCCGTCTTCTGCGACGTTTTTCTTTTTTGTTTTTAAGTGGAACGGCGCGGTTTCCGTCCCTGGCCAGGCGGCCCGACCGGGGTCTTCGAAGGGACTTTTCAATAAATTTCCTCGACAAATATTGCAAAATAGTCCAAAATAGTTTTTACATTATTTACTGCACCGCATTAAAGTTCCGAATATGTTTTAACACTCTGGCAGATGCAAGCAGAGCTCCGAGCTCAGTGAATGGGCCGAACCCATTTCCCAGCGATGAATGGGATCCAGTAAGAGATTTATGGGCCGGGCTTCCCACTACGACCCTCTTTCTCTCTCTCTCTCTCTGTGCTGTCGTGTACCTTCATCTCCACAAGAAATAGCAGCAGTCAACCTCACATTTGATGATGGGATGCCCAGTGATTTAACGCAGGGGTTGACTTTTGGTGATACGTGCTGGTAGCTTGACCTACAATTCATTAGGATGTCATCGGTGCCCCCGCACTGGGTTGACTAATAATGATCCCGCATTTTAAGTAACATGCACGTGAAGCCGAATCGATAGATTTCCCGTTCTGGATGGTCACAGTGATCGAGAGCATTGATGATAGCCATTTTCTTCAACTCCTCCCCCCTTTCCGTGGAAGGAAGGGGGACCATTTTCTTCATTCACGAGTGGCCGCCGGGGGTGAACCCCCTTTCATGGCTGAACAGCAGGCGGGCGGCGAGCTCCTACCAGTCTTTCGCTTGACTCTTTAATGCGTGGGACGACGGGCTTCATGTGAACCAGAGGAGAGGACCCCCGCTGCCATCTGCTACCAACAAAGAAGGAACCCACCTCCTCTCCCTCTCGTCCGACGAAGAGTGGGCGAGCTTTGACGAGAAATTTCGCTCACTTTAGAGCGAGAGAGAGAGAGAGAGAGAGAGAGAGAGAGAGAGAGAGATGCAGAAGAAACCAAAGGATGATCACGGACGCATTCCGGGAAGAAGGAGAGAAGAAGAAGAAGACCAAGAACATGGAAACACGTTTCTTCGAGCTCCAACAATCTCCGTCACACTGTAAATTATGCGGCATGGGGGACTTCGTCCTTCTTCCTCCTACCTGATATGCTCACGAGGGAGATATGACGGAGAGATATCTAGGGTGGGTGGTGGGGAGACTATGCATGATGGAGAGAGATGATCGTCGCCGCCTCGCCGTCAACGGGCCACGCCGACGAGGCTGTTCACCAGCGCCAGCGCGATGCTCGTGTACCGCCTCGCCCGCCGCACGTGGCGGGCAACGTCGGCCTTCATGAACACGTCGCCGCCCGCCGTCGCCGCCGCCGCCGTGGCGGCGAACCCGTCGGTGCAGGTGTCCTCGTTGGTGAGGGCGGCGCTCATCCAGGTCTGCGCGTTGCTGACGTGCCACGCAAGCTCGGGGCCTTCCGCCTTGGCGAGGAGGCCCAGCTCGGCGGCGGCCTGGCGGGTCAGCTCAGCCGCGTCGCCTAGGGACTCGGCGCAGTCGCCCAGCGCGGCGGCGATGCGGGGGTCAACACCGGCTGCGGCGGCGGCGCGGTAGAGGAGGAGGACGTGGTAGGAGAGGGAGCTGACCTGGGCGAGGCTGTTGTTGGCGGCGAAGTGGGCGATCTGGGTTGGGTCCTCGCCGACGGCGCCGGCGTATCCGGCGAGAGACGAGTAGCAGAGCGACGGGTAGCGCGTGGCGGAGCAGCTCTGGCGGATGAACTCCGTGCAGTTCCTCCCGGCCGGTGACTCCACACCGCCGGCCGCTGCGCAGAGGGAGCTGACCGTCACCGCCGTCACCACCACCAGCACCGCCATGAGACAAGCCCTTCCCGCCGTCGTCGCCGTCTCCATTCGTAGTCTCCCCCTCTCCTGCGATCAGAGATAGAGAGAGAAAGAGAGAGGAGAGAGAGGCTCCCCGAGATCTTCTTAAGAAGGCCCCCGGTTACCCCACGCCACTTGGCCTTTTAGTAGCCCATCACATCTATCCACCAAAAAATCAGCTCCTTTTACGTTGAGGAAGATGTAGATAAGATAGCAGCGGAAGGCTGCCGCCGGCGCTTAGAGAGGCGCGGAAAGCGTGCCGGCATGCGCGGGGCGGGGCGGGCACGGCCGGCCTTCGAGGGGACTTTTTCTCCTCTCGAAGGCCCGACCGTTGCCTCACCGTTCGGGTGGGCCCCCCCGTCTCTGGCCGCTCAATGTTTAAGAGTATGACAAGAGACCTTCACGTGCTCGGTAGAGAAAGGATTGAGTGAGAGGAAGTTGTCTTCTTGGGCAGGACAGATCTCGTGGAGGACGCACGAACAGAGAGAGAGAGAGAGGGGAACGAGGACTAGGAACGGCTGTGGTAGGAAGGAAAGAAGGAGGAGACAATGCGCGAGGTGAAAACCCTAGAGATGGAATAGATGGAGAGAGAGAGAGAGATGGAGAAAACCCTAGGGTTGGGTGTAATTACAGGATTCTACTGTGTGTCGGCTCTTCTTCTTGGCTATGGATGGGAGTGGGCAGAGAAATAGGCGAGGAGGCCGACGAAGGGGGCGTTGATGTAGGTGGTGGGCTCCGACTGCTGGAAGTAGGGCCTCGAGTCCGGGAAAGCATCCGTCGTATTGGGCCCGCCGACGACGGCGCCGACGAGCAGGTTAGGGTTAGGAGCCGGGCTGAGGTAGTACTTGGAGCCGGCCTTGCAGCCGATGCGAGCAGGGTGGGTCCTCACCGACGGCAGCGAGCTGCCGCGGTGGTGAATCCGCCGCGGGAACTTGGCCCCGTAGCCCACCATGTAAGACATTCCCAGGGGGTTGTCCCCCAGGATGTAGTCAACCTGGCGCTTCGCCAGCCGCCGCAGCTCCGCCGGGCTGGCGGCGGAGCCGCCGCACTGCACCGCCGTGCCGGAGTGGCTGAGGTAGTTGGAGTAGGCCAAGAGGAGGAAGGAGAGGGAGGTCACGTGCTGCATGTTGCTGCCGCCGGTCTTGTACAGGAGCCCGCCGGGGGAGTACTGGACCTGCAAGGTGGACATCCCCGGCAGCAGCGAGCAGATGAAGCTGTCGGCGTTGTTCTTGAACGACTCCAGGTAGGCGGCCTTCCCCATGAGCACCTCCTGCCAACAATTCCCCCCGGTCAACACTACTCCTCAGGAAAAGGAAAACAAGAACTGAGGACAAGGGTATGCGGTTGGAGGGTGGCGGCCGTTGCCTTGGAGATGAGGACGTTGATGCCGGCGTGCTTGTTGTCCCATCCGAACTCGTTGATCGTGTCGCCGGCCCCCAATATCTGCTCGTTCCGCAGGATGTACTCACGGTACTCTCGCCGCCGGCTAGCCTTGTGCAGCCAGGCTGCCCCCCACAGCAGCTCGTCCTGAGTGGGGATGAGGAAGGAGGAGCAATCACTCAGACAACGCTCACTCACCTGCAAACCTTCTTCTCTTCTCCAAAAAAACTGCGGATGATGAAGAGCGCCGGGGGGGCTGCTCTCCCGCTTGCTCACCTGGTATCCGTCAAAGTCGCAGTAGAAAGGACACACAGCGGGGCGGAGGCTGCTGCTGTAGGCGCCCCGATACTTGTCAGCGAACTCGAATACCTGTCAGGGGGGAACACATGGCCGCATTGAACACTCTTCTTCCGGCACCTCGTAACCCGAGAACGGACAGATGATGGCTCCTACCTCCACGGCGCGGTCGAGGAGGCGGCGGGAGTAAGCGGGGTCGCGGAAGCGGAAGACGATGGAGGCTGCGGCGAGGGCGGCAGCGGACTCGCCAGCGACGTCAGATCCCGGATGCGCACGGTTGACCTTGTAGACTGTCCGGGGAGTGTCCATGTCCTCCGGCCTCTCCCAGCAGCCGTGGTCCCGGAAGGCGTCCCCTACCTGAACATACACAGTCTCCGGCACGGCCGTGGCCTTGAGGATGTAATCTGTCGCCCACCGGACGGCGCGGAGGGCCTCCCCGAGCTGGTCCCCCATGTTTCGACCGAAGTCGATCACGCTCCATGACAGCAGTGTCGCCGTGAAGGCCATCGGGAAGCCGAACTTTATGTTGTCGCCGGCGTCGTAGTAGCCGCCGGTCAGGTCCACCTGCGCGGCAAGGTGATAGCATCAGACTCACCGCTGCTGACAGACAGAAGGAGCAAGTTCATCAGTCTCTTCGAGAACGACGCAGTTGGGGATTAAGGCCAAAGAACTAGCTACTCAGAGAGAGATTCTGCCATTACCATTTCTGGATGTAATTGTTAGGCAGAGGACTCAGACATGCTCATCAGAGGTGAAAAGGCATGAAGACGCAGAAACAGGAAGAAAATTCGGCAAGAATAGCAGAGGGGGGAGTGTCGGCCGCAGGAATGTGCGTCCTCCTTCTGGCCAGAGCCGCCGCGCGTGTGGGAGGGACAGTAGCAGCACCCTTACTCACCCCTTCCGCGGCGCCGTCACGGAGAGCAGAGTCTCCACGCCACCTCAGCCGCTGGTCGGGGGGAAGCTTCCCGGAGCGCTGCCCCTCGAAGAACAGGATGCTCTTCCGCAGCGCGTCGCTGTAGTCGTGTCCCTCCGCCGGCTGGCCGGCCTGCGCTGCGAACGCCATTGATAGTAGCAGTAGCAACAGCAGCTGCGACGGTGGCGGCGACGGCAAGCGAGCTCGCGGCGGCATTGCCAGTCCCCTTTGTCGCCGCCTCAAAGTATGCAAAGGAGATGGAGGAGAAGAACTGCAGGAGATTCAATGGCGGGGGAGAAGGAAGCAGAGAGCTCCTCTCTCAGAGAAATGGGGGGAGGAAGAAGAAACAGAGAGGTGGCGGTGACAGTTAGAGCTGTAAATGCCGGCTTATAACAGTCGGCGAAAGGGAGGAGTGGAGCATCGGATTCGAAATACCCTCCAATGGGGACAAAACACGTGTCTAAGCGCGATACCCGAGAGGCCACTGACCGGTCACAGACCAATCGACGGGAGGATCTGGACGGTCGATTCACGTGAAGGACGTTGCTTTTTTCTGCCTCTTCTCATTTATGCGCGGAATCCATGCGGCGGTTTGCGAATTATTAAAAGTGACCGTTGGGGGGTGTTGGCGGTGGCGGTGGCGGGGGGAGGAGAGAGAATTCGTCCGTTGCGGCGGCGTCCGTACGGTCACCGCGGGGAGGCGGCGGCGGGACCGATGGAGTTCGGGGCTACCGGACTGGCGGCGCCGCTGCCTCCGGCGGCCGGTGACATTTTTACGTGAGCCCTTTTTTTATGCACAATTAACGTATGACGTCGTTTTTGTCCTAATCGCGAGCATACCCGCATAATAATAATATTTTTGACGGGGGAATAATGCAGGTGTAAGCCGAATCTGCAGGAGGCTCGATCCGATTGTCTGGAGTTCGGGTCGGGGGAACCGAATTATTGGCTAAACGGACGCGCGTGCGGGCACCATCGATAGTTGCCCAATCAGCGCAGGCGCGGTCGGTAAGCGCACCGCAAGTGAGCGTAGTCTGATAACGCAGGCGCAATTGCTGCCGTCGCTGCCTCGAGAAGGAAACTCGATGACGTCAACGTCGTGGGGAACGTATATGACATGGACGGCCCGCATAACCTACTCCGCAGGAACAGCTTATGCGGCGCGAAGAACGCAAGGAAAGACAGCCACGTGGTTGTCTTCCTTCCCGAACAGCCCGCTGGAACTCGAGGCGTTAAGCAGACGATGGGCGAGGAGGACGGCGGACGATGGGAGGAGAGCAGAACCGTACGCGTCGTCCATGGCGGTCACCCTCCACCGGGCCATCCCTCTTTCCTCGTTGCGGAAGTTCGGCTTCTGAACGGGAAGATGCGGAGAGCGTGACGTCTTCGGGCTCTGCTTCTTCTTCTTCGTCTTCTCTGTAGCTGAGCTTATCCGAGGTTCTTTCCCACCTCGGATCTGTCGAGACCTGTCGCCGGCGGCCATGGCGCTCTGCCCCGTGGTTGCTGCCTTTTGGAAGCCCTAATAGTCTGGTCCGTCAGGTAGAATGGTTATTGTGACGGGGGACCGGTACCTCGACTCTCTGGTGAGGTTCGTGGAGAGGAACGCGGAGCCGCTGCTCGAAGGGGCTCTGACCTTGAAGCTCAACCCCGTGGGGCTCCATTACGTCCAGTCTCGCCTCGAGGCCTTGGAGGAGCTCGAGAGGCTGCTCGCCGGTGCGCCCGTTGACTACCTGCGCGCCTATGTCTCCGACCTCGGGGACCACCGGGCATTGGAGCAGCTCCGGAGGATCCTACGGCTGCTGACGTCGCTCAAGGTGATCTCGGTGCTGGCTCCGCCGGCGAGGGACCCGACGCCGCTCTCTCTTCTGCCATTTGGGCGGCTGAAGGTCCTGGAGCTCCGTGGTTGCGACCTCTCCTCATCAACCGCGAGAGGGCTGCTAGAGCTCAGGCACACGTTGGAGAAGCTTATTTGTCACAATTCCACGGTTTGCTTTTCTTTCCATAATTCCCCCCTCCCCCACCGCTCTCATTGTGTGCTTTCTGGTTTCTTTTTAATACCCTCCTATGATTACACAGTTTTTTATTCATACTCGAATATATAAGCAATTTCCAGATTTATCTTGTTCGTCATATTCCAATTCCTGAAGCTCTTTGTCCTTCCTTAGGTATAAGGGTCTTATTTTTTTGGGGATTTGAAATGTAGGTGCGTTTTTCTTCATTCGTATTGCTTTCTCTTGGTTTTAGCAATTAACTGTCTCAAGGAATTTGCAATTTACTGTAAGAAGGACAGATTTATTCATGCAGAAAGTGCATGTTCGAAACCCAGACTGCTCTGCTTCTCATGAATGATAAAATTTATCATGTCGGCATGTTTTTTGTATCATTCTCCTCGACTTCGCCTTTTTTTCGTTGTATGTTCCCTCAAAGTTACAAAAAATTATTGTCCCCTTTCAAACGTAAGCCATGTAACTCTTGCAATCCTGTTTATATGATTTTCATTTTCTCCTCTTGCTTCATGGGTGGTTTACAGGATGCTCTAAGGCATGTGTTTGCGAGTAGACTTGTGGACATAAGGGACTCCCCAACATGGAACCGATTGTCATTTGTTTCATGTGCTTGTAATGGATTAGTCCTCATGGACGAGTCATTGCAGCTTCTTCCAGTTGTGGAAACCCTGGACCTGAGTCGGAATCACTTTGCAAAGGTAGATAACCTACGGAAGTGCACCAAATTGTTTCACCTCGATCTTGGGTTCAACCACCTGAGGACAGTAGCGTCATTGAGTGAGGTAAGATCTTTCATGCAGCAGGTTTTTGTTGGAAGAACTATGATCAGAACTGTGTTGTCACTAGAAGCCAGGATGCTTGCATATTTTTAAATTTGATTGTGTTTCTGTCTACTCGGATCAATTCATCCAGTCTGAAGACAACTATTTTACTGGGGAGAATCCAAAAGATTGAAGTTCAACATTCTGAGTCTAAGAAATATGTTAGCATAACCTATGGTGTACTCTTTTGTGGCATAATTAGAATTATTTAGTCAAGGGTTAAAACTCGGAAACTCTTTATTTATTTACTCTTAATTTCTCATGTCTGATGATTTTTTTCTTCTCTTTCGTGTGCTAAATAAACTTAATATCAGCTTATTCTCCTAGACTGATATCAGAATCATGACTTGTGATCCTCTTTTTTTTTTAGACGAAAGATAGATGTCTTTCAGTTATTGGTGTCCCTGAAAGAGTCCAAATTGAATAACTTCGAAAAACTAGAACAGTAACCTAAAAACATATGCCGAAAATGATTTCTTGTTTCGTTCATTTATGCCTTGCAGAAATTGATTTTAAATTCAGGGTTTGCATGCTGACGTGCAAAATTTGGGGACAACGCAGTGTGGGATGAAGCATTTGGTCAAGTTGCTGCAGAAAAATTAGTGAATCATGAAAAAAAAAAGACAGCTGCCCGGGAATTCCATAGTGCATGAAATTCTATGTTGATCCTTTTGGAATTCTGTTATGTTAATTAAGGTTATCCCTCTAGGTTAGAAATGTAATCACGAAATGCTCTGTACAATTGTCATCTATAGATATCAGTGGATGACAGCATGCTGTGTTGGGACTTGGCAACCCCAGACCATGCTCGCATACACGTCTGAATTGCAAGCGTGCAATATGCTGGCAAAATCATTTGTTCTCAGGCACCAAAGTTATTACCCAGATTTCCCTGTCTTTCAATCATTTTCGTTGAAGACTGAAGATTCAGGCTTTATGAGGAGGATTAATGAACATTCCGAATTACATGGGGGGGGAGGTCGTTGGGCGGGAGGGTGAGAAACTATGGCGAGTTTCGGAAATATGCGTTCATGTATGGTGGCCAGAAACCTTGATGATCTTAAATTATTTTTAAAAAATCCTACTTACAATCCACACCACGAATTGTTTCTCCAATGGAATCCTCACCATGGAAAACATAGTGCTTCCTCATCAATAAGTGTGCTCCTTATTGTCTTGATCGTTGTCTTCACCATCATGCAGTAAAACTAAATGCTGAGTAGCTTGCATTTGGGCCAAATTGGTCTTATGCTGACTATTTCTGTCTAGAATTGACGGTAATCATCCATCTATAAAGTGAAATTTTATGGTAGACACAAGTGTGATGCATTGAAACTCTAGGTTGGATTAATGAGTCTTCCTTGGGCAAAAATAAAAGCCTCGAGTGCGAGATGTAGGTTAGAGCTTACAAAGTTAAAGGTCTTAGAGATGTAAACAAAGGAAAAGGTTAGCTGTAGGAACATCGCTACATCGCTTTTTTACTATATTTGGAATTGCATGAGTTCGCAATTTGAAAAATTTCGTGAAAAGTCTGGTTTTCTGCTGACCAACATTATGAAGGCGTCATTAAGCACGCACTTGATTCTCACAGTCTGAGTGATTTTGGAATGCCAAACAATCATCTATTATTATGTTGAAAGATCATGCACTACATTTTTCGTGTGATTGTGAAGAAAGCTTTTTTTTCTCCTATTATGGTTAATGAGCTGTAAGTAAATTACAACCCCTTGTAATCTGTTTTTCTTCTCAGGTTCTTTGTCCAATCGTCAAACTGGTGTTGCGGAACAATGCCCTCACAACATTGCGTGGTATTGAAAATTTGAAATCTGTTGAAGGGCTAGATCTATCATATAATATACTTTCCAACTTTTCTGAGCTAGAGATCCTTGCTAGCCTTCCATTGCTTCATAGTGTGTGGTTGGAGGGAAATCCAATTTGTTGTGCACGATGGTATCGTGCACATTATTTTAGCTTATTTTCCTGCCCTGAAAAAGTAAGTTAATCATGTTATTTTTTGTATGACTTATTTTTTATTTGTCTCGTGGCAAATAATGTCATATTGCACAATTTTTTCTATATTGAAAATTCTCTTTGAGAAATTTCTCTTGATTACTTTCAAGAAAAAACTTTTGGTCATGTCCTACATCTGTGTTAGGTCAAGCTAGACGAGAAAGGAATCAGTAGAAGGGAATATTGGGAGAGACATGTTATTATTGCAGGCAGGCGTAAACGACCTGCTGGATATGGGTTTTATTTCCCTGCCAAAGAGAATGCTGGTGGCAGGGACAGAGTCAATGCAAAAAAAGTATGCCCTTTTCTGTGTCATGTTTCTATCAATCTGGTTCACTGAAATTGTGTGCTGCTTCTAAGATCTATATTGCCAATCCTGCAATTGTTCCATAGTAAATTAATGCCAATGGTGTGTAGGTGGAAGTCTAACTTATTGAAATACATGTTTTCTTTTTAGAAAAAGGTTTCTCGTCTGGCATCCATTCGGGATGAGAAGCAAATGAGATATTTTTGTGGAGAAGACGCTGACCAGGAGTCAGCATCTTGTGATACTGATAACCTGAAGGATGAAAATGTCATCATTGATGATGAATCAGAAATAAAAGGCCTGATGAATAGAGTAGAATTCATGAAGAAAGAGCAGGCTGTTCTTTGGTTGCGGGACTTTAGAGAGTGGATGGACCAGACAGTTGATGGTACAGCAAATCTTGGGAAGTTCAGTGATTCAAACATGTGTTTTGATATGGGGAGAGACACAAAACAAACAAAATGCGAGAAGCATCTTGGGAAACGTCCACTGCATTTGATGGACATATTACAAACTTCAAAAGGTGAGGGTAGCATAACCATCTTAGAGACTGACGTTCCATCTACTGTGGGACAGAAACTAGTTGATTTTCATGAAAGAGATAGTTTGAAACAGTCAGTTGGGAGTAGAATTGGGTTTAGAACGGGTAAAACAGATCCAGGAAATGTTCAGTTGGAGGCTTGTTATGAAGAAGTTCCGGATTCTGTTTGTGTTGAGAAAAACAGTCCCTCTTTCACCAACTTAACCATCGAGGTAAATGAAGATACGGAAAGGCATAACAACTTGGTCTCTTTAACTTCCATTGAGGAGATTATTTTTTCCCGTCAGTCTTCTCTTTGTCCAGTGTCACCTCCTCATTACCAAGAGGATATCCTACATCGTCGTCAAAACTTGGAGGAAGAATTTTTGCAACTATCTGCTGAAACGTTTTCTGTGACATCATCAGACAGTGATACGAGCTCCAGTGATGGTGATTCTTGGGAATTCTGTGATTCATGTTTAGAACACAGCCAGTTATTCAACAAAGAATCCATGAAGAGGATCATCAGTGACAACGTATCAGATTTTCAGTTAAACGAGAATTCTTCTGATGTAGTACAAGAAGGGGTCAGACTATCATACAATGCTCCTGTTGAAACAGATGCCAGCAGTCAGCGGCCTTTGATGTCAAATCATGGCAAACCATTTCTTATACACGATTTGGACGACTCTTCAACTGCAGAGATTATTAATCAGGGTTTTGGGGACAGAAGAAAAGGCAAATGGAAGGCTAAGAGAATGGTAGCTGTGATCTCCCAAGGGAATTCTTTAGCAGCCAACAAAGACCCAGCACTCAAAAGGTTAGATGGTCTGGATGCCCATAGTTTTGATCTCCCCAGCAACAATGAGAGTCATCTTGACAGATTACAAGATAGAGAACAAATGAAACTGATCCAGGATGCTGATATGAGGAATCCACTTCTGAATTGTTTCCAAAGGGCATATCTGAAAGCAAAACCGAGTTCTCTTCATGATCGTAAGGCACCAATAGAAAAATATTTTGTAATGAATCTGGCAGAATCTGGAGTTTCGGACTCTTGTCAAGAGTTTATATGTTGTGACTGGATATCAGAAGAAGAACCAAACTATCAGGAAAGGTGAGCTCTGTTTCATGAAATGGTTTTCGTCTGTCTTTTCTTTTTCATCATCTGATCATGTGGTGTGAGGGTGCCACTTCATCCTAGGAATGATTCTGGAATATTCTGTTTGACCCTCCCCACTAATTTTCACAAATGCGTTAGTTCTTTCCTTTAAACAAAAACTGACCCATAGTTACTTGTTGTGTGAATATACATAAATAAAATTTATGACTCTTGTGGAATTCTGCTGCGTCGGCGTATGCCATTTACTTGTCATAACGTTTGGTAGAATGAAGTCGTGACTTTTGTTTATCTTGGTAACATTTCCTTGTGGCTATGCTGAGATTTGCCCTTTTTTAAGAGATATTCGTGTAATTCAATTAATAGTGCAGCCAACATTTGGTCATACTGCTCTCTAATAGAGCATGCACAATTAATTGTGGGGCATGAGGGAATTCATAAGAATTTAAATTGGCTTGGAGGAGCTCAATGAGTTCTAAAACATTTCCTTGTTGAAGCTCAATGAGCTCAATGAGCTCATGATAAGACTGACTAGTTGGGGGATTAAGGTTGAGTTTAGAGCTTGACCAGCTGAGTTTTATGCTAAAATTCTACCGGTTCCTTGAGTTTGCACATGTGGCTGTGAGAAGTGGCAAGGTTTATCTGACTGTTTGGTTGATTTTTTGAGAGTTTTCTTGGGCTTATTATAACCACTTCTTTCACTTATTTTCATTAAAATTCTGCTTGATACATCTTAGTGTTCTTTCTCGTTATTATTCAATTAAGGCAAGCCTGGTTTGATTGACGGCTCGTATTTGTTTGGTTAGAATTCTCATTGTCTTTTTTGTTGAAGGCTGGATACTTTTACTCTAATGCTTGACTGAACTGACTTGCAGAGGGCTTAGTTGTTAAACCAATCAATCACTTGTAATTTCTTATCTCAGAATTATTACAGGTATTCTCATTTTTTTCAGGGAAGTAGTTGTACTTCTGAGCACTAAACAAAAGGTGTATGTACTACTCATTGATGAGACATGTGAAGGACCAGGTTTGGTTCACATATATTGATGCTTGATGATGCTACCATTCTGTTTTATCAGGTTTTTCACGAAATATTTTGTTTATAATTTCTGTATCTAATGGCGTTTGGTTGCAGGATTGATTTCTAAGGTTCTTGGATGCTATAGACGAGAGGAAATTAAAGAAGTCGTGATTGGATTGGAATTACAAGCTTTGAGGTCTGTCCAGAAAATGAAATTTCTTTTGACCAGTTACTGTGAATTCACTTACATGGTCGTTTGTAATGTCATTTATTAGGGTTCGGATTGAAGGTGATGTGTCACACATTTTCTTAGCGAGAAGCGCGAAAAAGCTAGAAAGACTTCTCTATCTATTGCATGTTTGTGACACAAGTGGTCCGAACTCTGGATGTTCCATAAAAGGGTAAATGTCCTAGTTGTTGCTGCCTCCAAAGACTAACAATTTACTGAAATCATATACTCAAAATAGATTTTTTAATTTGTCAATTGTAGTTGAGTTTTTGACATATAAATGGCAGTTGGGAGCAGGTTCAGGTTGAACTATTTGACAAATATATATGTGGGGGTCTAAAACTGAGCATCTTCCTTTACGCAATGTTACTGTTCTATCATGATGGTTATGAAGGTACGCTTTAAATTGATGCATATCTTTATAGTTTTTAAGCAGATTACGCTTATCTCTTAATCTGTACTATTTGGATTGGCCATGGTGTCAGCAGATTCATTCAAAATGACAACAAAAATATTGCCAACTTTTTTCACTTTAGTGCGTGTTACTTTGTCAATGGAAATGTTTCTGGTTAGCTTAGACAGTATGTAATTTCATTGATGAACTTGTACAAGGTCTATTGCTTGGTTGGTTTTTATTTCATCATTGTATTTGAGTAATGACTGTTGCCCATTCACATAACATGTCCCAGTTGATCCTTGTTTAGCAAATATTATCATCACCAATCCTAAAGGATGTAGTCCCTGTTGAGAGATCAGGTGGTGAATTGCCGTGAACTGTGCACCATTTTAGGGATGTTGCAATTGTCTCTACTAAGCTTTATTTTTCATTTTTTAAAAAGTGGACACTACTGCATGATCATTAGAATAAAGAGGAAAAAATATGCAAGCATGGAAAATGTGAGTTTTTGAAAAGAAATCATGTTTATCAGTAGATCCTTACACCAGCAGGTTGTAGGATGAAAAAATAAGAAATTACTGCGAGCCCAACAACCCCAAAAAAGAATTAGAAGCTGAGTCTCTTTTCCCTCGAAGAGGACATCGATTCCTTCATGTTCAGATAGCCCAGAGTGAGATAAGTCACCAAATCTGTTAATCTAGCTTCCTTTTCCAATTACGGTTCCAAATCAGCCGAAACCCAATTAAAGTTCTTGCATGGTCCCTCAGAATAACTAGCTTAAGGTTTATCAGCTTCCAAATCTCTTTGGAAAAGGGGTATCCAATGAACAAATGCTCCAAAACTTTCTTCATCCTCACTACAAGAACATCAAGTCGTAAGGATGGATCGTGCCCAAAAACGGAACCAAAGTATCTCAGCTAGGAGTCTCCCATTCGAAATCCTTATTAAAAACTTTACTTTTAAAGGGGATTGGATGGTGGTCCAAATCCAGGGAGCCATAGGATGTCTAAAGCCTCCATCACAGATGACACATTGAAAAAGCACCTTCTTTCTCCCATCTCCACCACTGCACGTCTACCAGCAAAGTCCACCCTATCCCCTTTACATGTTGATTTCCCCATCTTTTCGTCAATGCTTGACACATCATTCAAGCACCCTTATTGGCTGCTGAATTCTATACAGTGCTCCAACAGATTCCTCTTTTCGTCCCTATTAATTGGGCCATGACGGCTGCAACGTAGACATCATGCCTCCCTACCTCTCTGAATGATGGAATCCCTGCCAAAAAAAGATTAGTATGGTCTACACTGCCTTCGTAAAGACAATGAAAATGTTTGAGAGAGGGTTTTGCTTGGGAACTCAATGGCCATGTGGTTGTATACTGATTTATTTTAATGTCTTGTTGCGTTCTTGTTGTCATCCAATTCAAAAAATTGATTAGTTCTCTTTGGATTTTGAGCTGAATCATGTCGTTGGAAACTATAGATTCCATGGAATAGATGCTTTTAATTTTCCATTATTGGTGATCTCCTTACAAGGTTCCTAATTTCGGGGGAAGAGTCAAAAAGCTATGATTGATCTTGAACCTAGAAGTTCAGTAGAGCGTAGATTTCAATAAATATTATGAACACCGTTATCAAAACCTCATCCACGAGAGCGGTGCATTTTCCCGATGAAGAAAATATTTCAACTTTTATCTCTTTCATGGCTCAGATTTGGGTTATTTTATTTCTATCTTAATCTTTCCGTGACAAATTTGTGAGAAGAAAGTTTTATTGTATCGCAGGAGAGTCGTGGCTTTCCAGATCCCTTTTTCTGGTTGAAGGATATTTGCTTCTATGCATTGAGAACCTTGTGGAGTTTGGCAAATCCACAGACGATTTTGCTGCACCAACCTCATACTTTTCCCTTCATTCTTGTTTCCCCATTGAGAACATAACGGAGATGGTAATTATATTCCTATCTATCTTGTTTATTTTCTGTTCTAGTTGTAATGTAAAATTATGCAATTTTGTAGTGGTACCGCGATTTATTATCTTCTGCTTGGTCAGCTGAATAATGGATATTATGTCTAATATTTTCTGATTACGGTTATTTTGTGAATAAAGCAGAACACCAGATTGAGATTAGAAAATTTTAATTATTATATTACCCTTATTTTTTAAAAATTATAGAATACTTGTAAAAAAAATTCGTCTTTCATCTATCAAGGACTGCATTAATATCGTGTTATAAAGGAGTCAAAGGATCATTCTTGTCTTTGTGATAGCTTTAATTGAGTCAAGATCTCTTGCAACACATGACTGGAGCCAAGATTAAGTCTCAGAGGAACAGAGGGAGAGAGAGGAAGAAGGGGGAGATGCACATAAACCCTACGATTTATGGATAGCGTATGTTTCTCACGGCTGTACACCACACAGAGTAGGGTTCTTTATTTCTTCCTCGAGGAGATGCAGAGGACCAACTACCCAAGCATAAAACATTGAATTCATGAGTTTAATATTGCAATAACCCATATATAATTCCAAATCACAGCTGGAATTTCTCCCTCATTCCGGATATGGATGCATTGGTATATTTACTTCGCTCAAAGTGGAATTTAATTTATCTCTGATGATATATCAGTATATTTCAATGTGTTTGGATATTTTTAGTTGTTTATCTTCACAATGTAATTTAAATATAAGTTTTTTTGTAGAAAAAAAAAATGTCCTGAGTAGATTTCTTTACGGTCTCTGTTCTAGCGACCAAGTTCTTACCTCCTGTAAAGGACCAAGTATCATCAGAACTTCTGCCACGTAGCTTGTGGGCCCCACCTTGAGGACCTCTCCATGCATATCATGTCAGCTATGTTTCCCTACTGCCTCTGTTTCCTCCTCTATTCTTCTTGTACTCGGCTTCTTGAGAGGGAGGGAGGCGGGGAGCACCCGTGTGCCCAGTTTAGTATCGGTCACTGACGGTGAGCTGAGAACCAGCTAGACCAGCAAGGTGAGGAAGAACACTGAGGATCAACCGTGAAATGCAGAAGAGGAAACCACCTCAAGGGCAGAGAGCAATTTGACCCAGTTGGTTCCTTGATTTCCTGAAACCGTATTTCCCAGCCCCATCATCATTGATATATATATATATATATATATATATATATATATAAATAAATCCCATTTGGTAACACCTTGCTGATGATCTTGGTGTTCATCGTCTCTGTCTGTTCAATCGCCTGGCTTTGTGATTTCTATTTTCAGGTGATTGAACCTAGGGAAACCAGATGCTTGACCCTGGCTGTGAAGAACAGCACCATCAGAGAAGGAAAGCGAGGGCCCTTGTCTGCTGAGGAGTCCCTTCATCTTCCCCGGTGGCGGCTGAAGTGGTTCTCCGAGGAGGCATTGCTGAGCTTCGTGGCCCTTCTCAAGGCCCTTCACGCGGAGCTCTCCACGGCTCCTCTGCGTGTGATGTGTCGCACCTCTTGAAAGCTCCACCATCCTCTTCCTTTCCCCCACTATTCGTTTGTTCATTCTTCTCTCCATCCCTTCTTCTCCCCTCTTCCCCCCATTATTTCACCTCCTTTGTACAAAAGAAGACGTATAAGAAGAAGAAGAAAGCTTGGCGGCGCCTCATTTTTTGGTTGACTTTGGGATGTACAGCTGCTGTACAGCGTGAGGGAATGAGATTCTTTGATCGATTGTTTCAATGGTTGTACATGATTTCTGTCAACGGGGATCCATGAAACTTTCTGAAGAACGGCCCGGCGGCGCCGCCAACCCGCCGCCGTCGCCGTTCTTGCATTCCTTAATTGTCCAGCTTACTGATTAATCGGGTTGGTCAACGGGGCTATGAGAGCTGATCCATGTGAACGCGCGCACAAGAAAAGTGATCTTGATGGGGAAGGTCAACCCAAGATTGTTCCGTTGAAAAGGAGGGGAACTCTGTGATGCTGCCTGTGGAGACAAAATTGGGCGTGGAATATAAATAAATCGCACCACCCTTCCTTCCCCCTTGCATTCTTCCATGCCACTACACTACTACCCAGCATCGTCTAGACCTTCCTATGGAAAGTTCTCCAACAAAATAGGGAGGGAGAAGACCCTAGAGAGAGAGAGAGAGAGAGAGAGGTCTCCCTTCTCTACAAGAACAGAGCACTCCACAGCAGCATCCCCGCGAGCTGGAAGAACCCCGCTGAACTCCTCTCCCAGAGAGCCGGCGCCCCCGAGTCCGTCGTGGAATTCGCCGCCGTCGCCAGGGACGTGCCGTTGACCATCGTCCCGTTCTTCCCACCACTGCCGAAAAATAAGAAAAGAAAAAAACCAGAGGAATGTCAACGCCCATACCAAACAACTACAGAGAAAGGAGAATGAAATCCCTGACAGCTCTGCCGTCGGATGGAGGAGCTCACCTTCCCGTGAAGGCGCAGGAATCGTGACCTGCATGAAATCCACCACCACCACCCAAAGGTGAAGGAGAATGAAATCAGTACACTTCCTAGAGCGAGAGCGAGAGAGAGAGAGAGCGAGAGAGGGAAGGGGGGGGGGGTTTATTATTATATTTACTTGGGTCGGTGGTGGTGACGACGGCGACGCCATTGAAGTAGCAGGTCCCCGCGGCCATCCCCATCCTGTGGTAATACGCGTTGAACGCGTACGTGGCGTGCGCCTCCACAGTGTCCGGGTCGTAGCACGCCTTCCCCTGCAGCAACACCCCGCAGTCCACCTTCCCCGGCCCGCACGCCCAGTCCAGCGCCGCCTGCAACATCTTCTCGTCCGCTCCCCCTCTCGCCACGCAGAACGTCTCCTCCGCCGTGTCGTTCGCCAGCACCTCCCCGGCTCCCATCAGGCTCAGCTGGTACGCCGGCTTCCCTGTGGCATCAAACAGCCCCCACCTCCTCTCCGACTCCGGCCCGGGCTTCAGATCCTCGTTGTACAGCTCGTAGATGAAGGCGCTCACCACCATTCCCGGACTCTTCGGCGTCCCCGTCCCGTTCAAAACATGACGGATCAGGTTGCTGTTGTAGGTGGCGGCGTTGTCGACGGTGGCGTCTGGCTCCGTTGCGGGGTCCCCTTTGGAGGGCCACCCGGTCTCCGCCACCAGCACCGGCACGTTGGTGACGTTGAGGAAGGCCATGGCGAAGTAGGCGGCGTCCACCACGGCGTCGAAGACGTTGGTGTAGTGCAGCAGCGTGTTGGCGTCCACGGCCTCCTTGTTCGGCGGCAGGGGGCGGAACAGCGCGTAGTCGAGGGGGATGACGCCGGCGGACTGCAGGTAGTCGTAGTAGGGGTAGACGTTGAGCATGAGGGTGGACTCCGTGGCCTGCAAGAACTTGAGCATGGGGAGGATCACGCCGTCCCAGGACCGGTTGAAGAAGGCCTGCGACGGCGGGAAGGAGTCGAGGATGAGCGAGGAGGGCAATGGCGTGGAGATCTTGATCTGCCGGTCGAGGTTCGCCGCCACGAGAGCCGAGTGGAGGAAGCGCATGGCCGGGACGAGGACGGGGGCGGCGTTGGGGATGGCGGAGAGGACCTCGGAGCCGACGGAGATGGTGGTGATGTTGACGGAGGGGTAGTGGGCTAGGACGTTCTTGGAGACCCAGTTGGCGGCGGTGGCGTTGGACTGGCCGACGGCGAGGAGTTGCTCGTTGGGGACGGAGACGGTGACGAGGATGCCGGAGCGGGAGAGCGCCGCCAGCATGCCCGGGTCGGCGTCGTAGAGCCGCACGTGGCGGATCTGCTGGGACTTGAGCAGCGCCACCACCTGCGTCGGCGACGGCATCGACGACACCGCCGTCCCGATGTTGACCCCCACGAAAGCTGGTCAACGTAAAAGTCAACGCAAAACATGACCAAAGATCGGTCGTCAGCAGTGGGTAGTAAATGTATACTGTTAAATATACGACGATTTTCTCCCCGGCCGTACGGATATCTTAGCGCCTGGATGCTGTGGGCCCCACCATGACAGAAATCCCAGACTCGGCGGGTCCGTAGCGAATCTGACCGACCCCTGAGTCGACTCGTCGGGAATCGGGACGGAGAGAGAGAGAGGGAGAGATGGCTGACGTGACGCGATACGGACGGAGCAGGGGCGTGTAGAAGCTGGTAGAGGAAGTGGGATTTAACGAAGGGCCTCCCTCTCTCTCTCTCTCCTCCATCTCTATCTCTGTGTCTGTAGCTTTCTCTGCGACAGCGGTCGACGGTCGCCGAGAAAATGTTAAATAAAGGACGAAAGAAAGAATAAACAGCCGCATCTCCTTTTGGAATCCCTCCCCATCCCGTCTTCGAGGGAACCCTAAAAGTTGATACTGGCGACTGATGAGCAAGAGCGATGGGAGCTTCCAGAAACCGCGCAGCCGTCGGCGTGGTCGCGATAAGACACGGCGGAGAGTAATCCGACTGGAGAGCAATAACCTTGCCCTGTCTACAATGGGGAAAAGACTTCTCCACCGGTGATGCAGGCCGGAGCAGGCCGGAGCAGGCCGAATCTGCTGAGAGCATCGAAGCTCGTATAATGGCGGCGTACTGAGTTCTCTTTCGGAGGAAAGAGGAGTCGAAGGGGATGGATATTCAAATCATGGGATGGATCTTTCCTCCGAACGACGCTATCTCAATAGAAGAAACCGACATACGCCATTCGATCAAAGAGAAACCAATCCCGCACGTATCTAAGGTTTTCGGAGCACTCACCTTCGTCCGCAGAGGTTAAGGCGGCGGAGAACGCCGTCAGCAGCAACAGCAGCAGGAGAGCCATGCCTTCTCTGCTCCCGAACAATGGACGAAGGACGACGACCCCAGAAGAAGATGAAGCAGATGAGGCTGTCCACTGAAGGGAGGAAGAGGAGGTTGGAGGAGGAGGAGGCTGTAAAAGGTGACGGGGAAAAAAAGAGTAGAATATAAACAAAAATGATGGAGGGGACAGGTTTTATAGTGCCCCCGCGTGGGGCTCGCATCAGATATCCACGAGCGGTCAGGATTACCTCCACCGGGGATGCGTCAGTGATCGGACGGCGGAGGACGCCTGGCAGAGCTTGGGGGGTCGTGGTCTTGTAGCCGTTTCGGATGTCGTATTGGGCCGAATCGGGAACCCCGCTGACGCAGCCTGAAAAGAGGCAAGTGCTCGTGGGCCCCTGCTGACGTGCCATCCAGCTGCAAGCAACGGTCATTTTTCCTGAGAGAGACGCCAATAATCTAATCTAATTGCGACTCGCGAGGCACGGACTCTGTATGCATCCACCGTCTCGGTGGCTTCTCGAGTTCGTAGTTAACGGTATTCGATATCCGGTATCCAATTATAGAACTATCCGTTTACGATTTTCGAGAAAGAAGGAAATAATGATTTTTATCTTTCAAAAATAATTAATAAAAAATCATATTTATACATAACATTTTTTGGAAATTTATTTCGCATCAGTCCTCATACTGTAGGGCTGTATTTAATTTATAAATATTTTAGAAAAAATAAATATTTTGTCAGTCCTAGTACAACTGGGCTGAATTTATTTTATAACTTGTTGAGAAAGAAAGTTATTGGGCTTATGGGCTTCGGCCCAATTACCGGTTGACTTAGTCGATACCATGGCGTCATCAACAATATTACGAGAAAACCCTGTGTAAGTAATCTATTTTTGATGAGGGTCCATTTGGAGAGGAATATGTCAGCTGTGATAGGAAGCGAAGTGTGCGAGAGTAGAAAGTGGCGGAAGGAGGGAGGGTTCCGAAGGCTGGTGCTGGGATGGAGGAGGGGAGAGGAGGGGGATGGCCGTTCGTAGAGGCTGCGGCAGGAGGAGGGGAAGCTTGACTCACTCCTAGAGGTTCGAGTTCGAGGTCAACGATGATGGAGCAGAGCGGGCCGAGGACTCCACGGTCGCCGCACCAGCTGCACCCGGCCAGGGCGGCCATCGCGGATCTTTTCAACGTGTATCTCGGGGTATCCTTTCTCATTTTTCTATCTCTGGCTGGTTACGAAATGCTGGCTCCCCGGCCTTCTCTGTCTCGTTTATGCCCGTCCTGACTGTAACCTTTGTGTCTGTAGAGGAGTTCTCGATTCAAACATGAAGAGCTTGGCCGCGAGACGGCGTAAGCATGCTTCTCCCTGCGCTTGTCGAAAGTTGGCTGCGTGTTCTTTCCAAAATTGTTTCTCACAGAAGTCGGCGGATCAAATGTTTTTTTTTGATGAATCGTTGTTTCATTAAGTGAAATATGTTGCCTTCTCGGTCATTACCGCTCAGGCGCGGGCCGACGGAGCATCGCTGTTGCTTCCGTTGATGGTTTAGACGTCACCGTATTTTCCTATTTATTAATAAAACTCTTTCACGATCCATGCCATGATTTCGGATTGTCTATTTTTGGAAGCAGTCCTAATTGTGTTTCAAATTTTATCGGAATTTTACAGGAACAAGATGCAGAAAAGAGTGATAGCGCTCAATAAGGAACTCCCCCCTCCGAATGAACAGTTTATTGTGGATTTCGAGCAAGTCCGTGGACAGTTCTTGGTATGTCTTTGAGATTCCTTTCAGTGCGACGTTTGAGAATGATGGTCTCTAATGGATTATTTTTCTCTAATGTCCTTCGTGGTTCTTTCGTGCTTTCATATATTTAGGACCAGGAACAGCTTCCCTCTGTGACAGAATCAGTTATCTTGTCTTTCATCATCCAGTGCAGTGGTCATGCTCCACAAGCAGAATTTATCCTGTTTGCTCTGCGTAGCTTGTGCAGCATTGGCTGTGTTAAGTGGGATTCCTTCCTACTCTCCCTTCTGTCAACTGTTTCCTCCACTGAGACAACACTGGGGCCTGTACACCAAGCAAGTATTGGTGTGTCATCTGGAACGACGTCATTGTCAGCAGCTGCTGTCTCAAACACTTCTTCTTTTCTTGTTTCCAACCCAGCCTCTCCTCTATCGTCAATTCATGGTATCGGATCTCCTGTACAGTCCATTACAGAGCATTCAACAGTCACAAATCTTTCGCCTGTGAAGACTTCTGACCTTCCTGATCAGGTTTTTGGATCTAGAACTAGCCAGTCATTTAGAGTCAGTTCAGTTGGGTATTTGCGGCAGTTGTCTTGCAAAATTATTTTAGCCGGTTTGGAAACAAACCTGAAGCCAGCTACACACGCAGAGATTTTCTCTCACATGCTTAACTGGTTGGTCAACTGGGATCAAAGGCATCAGGATGTTGAGGAATCTGATGCTGCAAAAGTTTGCAAGGTTGTGAGTCCTCTAAATGAGTGGCTACACATTTGTCTGGATGTGATCTGGAAACTGGTTGAAGAGGATAGATGCCGAGTTCCATTTTATGAGTTGCTTCGCAGTGGCTTGAAATTCATGGACAACATACCTGAGGATCCGGGCTTATATTCCATCATGCTAGAGATTCATAGGAGAAGGGATATGATAGCCACACATATGCGGATGTTGGATCAACACCTTCATTGCCCGACATTTGGAACTCATCGGTTGGTGTCCCATGCCTATCCAAGCATAGCAGGTGAACCAATTGCCAATTTGCGCTATTCGCCGATTACATATCCAAGTGCACTGGGAGAACCGCTCCATGGAGAGGTGAGGAGAACTCTTTGTGTTTTTAAATGATGACATCATCACCTGGTCTATGCCTGAATTACTGAAATAAAGACTAGTCTGAACATTTTGAAACTGTGATTCTATTGACTTTTCTCTTGCTTTCAAAATAATGAAGAAGACAAGCAATAGTTAAAATTTAATATTTTATGTGCATCCATAGGTTCTATGTGGAACCTTGCTTCTTTCTTGCGTCCATAGTCAAAATAATGTTTATTTAGAAGGCTAAAAAAAAAGAAAAACTGATTCCATTTCTTGGTTTCTTTTTTTATATGTTTTTTATAAAATAGCCCCACAGTTTCTTTCCTAAATTGATTGTTTTGGTCTATCTCGGAACCTTTTGCTTCTATGTGGGGAGGACTTATTAGACCAGTACTTCGTTGAAGCCTAATTTCATGAGAGATTTGTCAGGTGTTTCAGCATAGACTTGAAATTCAGTGGCACATCTATCAAATGATGGAATCGTGGATCAGTCAGAATTGATGAGGAATTAATAAACAAGATTGAAAATTTTTGTGGGCTATCCAATATGTTACTCTTTGATTATTTGGAACGAATGAGACAAATAGATCTATAGACAGCGGACTATTCAGCATTTGAAATTAGGGTTATCATTTCTATTTATAAGTGAGACAGTGGGCTTCATGTTTTTAAAATAAGAATTTTATTTCTAGATTTCATTGGGGGTTTTACTTTGACTGAAAATATTATATAGATTAATGCCATCCAACTCCAAAAAATATATTGAGCAGATGTCTAAGTCCACTAATTATCTGTGACAAAAGGGTTGGAATAACATAAAAATAAGAATATTGAGGCTGGTAATATAATTTGTCGGTTTCTCTCTTTCTTATCTTTCTGGTAATTATATAAAATGTGATGGCGAAACTCTCTATACGATAAACCTATATTTCTCTGTCGGGTCCTTGATGTTGCTTTGAATGTAAAAAACGCTGTTACGGGATTAGTCTTTTCTTTCCCGATGCCCTTGGGATCTCCCTAACTTCTCGAAAGGATAAAGTTGGCACGTTTTTCATACATTATGTTTCTTGAAGGAAAAAAATGCATCTGGTCACTTGGATGCTAGTTTATTGGATCTACATAATAGAAATATGGTCTATGAGTTTGCTTTTTTTCTGTGATGGAATGATCAATATATGATTGGCAAAACCCTGGGTTGATAATAATAGATCCTGTTCGTCAGAACTATTAATCAAAAGACTCTGATGGGGATATGGAGTATGATTAGATTCATAATCATCTCCTAGAACTGTCAGATGATGGAAAGGTTGGATGCTTCAAACAAACAGACCATATTTCTTTTACGTAAATACAGGGCTGCTGAAATTTCTGTAGCAAATGGAACTTTCGAGGGACATCAAATTTTGATCATCTTGCTAAATGTGCAGTATATATATTCTCCCTTGAACAAAAAATGGGTAGGCCGTTCATTTTGAAATGAGAAGAAAGCGGACAGAGTAGGTCTCTTTTTGGTGAACTCTGTGGCAGGCCAAGATTATGCCACAGTAGGTTCCGAATATATTAGTTTCCTCTGTATACGGACGGATAGAAATAACTGTATTGCTTTCCCATTTGGCCTAGTTGTAGCTTCACCATTGTTAATTCCATGGCGACCTGCCTGGTTAATTTGGACGTAATTTTTGTTTTGTGGGAAGAAGTAGACATGCTACGAAATCAAGTATATGATAAATTTAGGAAAGAGCATCCATAGATTTAGTTTTAGTCGTTAATGATGGAACGTTTTTTCTGTGTTGCATTTTTGTCATTTTTTGCTGTTTTTTTATTGCTCCATCTCTAACATGCTTAAATTATATTACTTCTTATTTTTGAAAGTTTTATTTCTGTCAACATTTGTCTACCATAGGATCTTGCAAATTCTATACAAAAAGGAAGCATAGATTGGGAAAGGGCTTTGCGTTGTTTAAAGCATGGTCTTCGATCTACACCATCACCTGACTGGTGGAGGCGTGTGCTTCTTGTTGCTCCTTGTTATAGAAATGCTCAGCAAACATCAACTCCTGGTGCAGTATTCTCATCAGAAATGGTTTCTGAGGCCATCATTGATAGAACCATGGAGCTGCTGAACTTAACGAATTCTGGTAATAAATCTGCATCCGTGTTGGCTTCAACTTGTGTTATTTTTTTTTTCACTGTGAAGTTAGATACCTTGCACTGTGGTACCTATCTTCTTTATGTGCATCTGTATACGAGTTGGTATTGATCCCTATGGAACTCAACTATCACTTATGTCCACCAATGATGGATTGTCCATCTTTATATCCATAGTGGACAGAGAGTCACTTTCTTCTTTGAAATGTTTTAGCTAGGTCAACGATCGCTTGATGTTGATTTTAGCTAGTCAATCTCGCTGACAATGCCAATATGCCTTGCTCAACTTTTTTCAAGCTATATCTTTGTGCTTTACTTTTAGCTTCAATGAAATCATTCCATGTATTGGACGCTTGCCTTTCAACTGTTGGCCTGCTGATCACACATCTGGGATCATTTTTCTAGCGAGAAATGTTTTGCTGTCAGTCTTGTATTTGTTGGGAGTATTAAATTTTATTGATGAGATGACTTGCGATATCGGATTATAAATATGGTTTTAATCATGGTCTCGTTTCTTGCTTCTGTTGTGGCACCTTTCAATATAGTTCTGCGGCATATCTTTTCTTGTCCGTTTTTATCTCGGTTATTTCTTTGCAAGGTTCTTGAAATGACGAAGTAGTTTATTATTTTTTTCTCCTGAATAACAAAAATTTATGTTCTAATACAAGGAAGTTTATTATGATAGTGATGCCAGTGGGCCTTGATAAGCCAATATTTGTTTGTTTCTTTAGGCATGCAATGAGCAATTGGTTTTTTCTGTTTTGTGGCTGTAATATTGTGTGCCGATTACATTATGAAAGCCACTTCCAGAATACATTTTTCTGCTTATTGACCAATTATTCTCCTTTACATGGAGAGTTTTACCTCTAGGGCATGTATTTTATTATCTGACGTCCTTACCTCTTACTTTTTTGGCTATCTGTAATTGGTATTTTTTTCCCTAAAATTTTGCAGAGACACATTACTGGCAGGAGTGGCTTTCATTTGCTGATGTTTTCTTTTTTCTAATGAAAAGTGGATGCATTGATTTTCTTGATTTTGTGAACAAGCTTGCTGCTCGAGTCTCAGATGATGATCAACAGATTGTTCGGAGCAACCATGTGACTTGGTTGCTTGCTCAGATTATTCGAATTGAGTTAGTGATGAGCACCTTGAGTTCAGATCCAAAGAAGGTTGGATTCAATACAAATTTGTACCATAGCTATTTGTCTGTTATCATATCTCTACAAACCTTTTCTGTTTCTAAACGTGATACCATTGCCTCTTCAGTTTGAGAGTTAATTCTTGTTGTTTATTTCGTTATTTGATTTTGCATTTATGATGAAGATTTTGAACATTTCTTTGCTAACTTTTAGGTGGAGACGTTCAGAAAAATCATTTCATTTCATAGAGAAGATAGAAACACCGATCCTAACAACATTAATCCCCAGAGTATTCTATTGGACTTCATTAGCAGTAGCCAAACTTTGCGTATATGGTCATTTAACATGTCCATAAGGGAACATTTGAATACCGATCAACTTCAGAAAGGAAAACAGATTGATGATTGGTGGAAGCAGGTGACAAAAGGTACTCCAATTTCGTGGCTAGTGATTATGTTCCAATTGCGTATATGGAATCATGAATTGCTTAGCTTGTGTTGAATTTTGCAATGTAGTATGCAGAGTTTTAGCCAGAGTATTTTATGTCATGTTGATATTTATTGTCACTCTCAAGAACTCTATTACTCTCGGATTACGCAGTGTGAGGGGTGGGTAATGTTGCTCAATTCCTGATAATTCTTCAGAATTATTCTTTTTATTTCTGTGCGTTTTATTATACATTTTCAATCCACAATAGCCAGCATTGTATTTTGAGAGGGAACACCATTGCACGCCCTATTTACCTGAAGATGTGTTGCGACCGATTCAATGTACATTTTATATGGTTCAGTATCCAAAGGCTTGTGTGCTATTGGCCACCTTACCAGCTGTATTTTACTTATAACTTCTGAACTTAGTTCCTTGATCGGTATATGGGTTCATTCTATATGGGGCTATTGTTGCTGTTTTGGTAGCCAAAAAAAGTCGAAAATGGTTCCTATATTTAACTTTCTATCAATGCTGGATTTTGCCTTGTCCTCAAAAATCGTTGGCTTGCTAAGACTCTTGCCTTGAAACATTGATGTCTCCACGTTCAGCTGGGTAGAGATGGTACAGGATAGGTTGCAGGTGATTTTTTCTCAATGGGATTTACCCTTAGCTGGCATGGCTTCTAAGTATGCTTCTATATTCATCGTTATACCATTGGTGTTTGTAAATTACTAGTTTATTTTGTTTATTATGTATCTTTGAAATCAATTTTTCTTTCTCAGGTGAGCGTGTTGACTTCATGAATTTAGATGACAGATCGATGGGAATGTTTTGGGTTCTCTCATTTACCATGGCTCAGCCTGCTTGTGATGCGGTGGTTAATTGGTTGACCTCTCTTGGCGTTGTTGAGTTGCCGCAAGGGCCTAATGTGCAATCTGGAGAGAAGATGATGATGATGCGCGAAACATGTCCTCTTCCAATGCTATTACTTTCTGGTTTATCGTTAAATTTATGTTTGAAACTGGCGTTTCAACTCGAGGAGACTATATTTCTCGGTCAGGTACTTTTTACTCTCAGTTTTCAGGAATTAGTGCACCAGGTATGCTGGATACTCATATGGTGCCTCTTGACACTAGATCAATTTAATGGTAAAGCTGAGAATTGAGGGTTACAACACAGTTATTTCTGAAATTTTGATTAGATTACATTTGCCTCTTCCAATTTGATTGATCCCAATGACTGTGAATTGTGAACCTGGTGGTGATACCTTTTTAACCATATGGTATTGCTGGCGTTGGAATATTCTAATGCTTTTAAGTGTTCCTTTGACAGTGAAACTAATTTTAAAATCCTGACAAAAAAAATTTGCCAGCTCCACCATTCTTTTAAGGTTAACTGACACAATCTCTTACATGTCTCCAAGGCACAAAAAACGAGTTGGACTTGATTGAAGATTTGAAACATAGACTGACTTGGTCTGGCACAAATTTAATCTATGACCGAAACTCTTTTAACAAATTATAAATTCAATTACGATATTTTCACTGTGGGACTTGGCTGATTGTAACATGTTATTAAAACTTGAATCTTGAAAAACTGATACAAGTCAAATGAGGCGAACCTAATCAGACCTAATCAACAAACCCTTGTCCGAAGGTTATTTTACAGAAATAAAATTTGTATTAATTGGTATAATAGCAGTAGTTATTATCTCATTGATTCGTATTGTCATAATCTTGCTGGTTATCAGAGCATATCTACTAGTATTTTGGTTGTGGTTCAAATAATTTTTATCACTCACATGATTTGCAGGTTATTCCTAGCATTGCTATGGTTGAAACGTATGTCAGATTGCTTTTGATCGCTCCTCACTCATTATTTCGTCCTCATTTCACGGTAATTACTGATTGCTTAATCCAATCTGCATATTTTACGTGCTGATGTTCTGATCCGATATATGAAATTGTCCAAAAGCATAAGCATAAATATGTTTTCTTTCTATATTTTTCTATCATTTATCTATATGCATGTATAAATAAACAGCACGGTCAAGATTCTGTCGTTTTTGGAGCAGTTGCCAACTATCACTTCTCAGAAGAATTACTTTGTTTGTTAGAAACATGAATGCGGATGCTACATAGTTTCATGGGAAGAAAACGTTCCTGGTTTGGCCAGCGATAATATTCGGTAGTTTATATCTTTTTTAACTCAAGAGGATGTCTCTTTAAACTTTAATCTTAATGGCGTTTCACAAATGCCGTGAATACAACTAGTTGGTAAGCATTTCCTTGATCAAATATCGTTAATCGCTGTGGCTAGGTAAACCATTTTAAGATTAAAAGAGTATCCAGGCTAATTCACTTTAAATAGGAGTCACATGCAAGCTTGAGATTTCAGGAGTCCATGCCTTCTCTTTAATACGATTTTGGAATCAGAGAACAGAGTTCAGTGGAGTCAATAAAAAATTTAGCTAGGCATAGGAGATCATTTGGATTGTGTCAGGTTATCAACCTATTGATTGGCCTTATAGGTTTATTGGAATTACATTCTGTCTTTGTCATAGTGAGCATTAAAAATTTTATAATTCATAATTTTCCCCTGGTTTCCAATATTTTTATTGCTTCGTCAATGTTTAAATTAATACTGTCGAAGAGACCTCCCCTTCTTTATTGGGTATTCATGCCAAATACCCAGAAACCAAGATCTTGTTCATTTTTCTTTGCTTTTCGTCCTTATATTTTTTCCTGATTTAAATACACCTGGGGTTTTGTGACATGTCGTCACAATCGATTTCAATGGGACAAAGCCTTAACATTTGGTCCATATGTTGAGCGACATTCCTTTCTTCTTTATTGTTTGAAGATTTTCGTTCATGAAAATGTTGGGTTCATTTCATGTCGTGTAAATGTTCTCCTAAAGTCTGATGCATTGGTCATGGATTCTTATATGGCTATACGTCATATTAAAATGGATTGAGATACATTCCTTTCTTCTTTATTGTTTGAAAAATTTCGCTCTTGAAAATGTTGGGTACGTGCCATGTAAATGTTCTCCTAAAGTCATGTAAACGTTGGAAATTTTACATGCCATGTAAATGTTCTCCTAAAGTCTGATGCATTGCTCATGGATTCTTTTATGGCTAAACATCACGTTAGAATGGCTTGTCCTCTTCACTTTTAATCTGGTCTTCTAAGAAATTATGGGTTGAAGCAATTCTCATTCTTTTCTATGTTATTAATTGAATGCGTCTCGCGTGATTGAGGACAAGTTATTTCTCTCCTTTGTCCGGGGGCTGCCCTTTTAACTCTTCATCATTTCTTTTTATGACGTGTTTACTTTCTTCATTGGCTTTATCATGATTTCCTAAACATGATATCCGAGTTGATAAAAGGATATTTTTTAGGTTATTGTCCCACAGTTGTTCCTAGTGCCTATTCACTGTCAAACGTAAGATGTCTCAATTGATAAATATAATACAGGATTATCAGAGAAAGGCTTCGCTTTTACCTACGGTACAGACTATCACGAAACTTGTTCCCGTGGTGAAATGTAGATAATGTTTTCTTGAATATGATTTATAAGAAGTTTATATCTAGTGTTATCACGAGAACATTATACAGCCTAAAGAAATCCCTTAAGACTTGGTTTAAAAGTTCAAACCAGTTGTGACTCACTTTGGGTGTAAACAAAGTAATGCTGTCACACCTTGTTTGTGAAGTGGGAAATCACCGTTTTAATTGTCTACGTGCATGACATGGTGATTATATATCATAATACTGAGAATATTAATTTATTAATTGCCAAGCTGGGCTATGAAATTTGAAATAAAAGATTTTGGCTGGCTCCGGTACTTCTTGGTTGCAAGGTTGCCAGGTTCGAGAGTGGTATTTATATTTATTTGAGAAAATATACTCTTGACTCTTTGAAATAATCATGAAATATGGAGCGTAAAGTTGTTCTAACTGCTATTGAGTTTAACAGTGATTTGAGTGGACGAAAGCGGGAGCTTTTACCAAGGCTGATGAGGGGAGGTGTCAGCATCTTGAGGGAAAGTTATTATATTTAGTTTTTACTGGACGAAGGTCTCCAGGTTAAGGGATGTGCTAATGCTAACTAGGTGTGATCTCATGACTAAATGTAGCATGATTCTGGACCCATTTAAGAGCCAATCTTCTAACTTGGACAAGCAGAAAGAAGATTGTGTATCCGAAGTCAAATGCTGAAATATAACACGTGTTGATGACTCATGATTTCATAGAGCTTCTTTAGTTGAAAGTTTTTCTATAAAGATTTGGGCATAAATGCTGAACTCCCATTGAAGTTGCTAACAGCATCTCCGATATGGTTGTGCAACGTCCTCATACTAATCATATTGAATTTGATTTCCATTTCATCAGGGTTAAGCAAAAGATGGACGAGCTTTCTCTCTTTTATTCATTTTAAAAACCTTATTAGATGTCTTCATTAATATACGATTCAAGCATCAGTTGACCTTAATATTGAGCAAGTTAATTGTGAAGAACACCTTGGTTAGCTCGAGGCAAACCATTGGAATGATCAGCCCATAGATTATTGTGTATACCTAATACTTCTGATCCAATTTTTTCGGATTATACTTATGGATTCTGTATATTGTAGGGGTATAGTTGTCTTTTAGATTTTCATCTGATATTAATGTCCTAGATGGAAATTGTGAAATATTAAGCCACAACTCTTTCCTTTTTCTTGTTCGAAGATTTATCAATTGTTAAATGAATGTAATCTTATAGTTCTGATTATAATTATAAACATTATCAATATAGATTATAATGTAACCTTTTGTACTTTGAATTATTCAAAGATGACATTAGTAGTAAACTTCTATTTCATGAATGGCAAATGATTCGAATTTTGGGTTCACCTCATCAAAGTACATCAGATGAAGTCTATCCAAAGTCTGTGCAATAATGTCCATTTGAGAATGGGCGTAGAAAAAATCCAAGTTGGAGATTGAATGAGGTTCATTGAAGTGTCCTAGGATTGAAACTCATTTGAAAATAGTAGTAGCCTTCTGGGGTCATCAGCTGTCTAACAGTTCCCTGTTACCAGGGTTCCCTCCATTTACCTCTTTTTCTGGTTTCGAATATCTTTGTTCACGTCTGCTTTTCATTCTGGTAATGGTTCCCTTACCCTTTTGGCTAAAGGCAACAATAGCGGAGGCTTTGTTTGGAGCCGCTTCTCAATTTTATTTTTTTTGTGAAAGATCACTAGAGGTCTGACTTAGGCTAGCCTATATTCATATTTCATGTGCGTTAACATTGTCTACTGTTCTGCAAAAGTTAAGTGATTCAATGGTGGATCAATATTGACTGTCCTTTGCACATTACCATTGGAGCCAGTTCTGGCTGCCGGAGAACAAGCACATCTGTCCATCACAGAAGAAGGGGGACATTATGAAGTTTTTCTGAAGTGGTGGCAGTAACTCATTGAATAAAAATATATTTTTACTGGGAAGATAAGTTCATGATCTACCTGAATCGTCTATTGCTTGAGGACATTGTTGCTTTAGCACATGTTTCATCTTAATGACAGTGAAAATGAATCCTCACGTGCTTTATCATCTTTTACCTTTCTTGTTTCGATTTTCTTCAAAGGTTGCACGGGAAAAAAATAATTTAGCGATCACTTGTTTTTATTTCCGGAATTTGTCTTTTCCCTTTAATGCAGTTGTTATTATGTCATATTTTGCAGACTTTGACGCAGAGATTCCCTACCATATTGACCAAGACAGGTGTAACTTTATTGCTGTTGGAAATATTGAACTACCGTTTACTTCCTTTGTACAGGTTTATCATGCTTTTGCACTCTTGTTGAATCTTTACAGTATTAGTTAGCCGTTTTGATGAAGTAATAGAATTAGGATGTACAGTAACCTTCTTTGCTTGAATTATTCTCAGTTCTGTTTTTGGATGACAATAGATTACCTGGTGCTTGTGCTTTTTGCACTTTATCTTGTATTAAACTTCTTCTGAGGTGATGTTGTGATGGTAACCACTGTTGTTGTGGAACATGACATCCATATTTTTATATGATCAGTGGACAAGTAAAGCTTCAGCACTGAGGCTTGTATTGAAGAACTCCACTACGATGTTTATCTCAAGTATGTTGGTTTAAGTAATGGAGAAAACATGACCATATGAAGAATTGGTCTTCATGTCTGAGAAACATGTTTATCATGCTCCACTCCTATGAATGATTGAGCAATTTTAAGCCTGGCCTGAGACTAAGTCTTTGATCAGAAGAAAGAGGAGAAGGAAGTATTATGAAAGAAAAAAGGAAGATGAAAATGAGCAAAAATGTAGAACAACCTTTATTTTGTGAAGGTGTTAAACACCTCAGTTCATATTGGTAATTAATTGTTAATCACAGCCACATTCAGAAACAAAATGGGTAAGTTTTCCTTATTACTGAGGTACTGAGATTCATTGTAGACCACATTGAGCTAGTGACATCATTATGGTCTTGGATCCTTGACCTATGCGTCCTTCTAGGATATAATGGCAGGGTCTTGAGAATAGACATGAGAATCAGACCAAATCTAGTAAGCACTGGCTGATCATTTTTTTGGGTGGGGAGGAATCCAATCATGTCCTGGTTATGTCAAAAATATCATTTAGTCGGTCCAAATCAGCCTTGTTTATGGGCTGAAGTGACGAGAAACTAGTTAATTCTGGAGATATTGATGAGTTTTCTACCCAGTATGGCACTATCTGACCTGAATCAGCCAGTTTTTGAAAACAATGCTGCTATGTGAGGAAGAATATTGAAGCATCGCTAGCCAAGAAAGGGTGGAGGAAGAAGAAAGAGAACCCATTCAATTCGTTGTTATTCATGGCAGGTTGCCACCAACTACTATATCTCTGGGCCTCATGCCGCTATCTTTGATTGACAGCACGTGACCATTTTACAGTCTATTTAGAAGAAGACCAATTTTAATATTTGTTGCATTTATTACGTTTTTCAATAATCGTCGTTAGATATTTTTGAAGAATGCCACTGTTGCCTTCTTTTCGTTTTTCTTCTTGAATTTTCTTTTGCTTCAGGTTGGGCTATTTGATTGATCCGATCTCCTCTTGGGTTGGATTGGACTAGGCCAATTCTGCTGTTAAAGACAGCTGATGTTTGACTGGATTTTGAATTTCTTAGCACTTTCTCAGTGAGGAAGACATGAATAATGAAATAATAAAATTCTAATTTGGTTTTTATCTCAATCTTCTGTGAGGGCATCCACTTTTTCTATTTAGCATTGATATGATGTGGTACTATTTAGCCTACCTCGCTTCTTCTTCTCCCATTGACCAGATCTACTTAGAACACATGACCTTGCTGAAAAATTCTCAATGCTGACTAATCTGTCAGATCGTCAACCTCGTCCCCACATTATTCCAGGTCAGTACGCACTATGCCAAGAAGAGATTAATTCCCTGGGTTATCCATTCCAAACAACACAATATATACTGGTTTCTGGGCATTTTTAAGTTTTGAGAGATGTATTGACCAGGCTTTATCGAATTCAGATTTAGATCTGGGGTGCACCGATCAAGTAACGTGATCCAAACCTCATTAATCTCTGTTTGGGTCACTTGGTGATGATGAACTTAAGTACAGGAGAATGGTGACTTTAAACATCAAGAGGGGGAGGAGTAGATTTGAAACTCAAAATCGTTACTCATGCAAAGCATAAGAATTGACCCTTTAAAGGATAGTCATTCAACTACAGGGGATAATGCTAATAAAAAACACAATCAGATTGTCGAGATGCTGAAATAACCATTGATTCTGCTGGATGTTAATATTGCCCGTTTGGTGATCTCTATCAGCCAATCCATCCAGAGTCAGGCAGTTCCTGGAGGCCTTAGCTTTTAAATCTGGCTTGATGTTGGGGGATTTGTTGAAAAAACATTATCAACCTCTACCTCATTAGAAAAGAAAGGTCATTATCTTTTGATTCGAATCTAGATTTCAATAGGTTGATTGATAGTAGCGAGGAAGAACTCCTCCAGGCAGCGCACTGCGCCCATGGCAACAGATGGTCCCTCATCGCCCACCTCTTTCCTGGCTGCACCGACAATGCTGTCAAGAACCACTGGTGCGTCATCTATGCCAGGCATTGCCGCTGCCACCAGGATCCATCCTCCGTCCAGAACCAGCCTATTCCTGGAGGAGGAAGCTTTTAAATCTGGCTTGATGTTGGGAGATTTGTTGAAAAAACATTATCAACCTCTACCTCATTAGAAAAGAAGATCATTCTATGTTGATTCCAATCTGGATTTCAATAGACTGATTGATAGTAGCACTTTTAGTGGGAAAACTGGATGATATGGATTTGGAGAGTATCTATGCTTCTTGTTTTGAATCAAAGTCGCTGATGATATCACTCTATTCCTGTCTTTTACGCTGTTATCTAAGAGTACCACCGATAAATAAGTTTTCACTGGAAATGATAAACTCTGCACTCGGACATCGTCCCGTGATGCAAGCACTTCTGGTCTGTCCCTGTATTAGCCACAGCCTATTTGTCTTAGTTTGCTTGGAATCCTATAAACCTCTCTTGCAATAAGATCAGCCTTTTTATCATAGTATTCAGGGAGATTCATATCATTGGCATATGTAGTTTTATGAGCCTCAGATTATCTAATCCCATTCTAGATATATCTGAGGATTTCAAAATCTGAACAACGAAAAGCTAAGAATGTTCTCCTTGCTCGAGCCCAAGGTGAGTATATCAGCAAAAAATTTACTGGTGGGTACAGATTCGTATCCATAAATATCTACTTGGTGCATGAATATTATCGTGTGGAATCACAATGGTTTTTTGATGATGAGGCTAATAACTTTTATTTAGATCCCTTAGTGGATAAATCACAAAAGTACAGTTCATGTTTACCGGCATCTGACTGCATTGACTAACCATTTATAATGGGTGCTGTCTCAACTTTTTACCGTCAGGACTTGCTGTTATGCGTCATCGGCCATTTGGTTCCTGTTACTGAGTGCTCCAAGTTGAGCTTTAATATGATTGCTGATGTTTAAATAGTAGGTTTCAGCAAATAGCATATCTGTATGCAAGACTATCACGCTTTAAATATTTAAAAAATAGCACATGCTTTCAATAGCATCTCTCTTAAGATACCATGAACATTTTGGATTGGGACTTTTGTTGGGGCCCGTGCTATAAGTTTTCTGATCATCAGTAGAGATATTGATGCTCAGTTCCGCTAACATAGATAATCCAACTGCAGATCAATGATCGATATGATGCCATTGAAATTTTTTAGCATTTTTTATTTTGTTGATATTTAAAATTTTTCCTTATTGATCAAACGACACACGTTTCTTCTGCATTTTTGTAGGTTTCATGGGAAAAGCAAAGCATTGATGTATGATGTGACTAAGATAACCTCTGTAATCAAAGGAAAACGTGGTGATCATCGTGTTTTCAGATTAGCTGAGAATTTGTGTATGAACCTGATTCTTTCCATTCGGGACTTCTTTCTTGTGAAGAAGGAATTGAAGGTTGGCATGGTCTTTGCTAGAAGTCAAACACATAATTCAGACATTTGTAGCCTTATTTCTTACTATTTTTTGTTTTTGATTTTTCTATCAGGGTCCCACCGAGTTTACTGAAACACTTAATAGGATAACAATAATTAGTTTGGCTATTACCATCAAAACCCGTGGAATTGCCGAAGTAGATCAAATGCTCTACCTACAACCCTTGCTAGAGCAGATAATGACAACATGTCAGCATACATGGTCAGACAAAACAATGCGACATTTCCCTCCGCTTATTCGCGATTTTTTAATGGGCAGGATGAATAAAAGGCTTCAAGCAATACAGGCATGGCAACAGGTAGGTTTCATTATTTGGTCCTTTTGTTTCTCGCGAACAGCTCTTGTTTTTTTCTGTTGTCCAGTGAAACACAGGCTCTGCGGTAAAAAATGTGTTGGTGGGACACCATGTAAGCGAATTTAAATGTTCTCTTCTGAATGCTTAATTGTCCAAGTATTTTTTTGAAAAAAATGACATTTATTTGTTTTGTCACCATTATTGTTCAAGATCTGTCTAGGGACAGTAAATGCGTACATCAGTGGATTTTTTATAATGGGCAGAAATGTCGAAAATAGGTATTGTAGTGTTTGGGCATAATAATTCAGGTTTTTAGTCTGCTCTACGTTTTGGTACTTTGGTTCACCCTTCCCTGACCTGTTACAGTAGTGAAAAAAATAAAATAAAATTTGGAGAAATATTTCATTTTTTTAGTATTTTTTGGGTGAAAATTGATTCCCATGGTTTCACATGCACGAAACTTCAAAGAGCAAACATGCTCATTTATTCACAGATGTATCATGGAGAACTGTCTCTAAGAATATGGTTACCTTCAATTGAATAGTGTAGGGATTATTTGTTAGAAGTCTAATTATTTTTCATTAAAAATTCATATGGATCCAAACCACAGTGATGAAGTGGCTCTATGAGTGAGAAGTTGCCATTGATTACGCGAACAACAGATCTGTCTTATAAGATCCATTCGATGCACAAAATTCATTTGAACTATGATGTATACTGCGAGACGAGAAATGAGAAGCACTAAATCATTGACGCCTCTAATGTGGAATTGAAATCTATTTGTGGAGACATCCTTCTGTCACATTAACATATTTGATAGTGAGCATGACCTAAAATTTTGTAGTATCTTCCAGCTGTTTATGTGTGAAGTTGTAGTATCTGCCAATTGATGAATACTTGTTTATGTGCCAAGCGGAAGGTCTTGAAATAGTTAAGATTAATAATCTGATAACTTCTGAGGTTCACTTGTCCGTGTTTAAACTGTGTATAGAGTTTTTCTCTAAAGGAAAAGCACAAGTCAAATAAAATGCTTGCAGATAAAAGTACTATCACATCTCTCTTGTTGTTATAGTAAATGTGTAACGAAGGCCACGGTTAAGAATGTTTCTCGTCTAGATGAAGTTGCTGTTCGTCACCAGCTATATTGAATTGCCTGTCACGCATTAGAGATTTCTCTTTGTCTTCAGTGTGAACTCAAGGCCAAGTCATTTATAGACTACAATATAAATGTGCATAAGGTCACTCAGGCCCAGCACAAAGATGCTGTTCAACGCCTTGAAGATTAATTTGCGTATGAATTTCTTTTTTAGTTGAATAACCCTTCCTTAAAGGGTGAATCTAATATTTCTTCAGGTCGTTCTATAAGTTTCAATTTCCGCTTTTCCTTTAGGTTTCCTTTTAGAACAGGCCTCTTTTATTTATAGAGAGGTCTGATCCTATTCTATTTGGTTTTTGTGAGAATTATACGAAGAGTAGAGAGGTCATCTCCTCTTCTTATTGTACGTAGGCCGACCCTTCTTCAGGACTTCTGTTTGCCATTACACTACTTCCCTACCGGCAGTGTCTTTAACTCATTATCCTGATAGCTGTGATGGAGTTCATCCTTGTCCTTCTCCAGGTTCCTGTTATTCAAAATAATGTTTGGCAAACCATCTTGAGAAGCATGTTCCCCTAAGATGAAACACTGCCATAACTGTATGACAGAATAGGATGTTGATTATATATTCTAGATTTGAGCTCGGCATGAAGTAATAGTGAAAAACTTGCTTGGATGGCCTTGATGACTTTTAAGGTCAAATTTGCAGATTAATGAAGCTGTACTTTATTCATTTGGCTTCTTATGCTTTCCTGACCCAACTGCAGTAAGTCACTTCACTCTATCTGAACCTAATATTTTCTTGCTGCAGGCAGAAACAACAGTTATTAATCAATGTAAACAGTTGCTTTCACCGACAGCTGATCCCACATACGTCATGACATACATCAATCATAGTTTTCCTCAGCACCGTCAATACCTTTGTGCTGGTGCCTGGATGCTGATGAGCGGTCATCCTGAGAGTATTAACAATACAAATCTTGTATGGCAATATTGTTTTATCTTCTTTGTCTCTTATGTCTTGGTCAGTAGAAAATATCTTTTCATGTTGCGTGGCATATCATCCTAGAATTTCATTATGATGCCTATTTTATGTAGGGACGTGTCCTACGAGAATTTTCTCCAGAAGAGGTTACATCAAACATTTATACTATGGTAGATGTTCTTCTTCACAATATACAGGTTGAGCTGCAGCACGGACTTCCTATACAGGTATTGGTGCTTTATCAGTAGTAATTCTATTCAAAGTTTTATGAGAATTGTGTCAGATTTCTGTTCTATATAGTTCGTTTTCTACATAAAATATCCCCTGCCTTTTGGAGCATCGTCCTTACTGTCAGTATCATTTTCAGCATTCCTTCTGGATTGATTATGGAATTGTTGCCATCCTGACAAAGAGGAAAATAAGACTAGTGATCTGACCATGAATTGGAAAAAACATTTGATTGATTCAAGAGTGAGGGTGGGATACAACCCAGTGAAAGAAAGGGGGGTACGCGCTTGAGATCTGGGTCAATGAAATAGTTGGCCATATGTATTCTCATGGCAATTTACAGCTCACAACACGGAAAATCGGCCTTGGTGAGGGTCAGATTTGGTCGAATGAGCTTGAGGATATTATTTCAAAGCATGCATGGTTTTCTGTAGTCAGATATACATCCTTAATAGCCGGGTGCTCTGCATGTTCTCTTCTTGCCTTGAGCATATTTTTAGAAGAAATTATAAACATGCGGCTGGTAAGGCTTACAAGAGTGGAAGGGTGCTAATGAGATGGTTCCTGCCATTGATTTCTTATCTTGTCTTATATCTTATATCTATCTGTGGGAAAAAGCGTATAATTAATAGTTAGTTATTGGCCAGTTACCTATGTCGGTTTGGTTGTTGGTCCTATAAATCCTAGGATTCAACCTAGGTAATTTTCCTTTTTTGAGGTCAGGGTAATTGTATATAACCAGCAATCTTTCTATGAATTGATATGACAGAAAATTTTCCCCGCTGTTTATTCTTGTTTGGTTTGTGCCACTACCCACTGAACTGTCTGTTGTACTCCTCCTTGTAAGGGGGGTCCACAAGTTTTCATCTCTTCTTTTTTATAAGACCATATTTTTGACCTCACCATTCATAGAGTCGAAGATCAGAAGACATGATGAGATTGTTCTCTCAAACCTACTTTTCGTTCTTATGTTTTGTCATCTCTCGAGTTAAGAGTTTCTCATCAATATAGTCATCCTTCTAGCTCCAAGTGATGCTCATCCTAATTGCTGCGCCTTATTAAATTTCATACGATTATTCCTGGTTGAGAAAATTTGTGAGCACATACCTGGGATGATTGGCTGGGCCGCTGGTCCTTTGATTGATTAGGAGGATATAGCACTGGTAGATTCCATTCATGGATAAGGCTGGCAGCAACCACACAAGTAAGCAAAGCCCCCAATGAGGAGCTGAATATCAAGTTGAAGCTCCTGCTGTTGTTTCCATCTCGTCGAGACAAGCAAGCACTTCAAAAAGTAGAGTAACGGAGCACAGATGCAGGCCACCTTTTTTAGCACTATAGAATGAGAAGAAATAACTGCAGCTCTACCAAAAAGAAATGCAGATCTTGGAACCGTGCTCTGTACCTAACAGGAGTATAAGCAGGGGATGCTTGGGGCCAAGTTAAAAACCTAGCACGCACCGGAGAAGAAAGAAACAAGAGGTTAGACAAGAGAGGCCTGCAGTTGAGATGAAGCACTCGTTGAGGGTTTTCGGGAACTACAAAGTAGATGCTGTTGGAGAGATTTCTTTCGCAAACTCTGGTTGAAAGATTCAAGAGTCGTATACGCATGTACAAATGTTAATCCCCCCCCGGATATTAATATTTATTCCTGGGTGTGTACACGTATGTGTCCACACATATATAAATTTATAAATAAATTATTAAAGCACACTGGCGTGGATATATAAATTAATAAAAATAATACTAACAGCACGTTGGCGTACGTATGAAAAATATATAACTATATTTTATAATTCCATGTGCCTGCACCCGCATTTTCCTGAGCTGATCCTGGACAACCATCCCTTATAAGTCATGAAGAAATGGAATGGAAACAGAACTAAAATGGTTTGTCTTCTTGATTTACGTGTTGGGCAGTTTTGGGTGCTGATGTTTAATGATGGAAAGGAATAATGAAAATGTCAAGTAATTTATTTCATTCAGATTTTTTTTTCTTCTTACAACCAGCGAGCCTGCTGGCTGTTTTGCAGAATTTCATCTTGTCTCAGTTTTTTCATTTTCAGATAAAATTATGTCTAAGAAATCCTGTTCGCATCGTTTTGTCCTCTGTTTCTTCCTCTGGTGACTCTTTTCTCTTGTGGCTCTGAGTTCTAGAAGAAACTCCCCTATTCAAAGGTATTGTTTGGTGCTTTTTTGCTTTCTTCTGTTTTCTTTTTGTCATGAAAGCCACTGACGAACATGATTTACAATGCCCTCAGTGAATGCCCACTGTGTGTAACTTCTTCTAGTGTGGAATTAATGCTTTTAGCAATGAGTGCCACGGCCTATTGCTGACCTAAGTGGAATTAATGCTTTTAGCAATCAGTAACGGCCTAATTTTGGATGTCCCATTGATGGCAATATTAGTGATTTTTTTCATCAGCGGCCCTATGCACTTCTGTGAAGGTAAATGGTTTGTTCTTGTATTGGACAGAAATTCTCGCATTCCCAACTATTATAAAGAGGGAGTTGGGGCCACATTGGATGCTCTTTGAACTGTGAAATTATTTGTCAAACAGTTCTTGGCAACCAGTAGCTCGCCGAGGGACTTGGACAACTTGTTGCGGCCTTGGAAGTGGCATAGTTAGACAGATGAAAGTTTGAAGGTTTTTGAAAGGATTAATGGCATACAGAGCACCCTTTGAACAGTGCCCTCAAATATACAAGGTAGCAAAATAGAGGACCTTACAACAAAAAAAGGGGACTTTTGGGCAGAAGAGTATTCACTGATCTTGAAATTAAACCATACTCCTATTCATGCTATCCGTTAGTTCACTTTTTACGTTTAGCTTGAGTAAGATAACGTACGAATATGCAGATGAACTGCAAATAATATTTTTTTACATTGACATATAATGTTACATTTTATGATGAAAGGTAGTGTGTATGGTGGTACAATGCCACCTGGTTGACTTCTGCCCCCATTAAGATCAGCACCTTCATGTCAAAAAGAGATCATAAAGCACTCACATTTTATGATGCAAGTGACTGCGCCAATTACTTGAATCCAGCGAGAGCATTATGACGACGATAATCTGTGCCAAACAGTGATTCGATCTTTAATAGCATAATATTTTATAGTTGTTCGTAGCTTGGAGTGAAAATACAAATATTCAGGAGCCAAAGTGGAGTGCTGGTCATCATTGCTAGCAGAAATGTTTTGACCAATCTGGATGGAGCAGTTAATGAATAATTCTGAGATGCAGACTATCGCCAGGGAAGCCTACTGTTAAGAAAAGTTGGCTTGCTGCTGACCTGGGGACCATGTGTAACTAAAGCAAGATTCAGAAAATGATTGGAGTGCGGTCTTTCTCCTTATATCTTTCTCTTTTAATGTTATTTCTTTTAATCTGGTACATTACTGGGTAGCGATTGCTGATTCGCGGGTTCTTTTTTTTTTAAGTGGTACGAGGATTTTTTGTTGGTATTAATTTAATACCATACTTCATTTACTTATTTTCTTTGCAAATGGTTGATTGCTTGCAACCTTCAAAGAATTTTTTCTATTTTAATGCTACTGCAATCTCCTTCTTTCAGGATCTTCTCGCAAAAGCTAGTGCGAATATTGCCTCTTTGATTTGGACACACGAGCTTCTCCCTCTGGATATTCTTCTTCTTGCACTTATTGATCGTGATGATGATCTCTATGCCTTACGGATCGTGGTAATTCATGTGTTGCTTTGTCTCTTATCTAATAGTGGGCTTTTTTGACCAGGTGCTTATTGAATACTAGAATTCTTTGTAAGAATTGAGGATGTGATCATAATTTAAAACTGCATAAATCAAATGTTGTCTTATGGTTAGATATATCTATCTATATATATATATATATATATATATATATATATATATATATATATAGATATAAACAATGTAGCCACTATCCCATCAAACTGTAAGATACTAAACATTGTCTGTTAGATAATTGGACAGTCAAACTCAAAATCAATCAGCTGTCCGTGGTGTAGGTCCTTTATTATTACCACAAGATTTTTATCCCTCCGCTGAACAGAGGCTATTATACCACGCAAAATGATAAGACCATCTTACTAGAAACCTGTTGGGTTTTATTTGTATGCGGCATGCTTTTTACAACTAAATTTAAGTACTTGGAGTCGATATGGTCAATTCAAACATCAAGAAACAATTTTTTACCTAAATTAATTGCATTAAAGAATTTAAATCACATGGATGTCACCAAGATCATTCAATCGAAAAGTGATCTTGACAATGGACTACTTCTCGAGAATTGAGAAGTTACCAAGATCATCAAATGTACACCCCCAGAAGCAAGATCTTAGGTACACCTGCATGTAATATGGCAGTTGTTACCTTGACAATGGACTACTTCCTTCCATGTGGAAGCTACGAAGGTAAGTTCTTGCTTCTATCAAATGGGAACTTTCATAAGGTTCACAAGGAGTAATTTCAGCAAATTGAAACTTATTATTCTCTATGCTTCTGAACTTTCATTAGGTAAAGAATAGGAGAGGTAGTTTGCAAGCTCCTTCAACTAACCCCGCTGATTTCCTGCTAATAATTTCTTCAATGCTGTTTGACTAAGAAAGTCTCTTGCAAGGGACGAAGTTTAATGATTCATTGAGGTGCTCTGTATCTTTTCTCTTCTGTAAATATAAATGACTCTCTTCCATGTCTGAAATTTTTCTTTCAAGGCTTCCTGTTATGAAATGAATTAAAAATCCGTAGTGTTTCGTGTGAGGAAATCATTTTGTTTAGAGTCGCTCCTTCAGAAATTCATTTGGTGTCACTATTGAAATCGCTTAATACCTGGGCTGAGAGATTTAGGAATTTAGATGTGCGAATAGTATACCTCTCACTTAAGTATTCAGTCATTGACAAAGAAAATTAATTTCCTAACTTTATTCGAGTATTTGGTTGAAATTTTGTTGATTCTTATGAATTGGCCATGGTTTCAGACTTCCAGGGTCATGATGTGCGCGGGGATTTGGTAAAAGGGATCAAGCTGGTCGATAAGTACTGAATTGGATCGACTTGGGCACATTTTGTGCCCAAGTCGTTCAGCTGATTCATATGAATTGTTGCGGCTCCTGCTCCAACAATTCAAATTGTCAGTTCATTGAGAAAAAAACTCTAAAAAGACATGCTTCAAGGATAATATTATCTGAATAAACATTCTTATCAAAAAGGAGAAAAATTAAATACTTTCCAACAACGACTTAGAAAAAGTTTTTAACATTGTGACCCGCTCTTCCTTAACATGATGCCCATCTGATCCATTCTACAGTGAAGACGTACCAGCTAATGTAAATGAAAATTATGACGAACAGCAAAGGTAGATGCTGTGGCTGAAGTCTGAGGTAGGGGAAGAGGAGAGCAGAAGGGGAAAGGAATTGACAGATATTTGGAGAGACAATGTCAGTGCTTGGGGTTTTGGGCTAGATTTTAATTCTTCCCTTGTTCCTCTTTTTATCTGATCCCTCTGTTTTGTTATCTTCATCCATAGTTCCACTTCCTGCAGTATGAATTAAGGAGTCTTTACAAGTCCTGGCCTACTTAGTTTTTTGAATTACAAAGCTGGACCTTCAGGCCAAATTTGTTAGGCTTGGACTGAATGATGGTGTGCCATTATCATCATAGCTAATAATATGCTTGTTGCTACATATAATTCCAAGTCTTCTTTAAGGTTAAGTTATTCTCCCTTTACTGTTGATGGTAGTGATAATTTGTCCTTTGAAGGATATCATAATTTATTTGTGTGTCGATCTTTTTGATAAATGATTCAGATATTTGTAAGTGGAGTTTTTCTTATCCTTTACATGATAAGCGTGCAATTATCCACAGTTAAACTTGTTGCTTGAGAGGCAAGAGCTGCAACAGCGGGTTAAGATATTTTTCGGAAATCGTACATCACCTGACCATTGGCTGAACACTGGAGTTTACAAGCAAGTTGACTTACAGAAAGCTCTTGGCAACCATCTTTCTTGGAAGGATAGGTAAGTCCTTTGCAAACTCCCTGTCCATCTGCCTTCATAGGAAAATCCCAAGTGATATGGTTATGCAAAATGCAGCACTTATGTGAGGATGGAAATTTCTGATTCAACGTGCGCTGTCTTTCAACAATGTTAAATTTTCTCACTATTCTATAAGCCTCATCTCAACGTCCTCTCTGTCGAATTAAAAATGAAAGTCGCATAAATTAATGTTTCATGGCAAGATCCATAGTTCTCCAACAAAAAACCAACCAGGACATTAATGTAGTGCTTTCTGACAGATAATCCTTCTGAGCGGGACTGGTTTGATCATGTTTCATTACGGTCTATAATCCTCCTCACCTATTCATTGTTGTTGAGTCTATACGTTACTTGCTATGTCATGTATCTATAATTTTTATTGATGAACAGTGGACTGACAAGTAGATGCCCAAATTTTCTGTGGTTCTTGTCTTTTGCAGGTATCCCCCATTCTTTGATGACATGGCAGCACGTCTACTCCCAGTTATTCCATTAATCATTTACAGACTTATCGAAAATGATGCGGCTGATGCTGCTGACAGAGTTCTTTATGTATACTCGACATTTCTAGCGTATCATCCACTTAGATTCACATTTGTTCGGGATATCCTTGCGTATTTCTATGGTCATCTTTCTGGAAAGCTCATTGTCCGTATATTGAAAGTCCTTGATGTCAGTAAGGTATGATATTCTCTTTTGAGTAAGATGCATTTTCCTTGCCAGAGAAGACAATATTGGTTGGATACTGTCGATGTTATTCGCGCTTTTGAAAAATTAGTTGAGTAGACAAATGGGACAATTATGCCGCATGTCTTTTATCTACTTATCCTCCTTTGTTGTCCTGGTTTATAATTCTTGTTCGTCTCAGATTCCTTTTTCAGAGTCGTTTCCTCAGTACATCGGTTCAGTAGGCTCCGCATTGTGCCCGCCACAGGAGTATTTTTCGAATCTTCTGTTAGGTATTGTCAATAATGTGATTCCTGCTTTAAATAGCAAGTCCAAGGCTGGGGTAATTGGAGAAAATCCGCGTCCAGTGCCTCACAGAACTCAAACATCTCAGTCTGGACCATCTGCCATATCTGATGGACATAGAGCCTTCTACCAGAATCAGGATCCTGGCACATATAGCCAACTTTTCCTGGAAACGGCAGTAATTGAGATACTATCACTTCCAGCTACAGCTTCTCAGGTGGTATCGTCTCTTGTTCAAATAATTGTGCATATCCAGCCGATGTTGATTCAATCCAACAGTGGATTGCAAGGATCTTCCAGTGGGCCCGGTCAAAGCTCTGTCCTACCAACATCCCCCTCGGGTGGGAGCACTGACTCCTTGAGCACTAGTCGATCTACTCCGTCATCTGCATCAACTGCTTCCAACTTCATTTCCAAAAGTGGATACTCATGCCAACAGCTAGCATGTTTGTTTATCCAAGCATGCGGCTTGTTGTTAGCCCAGCTTCCACTTGATTTTCACACGCAGTTCTACTCTGAAGCATCACGCATAATAAAAGATTGTTGGTGGCTGACTGATGGGAAACGATCACAAAGGGAACAGGAGTCTGCTATTGGTTATGCCCTACTGGATCCATCGTGGGCTGCTCAAGATGGCACCTCAACAGCCATTGGTATGGCAAACTATTCGATTATCTCGTTATTTTCAAAATGTGCATGCCTTATTAGTTCTGTATGATTTTTTCAATGTGGGAAAAATCACTTTATTTTAAATTTCTGTAATCACCTATTCAATTGTATGCCAAGTCCTCCCCAGAAAATCATTTTCTATATTAAATGGAATTTTAAAAAAAAACCAAAATTTATGTTCCAAATTGTTGGTTTTTTAAGTTCATTTTTTCCACTATCTGTGCTGCGCTGTAATAAGAATATTCGTCATTTTTTATTGGGCACAAACTAAAAAAGGATCCAGACCTCATGGCAAAATGTTGTTGTCCAATACAAGTTCTTGCATAATTTAAGCACATATATAAATGTTAATATAAAAGTGCCTGTGGACAAGCTTAGGAAATCTGAGCTTGTTAGTCTTGCACCAATGAGACCTGACTCTTCGACCCCAGTCCAAATTATCAAAAAACCATAGGGATATAAATTAACTGTTTATGGAAAGTTACAAATCTTACATAGTTTTTCTATGCTTCTGATGAATGTTTGCTGTAAACTACCCCCGGACTTGAAGAACTTTCGGGTAAAGCTATGCTTTCTTTTCCGTGAGTTGCATAGCCTCAGAATCTCCTGTTGCCTCTTCAATTGGATAATAGGGCCCTAGATTCTTATTGAAGGTTTTTAGAGGGAGATGCCACGAAAAACATGCTGAAGGTAAATCTCCTTGTATGTCATTGGACTTCTATCAATATGAAACCACTGAAGAGTTCTAATTTTATGTTGAGAATTGATCTTGATTGAGATTCTTGCAACTTGGAGAATGAAAGGAGCTGATCTTCACGATCCTCCTCTTCCAGGAAGATGAATCACTCACCACTTCTTGGAGCAGAGTTTCCACAATCCCAGAATCTCACATCAATTATCTTGGTTTCCCGCTTAAGTACAGGTTACATGAGTTAATGGGCCAGGCCCATTACATTAGTCTTTAAGTGGATCAGTTAACAGTCCAATGGATCCACTTAACATAGGGAATGACAGAGGACGACGAAAATACAGTGAAAAGAAACAGATAGAAAGGAAAAACAATCCTAGAGAGTTCAACAATTATCAGCCCATTTTACCTCTCTTTGTTCGAGCAATCTAATGAACTGGTACCTTCAGAGAGTAATCTGTGGGGATATATGACGGAAAAAGAAATCTAGTCTGTCTTAATCCTTCAAATCGGTTGCCAATGAGATTTTTTTTTTTTTTTTTTTTTGACTTTGCTATGAATTTTCATTAAAAGCCATGACCTCGTATATATATAGCTCAATCTATGGGCAGCTTAGTGTTGTTAGAGGTATATGCAACTTTATTTATTGCAAAAAATAAATTCCCTCGCTCTTCAAGCTACTCCAAGCTGAAAACTATCTCCTTCTTTTCACAGGGAATATAGTTGCCCTCCTGCATTCCTTGTTTAGCAATCTCCCTCACGAATGGCTGGAAACGACTCACACGGTGATCAAGCACCTTCGTCCAATTTCTTCCACCGCAATGCTAAGAATAGTATTCCGCATACTGGGCCCAGTACTCCCTCGTCTGAGCTTTGCGCGCCCTGTATTCCTAAAGGTATTCTGCATATCGCATTTACTTTTTCTGTCGGATCTTCCGACTTTGACTAAAAATAACTTGTCAAGCCTTTGCGTTTATTGATTTATATGTGCTTGCGTGTGTATGAATGTATGCATCAGAGGGTCTTCTTCGGGGAAAAAATCAGTTTTTCTTGTTTTGGATAATTAACTTTGTCTAGCATGTTCCTTTCTCTTAATCTGTGACTACTTTTACCGTTCTTTTCTTTTAGTAGATCACTTTCCCTCTAACTCAAAAGTCAACCACGTGTGATATTTCATAAATCCAACGGATTGCCAAATCGGGATGTAGATGATGTTGATGATGCTCAGGCTCACATGAACAATCTCCAATCCTTCACATCTGCATCAAATTAAGTTCACCCATCCCGATCTGATCGGCCATTTTCTCATTTGTGCTCGCCACTCCTGGCCGATAATCTGAGCTCCCCCTCAAGGAAGAGAGATTCCCAGACGTTGACTTTGTAAAGGGCGGCTGTCGCACTGGTGGGTTAAAGCATCTCATGGTCCTTTAGTGAAACTAGGTAGAAATGGAAAACTGGAGACGCATCATTTAGAGAAAAGTGGCGACCTTGGAGTTGGGAAAAATATGATTAAAACCTATTTTTTATCGTTGACTTAGCACTACTATTTAGTTATTCATCTCGGTTAGAGATTCTAGCGTAGAAAATCGTTTGAGCGCCTCAAAATCATCACACTGACGGGCGTTTGCTTCTTGCCAGTCTATTGCGCTGCTTTTCAACTGCATGGCGGACGTATTTGGGAAGACCACACAGCCGCCAACTCCCGTCGAAGCATCAGAGATTAAAGACCTCGTTGACTTCCTGTGAGTGACAGGATCCCTTTTGGGCAACTCTCTCTCTCTCTCTCGCCCACTCGATCGCTTGCTCGCCATGGTTCTTCTTGATTCTCACTCCATTCATTATCCTACCCCAACAGGCATCATGCTGTCATGTATGAAGGTCAAGGAGGACCTGTGCAAAGCAGCAGCCGACCTAAACCTGAAACGTTGACTCTCTGCGGGAAAGTGATGGACATGTTGAGGCCAGATGTCCAGCATCTACTCGCCCATCTGAAGACGGATCCGAATTCTTCCATCTATGCTGCTACCCACCCAAAACTCGCCCAAAATCCCACCTGATCAGATCATGAAGATGAGTTGACCTGCGGTAGGTTTGGACGCAGCTCTTGGGAAGGTGAGAAGATGTGAACATTTGACCTTTTTCATTTCAGTGCGAGAAAACTACTGGTTCGATTGAAGAAAGATCAGACGATTAGAAATCGTGCCGGAGACACAATCACGACCTCAACGCAGCATAAGGAACTTGGGTTGGTGAACAGAAGGAAAGCTTGCAGTGGTCTGAGGAGAAGACCTTGGGTTAGTGGAGTTGGTCTTCTTTGCCTCTCTCTCTCTCTCTCTATCTCTTTCTCTCTCTTATTCACTCTACTATGTATACAGAAGATTGAAACTCACTAAATTATAAAAAATATTTAGATACAAGGAATGAAATCAACATTCTTGGTGAACATCTGTAGAACATGGGATGAAGGTTGAGAAAGGTACTTCTCCTACGGGTTATGAACCAGATTCAGAGCAGCATTTTACATGTACTGTTTTCAGATCATGCTCAATCATGCTAAACCATATCTGCACGAGACATAAGTATGATATGTATACATGGTTGTGCTTATAAATATCTCATTTTGCTCAAATGGGGAGCAAATGGAAACTAATATCTAGCTTTCATACGAAGCTTTTTGACTTTTTAAAAAATAAGGTCTACTATCCTCCTTTCCTTTTCTATCCAAATTAGGTAGGTGTTGACTTTTTTGTTTTATGGAATTGGATAGGTGGGAACCAAGGGAAAGTAAACTGGATTTCTTTCAAGGTCATTCAAAACCTTGAACTCTCAATCTTACTTTGACCAACCTGCCGAAGTTTTTCTGCCCAACATGAAGGTTTGACCGCTCGCAATACGACTAGTATATTGGAAATGGTAGTACTTATAAAATCGGAAATGATTAGTATATTTTATTGAATTGTAGACGTGGATGTCCGTGGCTACTTTGAATTTTATTGAAATTTCTCACCAACTTATATCTATATATATATAGAGAGAGAGAGAGAGAGATAGCGTCTGGCACATGAGTGATTATATAATACACTCTTGACTTGGTGGGAAACAATAAACGCAAACTTAGAGCCTACGACTTTCAATCCTGACATGGAGTGACAGCAGCCGTTTCGCCTTGAGTCATCTTTCCATCTATTACGGAACGGCAGGGTTGACCAAGAAGTCAGAGAAATGTAGACGTCGTTTTGTTACGTGACTAAATAGGGGGAGTACGTGTTCTATCGGCCATTAATTTCGGATTAATAAGCGGGCGGGCCGAGAATCTGTGTTATTATTTCGAAGAGACGCAGGGAAGCAGACCTCACCCTCACCCTCTTTGATTCTGCCATCTTCTACCTCCGTTTTCTTCGAAGGAGGGACAAGATAAGAGACCCCCCACAGCTCTCCGGGAAGTAAACCGCAAGACCCACCGGGACAGCACGCGTGCTTCGTTTGGAAGCGTCTCCCTCTCTTCGCCTGAAACCTACCGGAGACAGCTGCAGATAACAGCAGAGGGCCGCCGCCGGCGTGGGCAAGAAGAGAACGGGGGTGCCTTCTTTGTGTGGCCACCTCTGCGAAGAAGACCACCGTCTTTTCGTGATCTCTATTCGTGTTCCCTGGTCTCGCGGGGGAAAGCTGAGGGACGCTACCATGATCTTTGTAGCCGCTCCACCCACTTACCGTCTCAGGGTTGACCAACCCATCTCCTTGACCTGGGTGACACGGAACTGCCTAACCAAAAAAGTCAAGGAAATGGGCTGCCTGAAGGTCAACTGACCGTTGGATGTCTCAGCGGGGGAGGGGAGGGGAGGCGAGCGGTGCAAGCCCAGGCCCGCATGGGGTCGGAGACTGAGAGGAGGTCCTCTCCAAGCCCATCCATCCGCGTTCTGGATACGAAGCCCGAAGCTTGCACCTCCCGTGATGCCAAGTGGCTGTTGGGCTGTCATGTGCTGAAGTGTGAATCCACCGAAATCGAAATTTCTCCCCCTCCACCTGTAAATCTGAGGGGAGAGAGAGAGAGAGAGAGAGCATCCCCTGCTGATGGCGAAAGCTCTCGTCCCCGGGTTTTCATCTGTGGGGTCTTTTGGCTAACTCTTCTTCCTCTTCTTTGGGCTAGCAAGCAAGAAGAGGGGGGGGGGATGAGGTGGCGCTATCCGAGGCGGACCTCGCACGGCCATAGCCCATGACACGTGTGCATGATTCTTGGATTACAAAATAAGATTCCTACCCCACTTGGCCTCCCCCTGCTCCCGTCCCTCTCCCCTCGATTATAAAGAGGGTGGCGTGGTGGAACTGCGGGTCTGTTATCTCTCTCTCTCTCTCTCTCTCGATCTCTCTCTCGATCGTTAGCTCGTTTTGTGTGTCTGTCTCCTGTCTCTAGCGGCCTTCGTCTCAGTCTCAGGGCATCTCGATCCGCGTAGACCTCCTCAGGAAGATAAATCTCCCGGCGTTGTGACCGGGTTCTCTGTGAGGAGAGGGAAAGGTTGAGACGGGATACGGTGTCCGCGAGCAGTAGTAGTGTTAGAGAAGGGGAGAATGGGGAGGCAACCTTGCTGCGATAAAGTGGGGCTCAAGAAGGGGCCATGGACTTCCGAGGAGGACAAGAAGCTCATCAACTTCATCCTCACCAATGGGCATTGCTGCTGGAGGGCTGTTCCAAAGCTTGCCGGTCGGTGTTTCCTCTCTCTCTCTCTCTCTCTAGGATAACTGCCTACTGGGTTGTTTTTTTGGAGGAAAGCCATCTCTTTTTCGACGCACTCATCAGGACATTGTTTATGGTGCTCGATTGATCTGGGAGTTCATAGTTTCCTCTCTCCCATTAAAAAAAAAGGACAACCTTGGGAACTGCGTGGTATCAGAAAGGCGTCTTTCAAGTGTGCTTCTTCCTAATACCTCATTTAGACGACAAAAACGGACCATCGGGGCCCATGGCTAATGGGGCTACTTCTTCCTTCTGAACCCTCGTGACGGGAAACCTTCATCCTGCCGCAGGGCTCTTGAGGTGTGGGAAGAGCTGCAGGCTACGGTGGACCAACTATCTCCGGCCGGACTTGAAGAGAGGCCTCCTATCAGAGTCTGAGGAGCAGATTGTTATCGACCTTCACGCAAAGCTCGGCAACAGGTTCTTCCTCGCTGCCCTCCTCGTCGTGGCTGTTCTTCGCCGTCTTTTGCTGTACACAAAAGGTGTATTTATTTATCGATTGCGTCGGTGAAGGTGGTCGAAGATCGCAGCGAATCTCCCCGGAAGAACCGACAACGAGATCAAGAACCACTGGAACACCCACATCAAGAAGAAGCTGAAGAAGATGGGGATCGACCCGCAAACCCACAAGCCCCTCGACTCGTGCGACGGGGGTGGCCAGAGAGGAGAAGAACAAATGGCTGAAGTGGGTGCGGGCGCCGAGACGGCCTCCAAGAAGTTTCCGAGGTCAACGGGGGAGGTGGATGAGGAGTGGAAATCTCAGAGCTTCTGCACAGACGAGGTGCCCGTGATTCTCCCCGAGGAGATGATGGTTCCTCCGGCCTCGACTGTTACCTCAATCTCCCCCTCTTCCCCCTCCTCCTCCTCAATTAACTCGGCGAAGGTCGAGGAAAACCAACTGGCCTGTATAAACTGGTCAGAGTCCATCCCCTGGTGGATCTTGGATGAGAGTGAAGGATGGGACTTGCTCTGGGACCACAGTGAGGGTGGACTGGCCGTGGAGGACCCTTTCAGCGACTATGGGAGCTCCGTCCTTGATCAAGACTCCTGGAGTTTCTCTCTCCAGTGACCTCTACCTCTCTGGCCTCCGACCATTTCACGCGATTTCCTGCGACGGCGGAAGCAGGGATGAAGTCCGAGAGCACGCCACTTGACTTCTCTCTTCCTCTCTCCCTCTCTTCTCTCTGTAGATGGGCGGAGATTTTTCATGTATGGGAAGAGTAAATATCCACCAGAGGAAGAAGACGCCGAGTCCGCAATGAAAGTCTGTAACCTCTCTACCCTCCCCCTCCCCCGCAACTCCATGCACGACTTATGTACATACAAACCATCTGTCATTCTCTCTCTCTCTCTCTCCACTAGTTTCCTCGTGCGGTTCACTTCTGAACGAGAGGGTTCTCTCCGTGCCGGCACGCAGGGTTGCCGTAACAGGAGGCAGCGATACCATCTCGAATCCGCGGATGGGGGAGAGAGATGGAAAGGCAGAGAGAGTCGATCAGTGCCAACTATCTGAACTCATCGTATCGATTTCCCCATCCACCTTCCTCATCAAAGACCCCAGAAAGTGAAGCCGTACGTCTTACAGCCAACATAATTACAAGAGGGGAGCTGATATCCTCCCGATTCAGAGGAGATAGAGATAGAGAGCGAGAGCGAGAGCGAGAGCGAGAGAGAGAGAGAGAGAGACATCTTTTCATTATCCATTGATATGATTTAGAAGGGAGGGAATGCGAGCAGTGATCAGCAGAAGAGTCGAGGTGTCGTCCCTTCTATGCGGGTGTAATTAATGGAGGCTGCCAAGTGCCAAGAGGAGGAGCCATGGCCGTCTTCTATCCCGGTCCATACGCGTGGGGGATCTTAAACGTTAAAGGCCTTCGAGATGACACTTGATCTGCTTTTAAGAGCTGGACAGAGACAAAGAGGAGGGGTGGGTTATGACGGCATCCGCGACAAGGATAAGAGCCGCTGAGTCTCACCGAGAACCGACGAGAGGAGTTTGACCAGAGGAAAGGAGACAACTCGTCTTTGACTTGCGCGGCTCCTTCGGAATTAAGTACGACTGCAAGGAAGACCAGCACCGCTTCTTTTGGATCTACCCAAAGGAGATAGGGACGGACGGATAGAGGGAGTAGACTCTGCTCTCGGTCAGCCGGATGAACGCGGCAATGGAAGTCTTTGAGAGGAGAGCTTTCTGTTAAAGGCATTTATAATCGTGGCGTAGAGGGGTGAGAGGGTTGGACTTGGGAGGCTGCAGCTGGCATCCATCTTTAGTGGCCAGAAGCTCCACCTTTCCTTCTTCTGGAGTATCTCGCGCTTCTGTTTTATTGTGCCTCTCTCTCTCTCTCTCTAGATATATCTGTCTATATCTCTTTCTTAGTTTTCACTTACGTACGATTCTTCTGGAATTCAGCTCTCTCTCTCTCTCTCTATATATATATCGCTTTCTCTCTCTTTCGGTGGTCAAACCAGGGACATTCCCGTTCAGAAGTTTTACGAAAGATTTGGGTTCAAATCAGCCTTGTGGGAGTGTGAATGCGGAGGCAGATGTCCATCTTTTGAGTTCTTCCGCCGCGTGGGGACAATTCTGCCGTTGCTCATCAATTGTGGTCAACACCGCACAGGATATTTAGCTCCGTTGTTGTCGTGAGTCCGGTCTCTCTCTCTCTCTCTCTCTCCCGATCTCCATATCTATCTATCCCTGTGATTACACCAGAATCCTACAGCTGCTGGTGAAAAAGAGGGTGAGCCCCACCCGGTCATCCCCTCCGACAACTGTCTCTCCTCCATCCCCATATCTATCTCTGTGATTACAGCAGCTCTAGGCGCTGCCTAGAGAATTCTAAGAGCGAGAGAGAGAGAGAGAGAGAGAGAGAGAGAGAGAGAGAGATCCCCACCTTGATAGCCGACAATCATCTCTCTCTCTCTTAGAATTCAGAGGCTGTGGATCTGACGGCGGAGAGCTGACTTCCACACACATCACGCTGAGGTCATGTTGATGTTATGTATGCAAGACTTCAACGGCTCGGTTAATTCCCTCCCCAGTCGTCTCCCACGTAATCCCTCATTCCACTTGGGCGCACGCGTGTGCGCAGACAAAAGAATCTTTCTCAGATTTTGCGCCTTCCTCGCCTCTGAATCTAAAGAGACTCCATCGAAGATCCCGCCAGCGCCATCAGTTACTGCCACCGCCTTCACCCGTTGACTACCAAAGGTTGACCTACCAAGACCAGCTGCGGAGAACACGCCTCTCGTTGAGATCTAATCACCATCTGGTGCAACTCCGCCGCCAAATCATGTGAAATCGTTTTAAACCATGGGAAGGCGATAGAGCTTTCAGTTCTTATCATTTACGACGCATTAGATCATGCGACTTTGGTGGGGACTCTCTCATACGCTGACATGTGGATGGAGAAGATTAGGTCGGTTCATCTCATGCTATCAATATGTTGGACATTGCAGTGGCAGGAGAATCTCTCCCCCCCTCCCCGCACATGTCGTCATGCCGGCGATCCTTCCCTCCATTAATGGAGTCCTCGGTGGGCTTAAAGCAAATTGGAGTTAAAACAAACCATGACGACGAAAGAAGAACACCATCAAAGACACTGGGATTACAGTACAGCGGGGAGACCCCTAAAGGTGGCCTCTTTGTCTACTGACAAGTGCAGAAAGATAGACATAGAGAGCGAGAGAGAGAGAGAGAGAGAGAGAGAGAGGACGTGTACCAGATACTCGGTTAACACGGGGATCCATGGGGAGATGCCGGAAAAGGGCACGCGAGGGTAGGTTAGTGCGGTTGCAGGCTGGAAAACTTTCTCGCAGGAAAAGATATAAGCGCCCACAGTGGGTCACAAACGGCGCCCCCCGGACCCCCATGCGGCGGAACCCGGCCCCCCGCTCTAATCCGCTTCCCTCTCCGTGGTGGGTGTCGGGGAAAAGCCGAGGGCCGACCCAATCGACAGCGGCGACAGGCTCGCCCACCGCCGGACTGGAAAAAAAGAAGATGAGCGGGTTGGTGACAACGGGAAAGGGCCCCTTTCACGGCTGCCCGGCGGGACGTGAAGAGTGGACGAGAGTCAGCGCCAGGAGATGACGGAGGCGACAATTCGCTTCACAGAGGGAATGCTTCCACGGTCCATTTATTGGGGAAGGGGACCGCCGCAGGCGTCCTGTTCGTCTTAAATGGGTCTGAGAGTGCATTAATAGTGCACAGCTCAGAGGAGGAAGAAGCGATTCATGTAGCCTCTCTTTCTAACTCGTGTTACACCCCACCCGGTAGATCAAGCGCCGCTAAAGAGAGAGAGAGAATAAGGCGCGGCGCAGCAGAGCTGGTCGGAGTCTGCTGCCTTGCGCCGCATGTGCCGCATGTGGGCATTGTCGGTGCGCCGGCTTATCATCGTCTACCTTGTGAGGGCAGTGACGGCGTGTATACGTCCGCGGGAGACATCTCTCTCTCTCCCTCTCTCATCTCATTCCACATAACCACGCCGACAGGGATGCGAGAGGGCCTGCTGCGGCCGGGTCTGACATCCGCCGGTGGTAGGTCAACTGCATGGGCCCAACGTAGTCCATGCATTTCACAAAACCAAACAAAGATCACACCATACATGGAACACCCCTCCGATGATCGCGAGTTGACCGATAGAGAGAAGGGAGCACCAATGGCCTCTGACTAGAATAATATATTGATTTCAATAGTCGGAGGAACAAATATACTGAAGAAAATCCAATAATTCCGGAGGAAAAAAATTACGCGATTCATATTTTATGCGTAATTAAGCAACAACTTCATCTGGGAAGGAGCAGCACGCCCAGCTGGGACATTCAGCGCCTGCAGACGACACAATAACAAAATAAGAATAATAATTCTTATTATTTAACGACAGAATTCTATGAAAATTATCGGAAATAATATATTAAACTAGAATAAAACCTGGAAAATTTGGCTCTGGGCACCACTAGGCCCCGCTTCTCGAGGCTCTTGAACCGGTCCCTAGCAAGAGTATAGCATCCCTATATACACCAACAGGGATCGCATTATGAGGGGGGGGAAAGATTTATAAAAATATTAATAAAAAAATAAAAAAAATAAATGTTTTTTTTTAAAAAACTATGACAGAAGAACATGATAGATAAACAGCAGACCTTGAGCTTCCGCAGGGACCCAGAGATATCTTCTGACAGCTGAACCTGCATTGGGGCCGGTTGGAATCTGCAATGGGAGAAATCAGCAGAGACAACGAGGCTTCAGCTCCTGCTTTGGTAATTTCAGGGGTAATTAAATAATCCAGAAAAGAAAAGAAAAAAAAAAAGAAAAAAAAAAAAAAAAAAAAAAAAACACCCAACCACATTACACAAGGTTTTCACCAGATGGCTTGCAGAAAGCGAGGAGTTTAGTTAAATGGGTACTGATGGGATTACTTGTGCTTTCCCAGGCGAGGTGGGGCACATTTGAGCCTCTCGTGCTTAGCAGTGACCCGTCTGACACGTCTTCTATCCTTCTCTTCATCTTCCTGTGCTATTTCTTCGATTATGTTCGGCAGACTGTCAAGGGAGAGAAGTTATAAAAGGAGTTCCAAAGCTTTCTGACTAGGATCACCACAACCAGTGGAAAGAAACTGAAGAACACCCACCAGTTGATTTCCTTGGACACATGCTCTCGCTTCTTTGCCTCTGCCTCTGCCTTCATCCGCTGCTTCCGTCTGGATCTCCGGTTCATCTCCACGCGAGTGACTCGCTTTGTCTTCGTCGTTCTGTGCAGAGAAAAAAAAAAAGAGAGCCTGTAAAGGGAGTTCATAGCCATCTCAATGAACGGTTAGGTTTTCATGAAAAGGGATGGCTCTCCTAGTCTACAGATTATTTAACCAAAATAAAAAATAAAAAATGCTGGCGAGAAAAGCTTACTTCTTTAATGCTACCAACTAAAGGTCACTAAAAGCGCCAACGTGGGGTAAAGTAAACCAAAACAAGTAACAGAGAAGACAGGTGCGCTTGGGAAAGCGATTAGGAACTTCGTGGCCCGAGTAGCAAGTCAGAAAGTGAGGGTCGGTAGTAGGGGGGTGAGGATGGTCCACCCAGGAGTGGCCAAAAGAGACACGACGACTGTGTATTAGACAGGGCAGAAAAAAAAAAGCTCAAGTCACTCGGACAGTGTGGGAGGAGGAATGGATTGAGAGGTAAGAAATTCAGCTTCAGACATAAAGTATTGGGGATATGGATATCTAAATCAGAATTAAATTCATTTCAGGCTTCGATCTCTGACATCTCTCCAAAGCACAAGAACCATCCGGAAATTAAAAAAAGATAATGGATTTTTATAGAAAGCAAGATCAGACCTCTGCAAATGATTGATATCGCCACTGCCTTCGGCTTCCTCCTCTGAGTCGTCATTTCCGTCAGATGCATCAAGAAAATACTTCTGAAAAGGACATTAAAACAACCCTGTTGGTGTTCAAGCTGGAAGCTGATCCAAATGAGATGTGGGCCAGAAGGTTAATTTGTTTATACTAGCAGAATTTTCGTTTCAGTCAAACCGATGTGCTTTTAACATTGAGGATCATGAGAAGTACTGATATTGTTAACACCATAAAAAAACATGATTTCTAAGCGATTATCGAGTTTAAAGTTAATGAAAATTTTCCATTCATAGCATTTCGCACAGCATTCATGCACAACTTACTTCATCTTCTTCAACCACTTCCCCATAAATTTTTAGCGGCACTGGTTGAGGTCCCAACTCGTTCTGGTACATTTTTCTCATCTCAACTGCAACAGCTTCGGCTAATGAATCCTATAATTACAAGAGAAGGATGCATGAAAATCTATATGAATAATGACGACATTTGGAACAATAATGGAGGGACGGAATACCTGATGAGCTTCAAATGGTGGATTGAAAGAGCATCCGGGAGGTTCTACTTCAACTGCTGGGATGTGTGAAACTGCTGACTTCTGTTCAACACCGATGTAAACAAGCGTTTTACTCTTTGGGGAAAAAATCAAAAGTAAATCGAGTGAGCCAAAAAAAAAAAAAGCGATGAGAGAGAAATAAGCTCCAATTCTCTGAATTCGACCAAAAGTTAGACAACGAGAGTTTGAAATATGGCGCATTGGAACGAGATGACAATCATGATTACAGTCTTACAAACTAGATTGGAACCTGGAGACAGTAGGACCCTATGCAAATGACGTTTTCTAACTCATACAAATACCTTCCCAATATCTTATTAAAAATAATATCTGCACCTAGTTGCTGGAGTCCCAGTGGCAGTCAACCTAGTTTAGACATCAGCAAGGATCTTCACCTCCCAGCCAAAGGGAACTGAGGTCAAGAGGACCAAAACACAAGAGAGATACATGTGTCAGGTTCTCCACATACGCTTGGCAGCTCGGCAAAAGAAACTACACCAGATTTCCCACTCAAACAATTTCCAGTATGAGAGAATACATTAGGATTCTAAATTAAGCGCAGGTTGCGTGGGTAGACTGCCAAATCAAATTCTCAAAACCACATCTACGACAGCTTTCCTGAAAGGAGCCTAAGTTGAATCCACAGTTTCCTTTCGATAATGAAGATACACAACTAACTGCGTCCATGAAATAAGAAGCCTCACAAAAAGAAGAAGAAAAACAATTTATGGTATTAATTTCAAAGATTTTACCTTCTTGGGTTGCTGGTTCTCCTTTTCTGCAATTTGACAGATGAAAAGGCAATCAAAAGAATGTGTAATCTCTCCAAAAGACAAGAAAAAAAGAAATTTCCAATACCATCTTCACTCCATATATCAGTAAGTCCAGAAGCCAAGCTGTTTCCATCCTATAAAAAATAAATTCAGGAAAAGGAAAACAAGGTAACGATCTGTTTCCAAATTCTTCTTTCAAAATGTTGTTGCACCTTTTCTTTAAATGCACACCTTTACAGCTTCGACATTTTTAGGTTCTGAACTTGAAATTGCTTTTCTTTTCTTCTCGGACTTCCTCAGTGTTGAGGATGGAACTGGCTGAACAAAGGAGTTCCTCTGCAGTATGCTATCATAATGGAGAATTTTATCCCTGTGTTTTTCAATTTTTCGTTTGATCGGAATATCTGGAAAAAAAAATGTGACAGTCAGATCATAAATTATGGACATGGAAGAGAATACCGTGTAAATACAAAACACTCTCAATGCTGGCATGATAGTACATAAAACACCTCTGAAAAAGGCAATGAACCCGAATTACTTTCATTGAAGGACAACAGAAGAGATTCACGTTGCAAAAAACACTCCCTAAAAATATTTGTACAAACTTCGTCATGGCTGTGACTCATGGAACTGGGCAGTGTTTCAAAATTTTGAAAACATTGATGCATCAATTTGTTCACTTCTAAGACATCCCCCCAAGATTAAATGAGCATATATTGGAGCCAGAACAAGTCTATTTTTCTTCCCTTGATTGAAATTAGAAAAAACCGTGCGCAACAAGGAGAATAAGCAAAACCATGGAAGTAATAAATAGAGAGAAACCTCGAAATCACCTAAATTTCTTCTGAAATAAGAATTTAATGCAGAAGATCATGAGCTAAATCTCTCACCAACCGTTTAACCCCCTCGAACAAAGAGGATCGTGAGCACAGTCCTTCCCTCCAGTAAACTGCGTCCTCCCAGACCAATCCAATTAAGAAGAGATTCTATGTATCCTCCATCACACGGAGATCATTATGTTGAAATAGGGATAAGTATAGTCTAGTGAGGTGCAGAGATTTCCTAACTAGAAGATTATCAACTTCAAAGCTGCATCCAACCTGAACACTCCAAGTGACATGAGGTAGCCATAAAATTATTTCTTCACAGTGCAAGGAAAGAAGAAGCACAATGACTAGGAGGGACATTGAATTCGGTAGAGGAGCTAACGAGAACATTGAATTGTGATATTATAGTATCATTGCATGATGCTCACAGCCAAACTCTCCCCCTCTTGACATGAAAAACACGCACTAAACGGCAAACCATCAGTATCCTAGAATATAACAATGTCATTGTGGCCAGCATGATGACATAACATCTTCACTCACCCATTCGCAGAGTCCTCTAACATTAATATCGACGGCCTCCAAGATTTGACAGCACATAGTAAAGCGGCCGGATAGATGATTGCAGAACAACATAGTTTTTGGTCCCATGTAAGCATAAATGGAAGAGGCAGCCAGCCTGAACATGCAGTAATGAGGCATCAATTGGTGAATGGACACTAAAATGGCCACACGTACCCTGGTGGTAGTGACAGTTTCAAGGATGAAAATTAACAACAATGATTGTCACCACAGTACAGGAAAGTTTGCCAGTAGGTGGACGGCAATGGTTATGTTGAACAGTGGCAATTATACACAACCCTCTTCTCTTTTCTTCATCCACGTCTCCTCTCCTTCACTCCTACCCAAACAGGGAATGAAGGAGAGGAGACGAGGATGGAGTAGTGAGGAAACCTCAAAATGAAATTACCTGGAATAGGTCTAAAAATAAGTTCACTGTGATAAAATTTCGTGCCTCTTTTATAGGAGAAGAAAAAGAGGCCCTCTCTTACTGAATTCTTAACTGACTCTTAATGCATTGGACTCTTAACAGACAACTTAATTAGCTTGTCTCTTTTCTAAAATAGAACAAACTAAGATCAGGAAAATTAAGCATCTAACATAAACCACATTTCCTCTGCCATCTTGGCTGCGCTAGTGGGTGACATCATTCAGTGGTAACGGCAATAGATAGTCCTCACAATGCAAATATAGGTTTGAAAATTGTACCAGGTTATAGATATGGTGAGTGACTAAGAGTAATTAACATGGTCGTAAATTGCAGGCCCAGCGCTTGTGCACGTTTTGGTGGCAGTGGCAGCAGCAGAAGGTAGAATTCAATGGGTTAGCAACAATCCCGGACTATGATGGCAGTAGGAGACCACCGTGATGGTAAATAGTTTAGGTGATATGCAACAACAGGGGTGAATGGAGTGTGATTGTATGGAGACAGTAATGCCAGAATGTGCATATTTTCGAGGATTTTTTACGCTTATATATTGTTTAGTAGAATTCGGGAATTAAATTAATTCTGAGACGAATTGTACTCGACAAAAAGGATAACGTTAAAATTTATTCTAAAAAGAGTAAAAAATGAACACTCTCTTACTTTTTTTTTATTTACATTAGAGCGGATGTAAGTTCAAAAAAACACTCTCATCATACATTTGCAAGGATTCCCAGCCTACTACCTCCTAAGGAAGCCTTCCCAGTTGGCTTCCATGCACATGGGAAAGTTCCAACATTCCCAGGTAGCATGCTGAACAAAGATACGTAAAACTTAAGAGCATCTGAGGAACAAAAAGTGGACAACAAAACTCTTCGTACACAGCCGCCGCTACTGGGTGGATCCAATTATGCTGCTTTGAAGGCAAACTAACCATCTCAGCAAAGATAATATTTCCAAACCTGGTCATGCTGACCCTCTTATGCATCGTCAATCATGACCTTTAGAGGTCATTCTATCTTCGAGCGAATCCTTAAAAAAGGTACAACATATAAATCATTGTTCGAGTGAATCCTTCGACAAAGCTTCGTGATGTGTTGAAGCATTTTCTCCGCTTATAACTGGTATAAATGGTGAAGTACAGACTGCACGACATGTCCTAACATATGCTTATCATCGACATATTTCCTCGCAAAGTTGACAAAAGGCATGAGAACCGTCCGTCCTCTACGCGCATAAAAAGCTTTCCCTGAACATCCTACAGCAAATCGGAATGTACTAGCTTCCAGCACAGTTCTAATGACAACACAACCTCCTACATCGGACAACAAATGTCTAAGCTTCCACAGCAGAACCCAATTTATGACCGTCGATTGGTCGTCAGAAAGCCACAGTAAGCGAAACACGAGAAATTCCCCCAAGCAGCACTCAGCATACAATCGACGACCGTTCGTCAGAGAGGCAACCAAAACCCACCGAATCAGCGGCATTCTCAAGAGAATTACACCAGGGCGCAGAGGAGTATATTACCTTTGGAAGACTTGTCATAGTAGAACAGTGAGTCGCTGGGGACTGAGGAGAGGTTGCCGCCGCTGTGGGAGTCCTTGGTGGCCTTCTCGAAGTACTCCTCTATGTCCGCCGTAGATATGTTCGCCCTCCACGCCTTCTTCCCCTTTCGCGACGTCTTCGCCTTCTTCCCCATGGTCACAGCGTTGACGAAGGACGGGGAGACCAGAGCGAGAGAGAGAGAGAGAGAGAGAGAGAGAGAGAGAGAGAGAGAACTGTTAGGGTTCCCTAAGCGAGAGAACCGGGAGGATGAACTTTCTGAGACTAGGCGGCGGCATCTCACATCTCGCTGCATATTTTCAATTACATCCTCAGCATCTCGCGTAAAATACTTCACCCCATACTTTTATAATATTATCTTTACAGCCCCCAGTATCCTGCTACATAATAAAATATATACGTACTCACCCCGGGTGGGAAGGGGAAGAAATCGTCGAGGGGACCCGGCCCGGCCCGGCCGGTTCCGGAGAAACCCGACTCCGAGCCAATAAAGAGTAATCAAAAGGTATATTTGGGAAATCACACAGAGCATATCCTTGACATCAAGTAAGGACATAAACACAATGGAAATCCAACATATGATCTATATGTAATTTCCCCATACCAACCCTTTCCCTCCAACATCAAGATGGCGAGAGAAAGAGAGAGAGACGGGGTTTGCCAGAGGACCTCACGTTATTCCTACAGACAGTAGATGAGAGAGAGGGGCTTAGATTTCCAGCTTGGTACTGAGAAAGTCGGAGCTGTCGACGGTGCCGCCGCCCCAAAGCAGCTCCTTGCTGCTCGGCAGCGGCGGCGGCGGCGCCGCCTTGCCCTCCAGGTTCCGCGGAGACGGGTACGGCTGGGCACTCGACACCCTGCGCGAGGAGCAACACCGTCTGTCAGATGAGCGCCGAGGAAGAGGAGAGAGATCGCGAGGCCGTGGGAACGGCGGCGCCGCCGTCGGCAGCGGCGGTGGCGGTGGAAGGGGGAGGATCTTCTTCTCACCTCTCCTTCCGCTTCTCCAGGAATCGGGCTAAGGAGGCCTTCCGCGCCTGCGGCACCGCTGCACCGGCGAACCACCACTACCGAATAAGAAACCCACCAAAGAAGATCGACCGACTCAACAAGACTACGACGGCACACCTCGGAGTGTGGCGGCGGCCGCGCCGCCGCCGCTGGTGGCGGACGCTGTCGGAGCTGAGCTCAGGTCGTCGGAGATGTTGGAGCTGCTGCCCGACTGGGCCCTCGAGATCGGCGGTGAGGAGACCACCTTCGTCGGCTCCACTGCTGGGATCGGGACGTCGGCCAAGTTCATCCTGGAGACATTGCTCGCCAGGAGCATTATCGCCCGGGCCTGAGAAAAGAAAGAGGATTAGAAAAAAAAAAAGAAAAAAGGATCGAATCGACTCCAAATCCTCAAGGAATGAATTCGTCGTCGAAATCTACCACCTTCTCCGCCCGTACGTCATCGAAAACGTTGATCGACCCAGCGTAGAAGATCGTCAGCTGCGCAGCTGCTCCCGAGGGGTTGACAGCGCCCCTACAACCAGAGAGTCAACGTCTCAGACCGATTGAAGGGGGAGATCTCCAGTAGCATTCTGTGTCTGTCTCCCCACCTGGGGATGACGGGAGAGGCGAGCGTCGGAGCTCTGCTCAAGGAATGCTGCTGGTTCAGAGGCGCCGCCCTGAAGAAGGGGCTCGCCGGAGTGGGAGGAACGAAGTTCTTCTGCAACCCCAGAAGGGAGGGGGAGGGGAATCAGGTTGAAGCAATCAAGTTTGCACTACAATTTTTACCAGTAGAGATTGGTGGATGAGCTAGGGTTCCTACAGAGTGAAATCCGAGACTGGAGATGAAAGGATCGCCGGCGGGGGCGGAGCGGAACCCCGATGAGGGCAGGAGATCGAAGGCGATGCTCGTTGACCTCTCCTCCTCGGCGGCGGGGAAAAAGACGAAGGGCTGCCGGCCGGAGACCATGCTCGAGAAGGACCACTGCGCCCCCTGTCTCCCGAAGAAGAATCCTGCAGATACACGGAGAAGGGCGGGACTGAGAAAAGAAGGCTAGCCAGGATCAAATAAATCTTCTTGGCAGGAAGTTTGAAGCTTGAAGAACTAATGGTTTTCGACGCAAATCAGAGGAGATTACGGCCCATTCTGTCTCACTTTTAGCATCCCGAGTCTCAGATTGGGAGGGAAAAGAGCGAGAGAGAGAGAGAGGCGCCGGTCAAGGAGGACGAATCCCGCGTTGCAACACCACCGCTACCACCTACGTTCTGATGGATTCCAAGGGAGGAATGCGGCGAGAGTTATCGACGGAAGCCGATAAATCTAAAGAAAACAACAACAATCCCGAAGAAATCGAAGAACAGATCAAGAGATCCTGTAGAACAGAAATTCCTGAATTATATATTTACTGCGCTAAAACAGTAATCGACGCCGAAACTTGCGCGCATATGTATGGTATTTACGCTCCATCGACGAGAAAAATTTCCCCCGACAGATCAGTGGAACGAGAACCAAAAAACAGTCGACCGATCTCTTCCGACGAGAACCCGCAGCCCTTGGGCTGAAGGGGGAAGACCAAATCGGAAAGTTCAAAAAAAATATAAAAAAGGAAAACTAACAAACTAGACGGGGAACGAAGCCCCAACGACCCCAGGGATTGAAAAACCGAGAAGGATATCCATGCGGAAACGATCCACAGCGGACCAGCAATAACTTCAAAAGATTTTATCAGACAAAAGAATAAGAACATCAAGTGTTCGAGGAACACCAGGGGAAGAGACGAAGGGGCCCAGACCTCCTGTCTCCTCTCTCGCCGCCGACTCCCTCCCGCCGATCCCCAGAAAGTCCGTCTCCATGCTCTCAAGTCGCCTCTCTCTAGCCCGCGCTCGCCGTCGCCGCCGCCGCTCAGCCGCTCCTATGTGTCTCCTCCCGCCGCTCCCCTCCTCGCGTGAGAGAGAGAGAGAGAGAGATGGGGCAGGGGAAAGGGGAGGAGAAGCCACGAGTAGGGGTCCACACCCTCGCTTCTATCACCTTTCCCACATGCCGATTACCGGACGATGCGCTGTCCAAAAGCCTTCATCCGGTCATCTTGCACGTGTGCACGAATTCCCACTTCCTCCTCTCTGTCTCTCTTTATCTCTATTGTCCCATTGGGGGGGGGGGGGACTATACCCCTCGATGGGGACGTGTCCGATCAATGGCGCCATCCCACCTAAATGAATGGACTCATATGCCCTCACGACTTTTTTATTAGCAGCTCCGCTCGCCGTCCGATTTCCATATCGTGGCCTTCTCTCAGCGAGGATAGGGAACTAAAAATGGACGGCTCCAGATCAACGCCCCCCCTCCCCCTGACGGTTGTATCCATCGAGTAGCTCCCCCCGCGAGATTATAAACATTCCGAAGAGGATCTATTTCCAATAATAAAACATCACAGTATGCCACGTTAATTTTGTACCAAAAGGATTCCATATAAAAATCGGCGAAACTCATCTTATCAATATTTCACATATCCCCAAAAAAAGCAAATGGGCCCAAAATCCCCCTCTTTTTCTTACTTAGCAAGCAAACAGCCCATATATAAATGTATAATTAGAAACGCAAGGGTTTTCTTGTAATAAAAAGAAATGTAGGGCGTTATGAAAATAACCAACGACATCAGTAGTACGCGAAGAAATCTCGTATCAGCCAATCCGTGACCGACATAGCGATGGCAGTGAGGGGCGAGCACCATGTGATGGGGTTTGGGGACCAACGGCCGTTGGCCTCTTGGTCTCGGATCGACGTGCCCGCCGACACACGCGGAGAAAATCCCGACACGTGCGTGACAGCATGGTAGCCAGACATCCAGTCAGGAAAAGGGGCACTGCAGTTCACGTACCTGGCGATGCCCCCTTAAAGAAATGCACCTCAGCCTAAGTTTGGAAGGTAAGGCCACCCTCCAGAGAATAAAAAAATACACGTGATAAAAACTAACATGGCGGGCACTAAAAAATATTAAAAAATTGCATTAAATATGGGAACAAACGTGCTGAACAAAACCCGACCAGAAGACGAGGCAGGCGGTTTACAGCGATCGGTCCAGTTCATTCACATGAAAATTATATGCCCATACGGAGGAACTTATGAACGGTCAACGCGTTGTGAGCGGCTCACTGACCTCGAGAAGGTGGTTCGCCAGGCCGGTGAAGACCACGGAGTCCGTCTCTTTGGCGTGGAACTTGATGAGGGCGGATGGGACCAGCTCCTCCTCTTCCAGCGTGGGGGGTGGTCTCCCCGGCGATCCTGAGAGCCTTGGGAGGGGGCGCATCCTGGGGATGGCCGGCTTCATGAGGTCAAACTCCAGCTCCGGCTGTTTCAACGCCGAGCTGACAAACTGAAGAAGGGGGGAGGGATGAGATGGACGGTTTCAGAAGCATATAAAATGAATAATGAGATGAAGAAATCTGCACAAGTTTCAGCTACCAGAAATCAGCTAAATGGTGATCGGATGGTCAAAATACAATTAAAGGAAACTAAGAAGGGCTTTGCCATAAATGGAGAAGCTAGATCGGTTGGCTAGTTGACCAGAATAATGTGATCTAGGAAGGACCTTGCCTGCTCATGCTTCTGTGTGGTAGGATGGAAATGTTTGGTCCGTTGACAATGTTTCATTATTCGCGATCAGCTTAGTTGACCAGGTGTTTCCTCATTTGTGGTTCGGAACAGGAAGAAGAAGCAGGAGGAAGATGGAGATCCAGAGGGAGGAGTGTGGAGTGTGACCTCGTAGAGCGCTGTGGTGGATTCCCACGGCAGAAAGACACCCTGGAGCACTACTCCATCAGGAAACTGGATGCGTATGCAGGTTGCCCTGTATTTCTTCTGAGAGGCCTTGACTTGCTTCTCCTTGAACGACCTGGGTATCAAGATCTGGGATTCCTCTAGCTTCTTTCTCCTCATCTCGGCCTCCCTTCGTATCTCCCCAGCTGAGAGAGTATAGAAAGAATCTGGCAGGTCGATCTTTGCTGCTTCGCTTTCGGGAATGGAGAAAAAGACTCTGACCTACAAGCATCCGCACACTCTTAAGTCCATTAGGAAAAAAATGCATACATATAAAGATTTGGCCAAATAACGTTAAATTATCTGGATTGAATGAATAGCTTATTGGAATAAGGTCCTTGATGAGTCCAAAGATGAGCATAAAAAGATAAATGGCATTATTTTAAATAAATAAAAAAGAAAAATAACCCAGTTTTCATAGCATATGAAAAAAAGGGACTTCAGAGGTAACTAAGCACTGCACGGTAAATCTTTTATTTTTTCAGAATATCTCACTAGAATGGTGGATTCAAATAAATAGAAGAAATACAAAAATGAGTTAGTTCGTATATATTCTTACATACATGGGCCCTAGTACATGAATATAGGGGAAACTACAAAAAGGTTTGCCTCGTCCATATAACGATTGAGAACAGATTACAGAAAAGCAGATGGGAGAAAAACATATCACAAGATCACAACAATTCAAGATTTATGTCCGACATCATTAAACCGAGGTATGAGATGTCTCAGGAGAAGAGAAATATCAAGGTTATTGAGAATATTCTTCAGCTGTCGAAAAATCTATGGCGCATTGCATATGTAAATATAATAGATGGCCTAACTTGATAAGGGGAAATCATTTATTAATTTGCATGGAGAGAAAGAAAACCTAGGAGCTTCTTAATGCAACTTGTAGCTTTCGGGGGCCTACATTCAAGAAATCAAATAAAGAATTCTACAATAGAGACAGCCTGACATTCTCAATCTCAGGCTGAATGTTTTTTTCGTTAAATATCCACACATTCACATAGATGCAATTTCAGTTTGCAATCCAAAAACAGGCTACAGTGATGAAAACATACATGCGTGAACCTTATTACGTAAGGAGAAATGTGCTTAAAAAAGGATGTAATGAGAATAAAAAAAGCGAATGATTGTTGAGATTGATGATAGTACGATGGGACTAAATAAATCCTGATGTTCACGATAATGCTTTAAGGGATTTAATTACAGTAAAACAAACGACTGGAACTGATCCACTTCATTTTTCATTTCACATACAAATTCTGATTGAAGATAGTCGTAACCGACATCAGAAGGAAGAAAATGCAGGTCAACATTTTGGAAGCCGTCAAGGAGATCTCATTTTTATTCTCCACACAGGGATGTGATTATGAATCTCTTAGTGGCTCCCAAATTGAGATCTTACATTTAGTTTCTTGTTTTGTGACGTATTCTAAAGGCACTTCTACCCACCATCAATTACAATCTCAAACAAACCTGCATGGAAGCTTGAGAATGTCATTACTTCAATATTTATGCTAAGGTTTGCGGATTTTAAAGAAAAAGAACTGCAACGTAATGCTGCTTCTAATTATCGACAAGCACATTATATAAGCACGAGTGGCAAAGTTTTCATCTATTGACCTGATTTTTTTATGGTGAATAGTAAGAATCATATCCGTCGCTGCATTTTACAGTACCTAGTTGTTTATTTTAGCGCCCTTGTGTAGAAATTTTAAACAGTGATAATTTCATTAATTCATATGATACATAGATGCTCGAATCAGTTTTGCCATTGTAAACAAGAGATAATGTATTTCATAGTATTTCACAAGGGAGCATCCACTTAAACTTGTTTCTTCGATGTTCATGCTCTATTCTGATAAATATATGCTAATTTATTTATTTTTATATTTTTTATTTTGCATACATTTAAAAATATTGCCCAAACTAATCCTGGGTGCAACCAAAACAATCAAGCGAGAAACGAAGAAAATAAAAAACATAAAAGTGACGTGACAAGAAATATTAATGAAGAGATTCAGAGCCTAATGCTGAAAAACGGACTGGGTAAATGAGAAGTTGAATCAAACTCTTTTTTACTGTCATTATAGTGAATCTTCAATGTTGAAGTACCACCAAACCTCACAAAGAGAATGATGTAAAATGAATGACTAAAAGAAGCAAGAAGGTTTTAAGGTGGACGACTTTGGTCCTTTCCTTTGGTTTCTTAGTGATCTCTGGTGGAGTGTGATTGTCAAGTTGAAACATTATATGAAGTGATAACAAGCAGAAAAGAAACGGCAATTAAGTAGCAGCTTGAGCAAAACTTCATCAGGTATTAGGAAGAGAACAAAAAATCCTAAAAAGCGAAGGCAATAACAATACGTGACGGTCAATCTTTTCCTTTTCCGGCAATTTCTCTGTAGTGGCAGCCGAAGGCGTTGTTGTAGAGTCTGCAGTTGTCCACCTCTCCAACAAGGTTGCTGCTTCTTTGATCAAGGATATCTGTTTCTCTTCTGGAAAATCCATCTTTGCCCAAGTTTCTCCTTCTTCGTCCTCGAGCCTGAACCCTACACATTCCAGCAGCTCCACCGCTCCGTTGACTGCGCTCACGGCTTGCTTTATTTTTGGATTACCCATGCGGATTCTCCTAAATTTGTCATTATCTGGCTCTCTAACCACATTTTTCATAAGCCTGAGAACGACCTCAACGGACTCCTTCGGTGGCTCTGAAGATACGAACTCCCCAATCCGTGCAGCCACATCATCCCTCGCCTCAATTTCTGCCCTGTCCCTATCATCTGGCCAAGATTCGACGCTGCCATTTCCAGCAAAGCCAGACTCTACGCGCGATGTTATCTCCTCCTCCGACGAGGATAGCCGAGAGCCGCCATGAGATTGGAACACCTCCGGGGAAGAGCCGTTGACCGTACGCTTGCCAGAAGAAATCAGGGGGTCCCATGGACTGAACTGGCCTGCCGATCGCTCGCTCTCAGGACGTCGAATGCTCGGGGAGGGCTTAGGATCGACTTTGGTGGCGCTGCCGGCCGGCCGAGCCGCCTTCTGGGGGTTTGGTCGTGAATTGGAAGGGGCAGAAAACCTCTGTACAAGAGGGGAGACGGCCGGTTGTTCCCCTGCGTCGGCAACAGAGCCGAGAACCCTTCCCTGCCCCTGGAACCTGCCAGACGAAGATGGAGCAGAGAAGGTCTTGTTCACCTTCTTGAACAATCCCTTCATTTTGTCCTTCACATCATCCATCTCAGGAATCCTGCAACAAGCAGAGGATCGCAGAGGAGAATTCGATCTCACGACCTCCGGAGACTTTGGATCGCAGAGAATCTCCGCCCTTCAGCCCCTCCCTCCCCCCGCTGCCTCAATACGACACTCCGCGAGGGCAACTTAATCCGAAGATACCCCTCTCTCGAGCCGTATTATCAACGGCTGCGGCACCGCAATCGTAGGCGTAACCGTCTAGGTTAGGAGGAGCCGAAGACCAAAGGAAACGATTGCTGCGCGTTGACGTGGGCACTTTTCGAAGACTGTTGACCGATCGGGTCTTCGCTCATGCCTGGAAGGTTCGACTGAAATAATTCCGGATATTTACTTTATCAAAATAGCAAATCTCCTTGCCAGAGGGTTCAAAGAGAAAATAGGGGCTGAGAAGAAAAAAAAAAGATATGATAGGGAGTAGGTCAAAATAAAAGGGGTTATAAAGGCAAATAGGACTCATTCCTGGGTTTTTCAGCGTGTTAAAGTGGGCCCACCACTCTCGCGCAGTCTAACCGCGTCTTCCTCTGGACTGCAAGAGTCCCTCCCCTTCTGCCGCCACGCTCTCTCTCTCTCTCCTGCGGCAACCGCTGGATTTTCTCTGGAGAAGAAGCTTCTGATGTAAGGAGGAAGAGTATCAGAGAGCAGCAGCGAAATCAGCGGCCCTGAATGCTGCAGTGCCGGAGCTCTGGTGGCGGGGATAGAGCTTGGTGGAGGAGGGGGTGACGGTGGGGGTCGTTGGGGGGAGGGAGCCATCAACCCTAAACCTTATCCGAGAAGGAGAGGGGAAGGAGGAGGGAGGGGTGTAAATGGTGTTCAAGGGGCGGTTCTTCTCCTCAAAGAAGTCGGAGTCGTCGAGCCCTGATGGATCCAACAGCCCTAAGACGCCGTCCTTCGGCTCCCCCAACAGATCCGAGAAGAAGAAGGTCAAATCCTCCCAGGATGAGGCAGGGGTGGGCGGGGTCGTCTTCCGACAGAACCTGATCAAGGACGCCGTGAAGCAGAACCATCAGCAGCAGCAGAAACACAAGGAGAAGGAGAAACACAGCAAGGAAGGAAAAGGGAAGGAAACCGCTGGCCCCTTCTCGAATGCTACTGTCACTGAGTTCCCGCAGTCTGCTCCGGCAAAGCTGCGGAAAAATCCACCGGCCAAGGATGGGTTGCCCCTGACCTCTGGTGCCGGACCGGAGATGCTGCCGCCAATCCTGGCCTCCTCCCTTGGTTTAAACAGGATTAAAACGAGATCTGGGCCTCTGCCACAGGAAGGAGCTGGAATCGGTCTGCGAGCGTACCACAGAGGATCAAACCTTGGAACCAGCAACTTTGCCAAAGGACATGCGGATGGGTGTTCGACTTCTTCGGCCTCATCTACTACTACTGCCGCAACTTGGACCATGTCGGGGAAGAGCAGTGGCAAGAAGAAGAATGTAGGTTGTCTCGAGAGGGTTGCCCACTCACAAACAAACTCTCATGCTGATTTCGACTCAAATCGAGCGAAGGACCGGGTTACTGGTTCAGATGATCTGACTGACTCCAACCTTCGGATTTACGAGCCATCGGCTGCTCAAACAGGTTGGTGATTGGTGAATGTTGAGTGCCTGCTGTATCTGAAAGCTAATGTTATTTTCCAAGATAGAAACGGCTACCCTCATCAGAACTAGAACGTCTAAATGATATGGTAACGCTTGGAAAGTGACCATTGCCTTCTGAGTTTGTGTGGAAACATTCACTTCATTGTCTGTCTCTGGAGAAATCCGTGTTTTTCCTCGTTCCTGTATAATTACTACACTTCTCTGTGAATCATATCCTATCCTCCCCACACGGTGGAGCTTGAGTTTTTAAGATATGTCAGACGAGACTCAACTTAAACTCCTTATGTACTCTTTGCTCGCTGTCTGAGAGCTCCACTCATCACCCCTATCACTCGACAACCTGTTGCTCTTCTCAAGAGATTTACAATCTGTCTTAAAACAGGGGTTTCTGCTTAGTAGCAATGCAGCAAAACATGAGAATTTTTGTGAAGGGCCTTTGGTAAGCTAGTGAACTTAATTCATCTGGCACAAACTAAATGTTTCCTTGACATCAATTTGGAACAGATTCTCAGCAAGTGAACTGGATATCTGTGGTCTATCATGATAAAATAGTGCCTTCCCTACAGCATAAAAGTAACTCCTTCCAGTTTACCCTATTAAGGAATGTGTTTACCAGATTATGTTGTTCATTATCATGTTATTTTTATGATATTTGTCACCTGGCATCTGATCATCTAGCTTAATAACGATGAGCCCAAACTAATGTTGAATAGGAAGTTCCGTTTAAAGTCTGGTGTCATTTGAACCTGCTTCGATCCAATGCATGACACTAGCTCTGGATATGGAACATAGATTCATAAACCTGCAGTCACTGTGGGGACCCAAACCCCTGTATATTTTCAGATTGAAATTCGGTGTATCTGGCAATCCAAAGTTTTCAATGACTTTGGAGCCTCTGATTTGGTTCTGAGTGAAATAGCTGGGAATTGGTTGACATCTCTTTTGGATTTTGATTTACGATGAACTAGGCATTCACTGCAATTTTTTCTCTTGTGACTGTAGGAAGAGTAAAAGGTGGAAGAAGAGAAGACCGTAGGAAACAATTTTCAGGAGGAATAAAAATATGGGAGGAAAGTTCACCACAAAAGATAAGATTGGGGAAACTTGAGAGGAAAAATCCTTGACGTTGATCCATCATCTGATTCATCCTGCTGATAGTACACAAATGAGATCCCCCCCATCGCATTCTGAAGCCATATTGCTAGATGATAAGGCTTGGGAACTGAAGACATTATGGAATTTACGATTTACAGTCATTGTGGTTACGCTCCCTTATGTTGCCCTCCATCTCCCTCTGCCTCCTGCTGCTTCCTATCACTAATAGGATACCCACCCCTGACCACTGCTGCTGTTGTTTGGAATCAGGGAAAGATCTGGTAGATGCGGGGCGCTAGAGTAATAAGCTATGGATGGAACTTTTTTTAGAACTTATTATTGAACGCCATTGTTTTAACTCACTGCATATTAGCAATGTCTTACATATACTCTCTATTAGCTGATCCAAATCAGCATCAGCTTGGGCAATCCAAGAAGTGATCCTGATTCTCCCGACCCTGTTGAGGATAACTTCACTTTGTACCACCATGAAGAAGAATGGATAATAGGACTGGAGCTATGATTCGATACTATGACGCAATCCACTTATATCCATAATTGAATCAGATTTTTATTTTAATTTTTTTCCACTGTGAACTAAATACGGGAGAAAGTTCCGATGCTGTTGTTCCACAGTAGGCAATGTTTTTCTGTTATGCTTCTAAACCTGCCTTACAAAATTTATTGACCTTTTGCACACTTACTTCAGTTGGATTTAATGTTGCTATTGCTTTTTGTTGGAATTGTGAATGGATCAAATCTTCTCACTTCCCAAAACCTTCGGGTTTATATTTTCAAACTTGATATGCAGGCATGTCTTCTGTTTTATTTTTCTTGACGTTATAGCCTTTTCTTTTTGTAATTTTTCTTATATTTCTATCCTCCTGCTAATTCTACATTTCAGGGAAAATCAATTCATCATGGAACCATTTTGAAAGTATAATCTCTCATGCGTGTACTCAACCTCCAGAAACTGAGGTAACATCCATGTGATAATGTTTTTTTCAATGCTAGTGTTTTTTTCATCATCAATGAAGCCTCCCCTGTCAATCATGTCTTTTTTCTTTAAGTGGGCATTATGTCATGCTTTTTACATATGTTAATGGTTGGATGTAAATTCAAATGCCCACTATCATGCCCGAACCTGCAGAAAATTTTAGATTGTGGAAATTGTTGTACCTTCATATGGATTGACTTGCCATCTTAGTCATTATTAAGCCAGGCACAGCAGGATAAGGTTGTTAATGAGTCAGTTCAGATCTCCAAGTCTGAGCCACTGAGATTTATTATTGTCTTTTCTTTTACTCATATAGTATTGAATCTTTGATTTCCGGTCACCCTTTGCTGTAGTTAAATGTTCGGTTATTTTTTAAAATTTGCTTATACACAGAACATGTGTATGTTTAGTTATTTACGGCTGGTATTCTGGCGTGAAGTGATTTGTAAGCTTAATGCCTGATGCTTATTTAGACATTGTGTGATTGATTAATTGAATCTCTTATGTTGCAGTCTTCATATGATGCTTGCGAAACTCCCAAGGAGTCGGAGTCCCCTCGTTTCAAAGCCATAATGCAGGCTACAAGTGCACCCAGGAAGAAGTTTCCTGCTGATATAAAAAGCTTCTCACATGAGCTGAACTCCAAAGGGGTGCGACCGTTTCCATTCTGGAAGCCCCGTGGCATAAGTAATTTGAAGGTAAGAACTAAGTTTGTATTCTCATTTTGGAGGTCCATTTATGCATCATTTGGCTATAGATTTAATTTCATTCGTCTGATGTAATACTTTTGCTTATAACACATGCTTGGATGCTGCTGCTACAGAACAAATTCCCATCTCACATTTATTGTTTTTCTATACAGGAGGTTCAAAAAGTTATTCAGGTGAAATTTGAGAAAGCAAAGGAAGAAGTAAACTCAGATTTGGCTGTTTTTGCTGGAGATTTGGTTGGAATAATGGAAAAGAATGCAGAAAGCCATCCTGAGTGGAAGGAAACCTTGGAGGATTTGTTGATACTGGCCCGGAGTTGTAATATGATGACAGCTAGAGAGTTCTGGCTCCAGTGTGAAGGCATAGTTCAGGATTTGGATGATCGTCGTCAGGAACTTCCCATGGGTGTTTTGAAGAAACTTTATACACGTATGCTGTTTATTCTCACGAGATGCACACGATTACTTCAATTCCACAAAGAGAGCGGGTTTACTGAAGATGAATTTGTTCTGGATCTTCGGGAACCCAAAATACTTCATTCTGTTGATAAACGTTCATCAGCTATTGAAGGAGATGAAAAGGGTTCAAGAGTCGCAAAAAGTCCAGCTGAGACTGCTACAAAGAAATCGTATAGTCAGGAACAGAACAGTCTGAACTGGAAAAGCCAGGAGATTAAGCCTGCACATTTTTTTCCTCCACCTGCTTTGGATAATGTAAGTGTAAGTACAGATCTAAGCCAGGAGCGGGTTGCCTCTTGGAAGGCTTTCCCATCCCCAACAGTGAAAAATCAGAAAGGAATCACGCTTACAAAGGATGAAGGGCATGGAGACCCTTTGGAGATCTTGGAGAAGGAGGAAAATAGTTTTGATGTGGATATTATTGAAAGCAGTCCAGAAGTACATAATTTAAAGGATTCTTCTGCTGCTCCTTCCAAGCACCAGCACAAGGTATCTTGGGGTTATTGGGGGGATCAACAATTTACTCCTGATGAGAGTTCAATAATGTGTCGCATATGTGAGGAATATGTTTTAACATCCCATGTGGAGGGTCACTCAAAGATCTGCACAATTGCTGATCGATGTGATCAGAAAGGTCTAAATGTTGACGACCGACTTCTTAGAATTGCTGAGATCCTGGAAAAGATGATTGCATCGTCTTTACAGAAGGATACACATATGAGTGACAGCCCTGACCTTGCCAAGGCAAACTCAAGTGTCACTGAGGAATCTGATGCTCTTTCTCCAAAACTTAGTGATTGGTCCCGACAAGGCTCAACTGATGCAATCGATTGTCTCCATGAGACTGAAAATTCTTTTTTAATGGATGATCTTAAAGGTTTGCCGACTATGACGTGTAAGACTCGTTTTGGCCCAAAATTTGATCATGGAATGGGTACATCATCAGCTGGCAGCATGACTCCTCGGTCACCTATTGTGACACCACGGACCCGACACATCGATTTACTTTTAGCTGGAAAGGTGGGATTTTCTGAAAGTGAGGATATCGTACAGGTGGGCTTTAATGCTGGAAACCTATATTAAGAGTTATTGAAACGTAGCTACTTGCATTTTCCTAAAATGTTGTTTTTAAGTATAAACTTAATTATATAGTTGACTAGAAAGGTACAGCAACCACAAGGTACCTCACTTTAAAGCTGTTGTTTTGGTTTATATGCTAATACAATTTACATTACCGTTTCATTCAGGAGACGCTTTGGTTAGTTATCTGTTTTTAATTTGCAGTCCGAGTTTATTTCCCTGATCGTTCCTTTTCTATGAATTTTCTGAATGTTATATTATATTTTTTTACTTCTTGAATCTACAAATTATTCTGCTTGTAATGTTCTCGTAATCTTACCCTTTTGGTCCACCTCTTTCTATTACGATAAGTAATGTGCCATCTAGTTGTTATAGTTCTCTTTCCATGCTCATAAAACTGGGGTTTCAGTACATCAAGCAAACTTTGTGGCTTAGAGTGCATAAAGGACAATTGGGATGTGTACGTAATGGCAAAGAGCAAAATTTGCGTCCTCATCAAGGTCGATTTTCTTTTGGTAGTCATACCCTCAGACATTCATTTGTAATCCTTTCTGCTTTTCTTTCACCTTTACTCCTATAACCCGAGAGCTTAGGAATTCTATTCTGCAGAATTCAAACTTCCTTTTTCAGTGCTCCATCATACTTTACAATGTTGTGAGATTGTGGGATCAAAATAATATATTGTGAGGCAGACTTCATTTTTTTTAAAAAAGAGTCAGAGATATTTCTTTGGTTTTTTTTCTTTTTGAGAATGGGGATGTTATTCGGTTGGCTTTTGTTTCTTGCATAAATCTGTCATTAGATCACTGATCTTTCTATGGTGCCAAATCTTTCCACTGTTGCATCCCATTTTATTCATATTGTACTTCGCACTTTCAGATAGTGGATGGTAGATCAATGATTTCATCCGTTACTACCTTTGGTGTAGATTGAAGAACTTGCAGATATTGCTCGGTGCATAGCCAGTACATCTATAGATGAGGAATCATCCTTGCAGTATCTGGTTTCCTGTCTGGAAGACCTACAAGAAGTTGTTGATCGGCGGAAGCTAGATGCACTTACCGTTCAGACTTTTGGAGCACGCATTGAGAAACTCCATCGGTTAGTTTTATGGTGCTAAATATTTTTTTTCTCTTGTGATTTGGCTTGTTCCACATTCTCGACTATAGTCCCTGTTGCATTCTGCTACTATTAGTTTTTTTTATTGTACTTGTTTTTGTGAACATCTGGCTTCTTATTGACTGCATTTGCTTCATGATTTTTAGGGAGAAATACTTGCAGCTATGTGATAACATTGATGTTGAGAAGGCTGAAGCGACTACCTTAATGGACGAAGAAAATGATGTTGTTCGAAGTTTGCGGGCAAGTCCTGTTCATCCTTCTGTCAAAGACAGGACGTCTATAGATGACTTTGTGATCATAAAACCCATCAGCCGTGGTGCATTTGGTCGTGTATTCTTGGCAAAGAAAAGGACAACCGGTGATCTATTTGCTATAAAGGTGAGCTGGCTCGTTAACAAAGTGTCATCATATAGCTAGCTTAATGTTTCTGATCGATTTACAAGAACCAAAAATTCATTGGAGGCTGGCTCAGGTAGTTCCCATGTATTTGGCATTTAAACTCAGAATGCCAAATCAAATTAAAAATATTTACCGACTGCATATATATATATATCGAATTATTCTTGTAATTACTGAATACTCTTTGTGCACGTCCTAAAGTGTGTGATGGGTTACTGATTAAATGTGCAGTACATGATACGCTTAATAAGACTAGAGTCCTCTGTGTTGGCTATATATGTGAATATATGCATGAAACAGATTTTGGTGGGTTGGACTTTTACAGCATTGATATACGTATTGCTACTTATCATTTATAGATTTCCATGGATCTCTTGTTTCACTGTGTCACCTCGCTTCTCTGTCTTATGAGTTCTCTTTGACTACTTGCAATATTCAGTTTTTGGTTTTGTTTGATGCCATAAATCTTCCGAATTTGTCGTCCAAATGGTAGATTTGGCTCATAAATTAAGTGTTCGTGTTCATTTATGAAAAAATTATCCAGGTTCTGAGAAAGGCAGACATGATTCGTAAAAATGCTGTAGAGAGTATTCTTGCCGAGCGGGACATTCTTATATCTGTTCAGAATCCTTTTGTGGTGAGTTCCACCTACCAAAGTTCATTGGAGATGATAATCATTGTTTTTACTATTAACAAGTGTTTGATCAGGTCCGGTTTTTTTACTCTTTCACCTCCCGGGAGAACTTATATCTTGTCATGGAGTACTTAAATGGTGGTGACCTATATTCATTATTGAGGAATCTTGGTTGCCTGGATGAGGATGTTGCTCGTATATATATCGCAGAAGTTGTAAGTTCTATTTTTCTGGCAAACTCATTATCAAACATTTGACAGTTTCTATCTGGCCCTTTATTCGTGAAATTGATTTTTTTGCAGGTACTTGCTTTGGAATACTTGCATTCTCTTCATGTGGTGCACCGAGATTTGAAACCTGATAATTTGTTGATTGCGCATGATGGTCATATCAAGGTTAACTGCGATCTTACTTCTTGAGTTTTTTTTTTTTTCCCAATACATTCATAAGTTTCAGCAAGGGCCTTTTTTCTTTCAAGAGTGTGTCAGTTTTAATGTGAGTATTCAATTCATATCTAATGAATACGTTTTGATAGCAATTCTTTATTGTTATTCTTATGTAAATTTTGAGCCAAATTAAACGCCGATTCAGCATAATATGACAAAACATGTAAGCCTGATCATTCTATCGCCATCCCCTTTCATGCAAGAAAAGGGTAAGCCTCCCACACGGGTGGTAGGGATTTGCGTTCAAACCAGTTAGATATTCCTGTCTCTGTGTTTAGATTTTCGATTCCATTTTTGTTGCGCATGCAAATGTGCTCCTACATGAGCAATGGCATTAAAGTAGACAAGTTACAGAGGATCATTATCTTAACAATTCAGAATATGTTTAGCAACACGAAGTCATGTGAGGAGCTGATGGACCAGGGAAGGCGGACAGTGGATACCCACACCATATTCCTCTTTATCCACTTTTTGTTTGGTTCCTTAAATAAGCTTGTTTGGCTGGCTAGATTCTTCATACGCTTCTTATGCAGAATGATTATCTGCATTAACAGTCACCTAGAACATCCAGGCAGAGTAGTAGAACCTTGTGATCAAGGTTTCCATTTTTCCGAATTTTTTTTGATGGACATACACGGTGAATTATTGTGATCTAGAAAGAGTTTTCTGACTGTGTTAGCCATTGATGTCTTACCCTAGGTGTCATCAAAGAGGAAGTCAAAGAATTCAAGTGCTTTCACAATGCACTCACAGGAATAAACCAAAATGTCAGCATGTGTAGCTTAAAAATTGAATAAGGGCATCTACATTGCTCTTTGTTGTGAATTTTCTTATTTTATGCTGTTTTAAATCTCTCATATGCAGACGAAGACGATTGATCATCTTTTGTGGAATATGGGATTATCAATGTGTTGTGGAATATTATTTATAATGCAGCCCATAATCTTGTCGGTAATGATTCAGATATTTTTTTCAGTTATAAAATTGGCGTACTACATGTCTTGTGCTGTATATCTTGACCGGTGGATGATTCTCTTACCAGCTGTCCTAGAGACCATATTTAGGGAAAGGAATTTCAGAAATTCTAACAGAAATTCCTAAAAAAAAGACATTCTACATATCTTCATTGCTCATCAAGAGCAATGGAAATTAGAGGGTGACCTTCAATCTTGCCTGATTAATTTTGCAAAGAAAAGGGATAACTTGATTTTCTGGCTTTCTTCCCTCTTTCTCATCAGCCATCCTGTTGGATGAGGGGTAGGTTTTTCTCCTTTTTACCGTATTGTGGCAGTACTATACTGTTGTTGCCTCGCTTTTTCCCTTTTTCCTTTGTTTTCTGTTCGTTACTTTTTCTGCTATAGCTTCTTTTTTAATACAACATTAGCATAAGTCACCTTCTAAAAATAATACTCACTTGCACCGTATCATCATGAAATCTCAAACATCCGGCAGGAAAACATCTCAAACTCCCTTTTTCCTTTTGTCTTCTCGTTAAGTTGTCTCTTTTGGACAGTCTTTCTTTTATTTCGCTTTCCTTCTCATGAAAACATAGCCGCGTTTGAGATTGTACAGCACAAATTAATTTTGTGATCTGGGCTGTATTTTGACAATTCTTTCTTTATAACAGTTGACCGATTTTGGGCTTTCCAAGGTTGGGCTCATCAATAGTACTGATGATCTATCTGGGCCAACAGTTAGTGATATACTACTTTGTGAGGATGAACCTCAATTATCTGTATCTGAGGATCAGAAAGAAAGGCGAAAGAAACGCTCTGCGGTTGGTACGCCTGATTACTTGGCTCCCGAGATCCTCTTGGGAACAGGGCATGGTAAGTTACAATCTTGTTTACATGTAGTAGCACGCAGATATTTCCCAGTAGCACGTAGTGATTCTCTGCGGCTGGCACACCTGTATTCTTCCTTTTTTTTTTTTGGTTTCTGCTAAGCTTCTATACGTTTTGAGCAAGTCGTGTTCATTCATACAGGTGCAAGTGCTGACTGGTGGTCTGTGGGTGTGATTCTTTTTGAACTCATCGTTGGGATTCCACCTTTTAATGCAGAGCATCCTCAGGTCTTTCTTTTTGGCATTTGTCTTTGAAATCTATTGCCTTCCCATCATTTCATCGTTTCAGGAATTTCTACAAATATGTGCAAGGAAGACAATTTTCTTGCAAAATTCATGATGTCTACTTTTATATTTCCATGGTATTATCTTTTACTAATTTTTCATGCTGTTATATGAATAAGCCTTACCGTGCTGATAAGAGGAATTTTGATTACAACATTACAAATATTCATGATGTCACAAACACGAGACCGAAGGGGAAAATATAGAAAGGTCCTTGAGTGGTGGAATGGTCTAAAAGAGATTAGTATTGACAATAAAGTTAAGATCCAGAATAGTTAATAATCTGAACCATGAGTTCTTGCCATTGGTGAGTCCTGCACTCTGAAGAATTACTTTTATGGTCTTATCATCCTTATCATCATCATCATCATCATCATCATCATCCTCATCATCGGTGTCTGAATCCTGTCAACCTTGGTTCCTACCAGACTTAATGTTGTGTTATAGATTGTCATTTTTGTCATCTAGACTACCAACTAACATCATATTTTCATTGATTGTACGAGAGGCCTAGTTTTGATAATTACTGCATTTGTAATTGTTGCTAGTTCGCTTGTTGTGCTTGTAATATTCTGAAAATGATAAATAACAGAAGAAAAATGTAGAATGAAATGTAATAAAAATACATTCAAGAATTGAGAAAGCATGATTATCTAAGCATGTCAATAAAAAAATACAGTATGATTCTTGTGATATTAATCATTATCTTGTTAAACCTTGCTATTAATAAAGAATCTTGGAAACCCATGTGCGAGAAGGCAAACATGATCGTTAAATGAAATCTGAAAATGTTGATTGGTATGTGGTCCATAGCTCTGAAAAGAATTGGTGTACATCATTCGTATCCCACATCAACATGTAGACAGGTTAAGAACCCAACAACCAGAAATCAAAATAATAGATTCCCTTCATTCAGCCCACTCTTTTACCTTGTCACCCGACCACTTCAAATCTCGAAAGCATACAACTTCGCCTTTTAGAATACCTTTGCTATCCCCCTTCCAAATAAGTCAAATGGTTGTATGAAACATGACCCGCCGAGTATTGTGATCCACATTCTATATCTGATGTTTTCTTCAGCCTGATAGAAGTTTAACCGTATATTGTTTGGCATTGCTGCTGTATATGTATGTTAATCTAGAACAATTGTCAAATTTCCTGAGAGAAATATCAGAAGAATAAGATTACGAAGTTTCTTCTCTCTCCAAGCAGGCTATGCATTGTGTTTGTTATCCACAAAAATAGCCTAAAAAATCTAAAGTATAAGTCAACTATGTGAAATCCTGTCCGTCAGAATCTTAACTTTTGGCTTCAAGAAGGCTAAATTAAGGTAGGAACGGCCAGAAGATTGTGGAACGAGAAGAGGAGGGAGATATCTAGGTTAAAGCATACGCATGAGACGTTTCAATCTGCAAGGGTTAGCTGATCTAAGTTAGGCAAAGTGTCAATATTGCTGTATAGATGGATTTGACGTCTTGCCAGAACTACGACACAGTCGAGGAAAGGAAGCACAGTACATCAGTGAGCATAGTATCTCCATGGGATGGTGGCAAGTTGCAATGCATAAAAAGGTTATGACCTGGGAAGTAGAGTCATCTTGCCTTTTTAGGACATTGACGATCAGGATATTTTCAAGAAATTAAAATATTAATTTCGGCGAAAAAGTTTTAACCAACTTTTGAGGATTATCTGTCTGTCTCAAAGACCGACTAAGAAAGAAAAAGCAAATGCTTGATGAATATTATTTATACTGTCTATCAGCCTCTATTCCTGAACGGACAGGCTGTCAGATCAATCTCCTCTCTCTCTCTCTCTCTCTCTCTCTAGTGTTTATCAATGTTCATCACGGTGTTATTGTTTTCTTTCTCATCTCGCTCTTGTCCGCGTGCAGATAATATTTGATAACATACTCAACAGGAAAATACCATGGCCTCAAATACCTGACGAAATGAGTTTTGAAGCACATGATTTAATAGACAAGTAAGGAAATCTGAAGATTATTTAGTTCTCAGTGCCGCGCTGGATTTTATTTCCCTTAATGAATAAGTAACTGAGCTAAGTTTTGTGATCTTTCTGGCTTCAGTCTGTGTGATATGCATGTGTTTGATTGTAGAAAGCAAAGCGAGATCAGGCCGCAGATTTCTCTCTCTCTCTCTCTCTCTCTCTCTCTCTCTCTCTCTCTCTCTCTCTCTCTCTCTCTCTCGAGATTAATGCCCCCATTTCCCAACACAGATTACTAACTGAAGATCTTGGTGCCAGAGGAGCTCGGAGGTCGACCTGCTGATTTTTTTTTTCTTCTTTTTTTCTTTTCTGAACTACCCTTGCGCTTGACCACCGAACCGAGCTTCCATCATAACACCCGCTCGCCTTGTTTGTACAGGTGAAGCAGCACGAATACTTCAAAGACATCAACTGGGACACACTCGCCAGACAGAAGGTGACCAAAAGCACGCACGTTGGCCCCCCACTTCACGCAGAAAACCTCACCCGAACCTCTCCCACCAATCACTCCTGCAGGCTGCCTTCGTTCCTTCATCCGACAGCGCACTCGATACGAGCTACTTCACCAGCAGATACTCGTGGAACCTGGCCGACGACCGCCTCTACGAGGCCAACGAGTCCGAAGACTCCAGCGAGAACGGGAGCACCAGTGGCAGCAGCAGCTGCACCAGCAGCCGCCACAACGAACCGGTACGCCATGAGAAATTGATATTCACTTAAATACTATCAGAATTCGATAAATTACTTCTTTTTCTTTTTCTCTTCTTTTTCCCCTTACCAGGGATATGAATGCGGTGGGGGGCTCGCCGAGTTCGAGTCCGGAGCATCGGTCAACTACTCCTTCAGCAACTTTTCCTTCAAGGTCTCTCTCTCTCTCTCTCTCTCTCTCTCTCTAGAATCCCTCCTCTTCTCGGGCTTTCTCTCTCTATCTTGATCAAGCTCCCGGTGCCTTTTCTCTCTCCCAGAATCTCTCTCAGCTCGCGTCCATCAACTACGACCTACTCTCCAAGGGTTGGAAGGAGGACCTCCCCGCAAACCCGGAGCCATGAGGCGGCGCCGCCGGCCGCCCGCCGCCGGCTGCCCGGGCTGGAACCCCACCCCCTCCAACTGCATGCATGTACAGGGTGTAAATGTAAGGACATATCGTGATCCCGCAGGCACAACTTATCCTCCCCGGCTCCTCCACTAACCTCTGCCCCCCCTTCTTGTTTCAGAGCATACATGGAGCTTTTTTTGGGAGTCCGAATTGGGAGTTTTTCCCTCCCCATTCATCGGAAGATCTGGGCCCGTCAGATGGCTTTTTGGGCCCCGTCTGGGCCGCCATGCTCTCAAAGCTGGGCCCATGTAAGGAGAAAACCGGCCCATTTTCAGATATCTCACTCTGCCCGTACTATTATTGAGTCGAATGAATGGATATTCAGAGCATATACGTATTTGCAGCTTTCGAAGCACTTGCGGCCAAGACCGAGAAAGTATGGGGACTAATGCGCAATTTTTTTTTAACTATATTTTGACTTGCTAGATAGGCCTGTTGGTTCCGCCGTGCAGGTCACGCGATCGCCGACTTAGTCAGCGTGGGGCCCGCGCCTCTACCCCCCTACCCTGGCGCCACGCAAGCACGACGAAAAAGATAGTTGTTAGTTGACATTCTGTTTTAAGAAACTTAGGATAGTCTTTAACAGTAGAGACGGCCATAGTGGCCCAACTAGTTGGGCCCAGATGTCAACGAGATTCGGCCCATTATGCATGACGGTCTCCGTTTTAATGGGCCAGGCTCTGAAAATTCTCGGACTAAAAGCCCATGTATTTCGGGTTTTAACTATCCATATCCATCTAGAGCGAGAGAGAGAGAGAAAGAGAGGAATGGAGGGGCTTTTGGGGGAAGATTACTTATGAGTAGGTCCAAAAATAAATATCAAGATTAATTATTAATTTCACATGTAACTAATTTGTCCAATGTCTAAATATATTTTCAGATATACCCCCAGAACGGCGGTGCGATTTGTTCCAGCAAACTGAATGCAAACACTATCCTGAAAGCCAGAGAGTCCTTGTCATCTCCACGTCAGCAACAAGCGGCTGTTTAGGGGGACGGGAGGTAGGCTGACGCCATAAAGGCTAGCCACGTGGATCCTGGATCGGACAAAACTGGGTGGAACGTGCGGGAGCGTGCCTATTGATCGCGCACTATAATTTTTTGTCAGTTTATTGGTTCGAATATAAAATTATTTGCTCCAGCACCGTAAAAATATTATATTGAGGTTTTGGATCTGCTGTCTATTTGTGTATTATTATATTAAAGGGATTTGTTGACAGGGGAGGAACATAATTTTTTTTTTAAAAATCTACTCTTAAATTTTCTCCTGCTGGTTTTCGAGGGCCTTCTCGATCAGACAGCAGTCTCCTCTCAAGCAGCGGAGACGTGAGGAAGAGAGCAAGAGCGGGAGCTCGTCCGTGGGGGTCGGATGGCGTCTCCTGGAGTAGTATGTTTCGTCGGTCTCGACGAGCTGAGCCTGGAAATGGCTGCGCTACTCGTCAAGTCGGGATACCGGATCAAGGCGTTCCAGGTGACAGATCTCCTGCTCACTCGTCTCAATTTGCGTTGTCCTTTCGTTTTCTGGGAATCACATTGATCAGGACCACTCCTCGGGAGTTTAGTCGTTCTTGCCTCACAGCTAGAGAGATGAAGTTGAGACATGAGTGTTGCGTGCGGCTTGTCTCCTCTGTCCACGTTTCCCGCGTTCATGTGCTCGTTTTTAACAGTAATATGATTGAGTTTGTCCGCAGGCTGCTCATTGTGCCTTGATGGATCAGTTCCTGGAAGTGGGAGGTTCAAAATGTGATATCATAGGGGAGGCCGGAAAAGGTTGATCGATATGTTTATTCCTGTTTTACTCTCTTCGTCTCTTTACACTATCTTAAAGTTTACTACTGCAATTCACTTTTTTTTTTTGAACGCACACTGGCATCTTTCTGCACTTTTTCTAGTAGGATTTCGAATAGGTGCCTTATGGTTGCATCACGTACGTTCATGCGGCATTTTGTCTTTATCTGGCGTTGATTTATACATTTGTGCAGCTTCTCCAACTGCTTGAGGCTTGAAATTACTCATTCAAAGATCTCTATTATTACCAAGTCTAAATGAATTGTTCTCGTATTACTTTTCCCTTGCTTCAGATGTGACAGCATTGATTGTGACTGCTACTGGTGAAGTATATGATGAATTGATCGCCGCAAAACAGGGTATGCCTAAATGCCAGTACAGCATATTCTTGTGGCTCGTTTAGTCGTGTCGTTATGCTCCCATAATCGAAAAGGATGTTCAAATATTCTGTAGGACTATGCAAAGGTACAGTTATCGTCATAAGGTCAACAGTACCGCTCAAACATGCCCAGACATTAGAGAAGCATTTTAATGGTAAGATAAATACCGCTCATACAGAATCAAGTGTTCATGGTGATACTGTATGATGCGGTTTGTTTGACAGCTGGACGGTTTTAAGTAATTTCTGTTTTGGTTGAGATTAGCTCAAAGCCTTTCCATAGACAGTTATTTTGCATGACTAACTTGTCATTGTCTATCCCTTGTCTGTTAATAGATGACTATAAGCATGTCGTCACTTACATAAAGCACATGGAGGCCTACATCCTCTAAATAGTTAATCTATCATAAAATTTAATGATTGTTTGCAAACCCTGCGAAGCAATGTTGATGTTTCTTAAATTTCACAATTAACCCAAGATTCTGACATGAAGCCAGAGTTTGTCTCTTTGTTCATGTTACAAATAGCATTTGCATGTTCAAGTCTCTAAGTTAAAGAATTTCCACAAGATTTTTCAAGAATCAACGCAAAGTGTGTGATTCAGTATGATCGTGTAAAGTATCATAATTCTGACTCTTGGCTCTTGATGAAAGCATATTGGACACTCTTGTATCTTCGTGGTCCTTTCACGGATTTCTGGTGAATGCAAGGCATCAAGATCAGGTCTCATGATCAAGTACACAGTTCTATTTTTTTCTCCAAAGTAAATCTTATTGAAATACGAAATTAGTGAAATTCAGTAATCTTCATAAAAGTAAGCCTAAAATTGCATTACCTAATGCATTTAAAGCTTCCAAGTAAAACCATTTTTCATGATAACAAACTTCACATGAAATGGGCAGGGCGTTTCTGTTTATCAGAGAAGCCCATAGAGAAGATTATATCGAACGAATAAAACAAGACTTTCATTATTTATCCGTTTTTAGTTATCATTTTAGAAAGGGGGTAAATGCTTTTGATTCAGCAATTGAATTATTTGGCATGATGATTATGTGTATTTTTCAGCGACAGGGGATATGGTTGTTGTTGGTGTACATGTATTAAGGGTCGCGTCAGATGCTTTTAATGGCAAAATTATGGTGAGATTATAAGACTAAACTATTATTTTGCTGTCTTGTTCCCAAGTTACATAGCCATTTGGTTGAGACATCTTCACCAATGATTACATAAAACTATTTTTTTTGTACTCAGATTGCTGCATTTGGGCAACAGGAAGTAACAAGAACGGCAGAACCTGTTCTTTCTGGTATGTAATATCCTAATATTGTACATCGTTTCTTAATTTGGAATGTTCTTTCATGAACTAGAGACTTTGTACAAGGGTTCTTCTTGCAAGGTAGGCGTTTATTCTGACTGCTCGGTATGTTGCACAGCAATGAGTGAAAACATTTATATCCTTGATGGGGAAGTTTGTGCCAGCAGGTTTGTTCTTTCACATAATTTAGTTTCCTAGTTATGGTATTTAAAATTTATTTTGGAGATCGTTATTGAAAAATGGTTTCTCTAAGTGCTTTGTAAAAAAAATATTGGGTTTAAATTTATAAGTCTATAATTTTGGTTCTTGTATGTTTCAGTCTTATCATTTAAAGTAATCTATGCAACGTAGTTCGTTCAGATCCATTTCAATCCAATCATTTTTTTGTGATCTTTTATGCAGTAAAGTCAGAACGGTAAATGAGCTCCTGAAGGCTATCCATTTTTCTGCTTCCTTGGAGGCTATTTTCCTCGGTGCAAAGGCTGGGATCCATCCATGGATTCTGTATGACATAATTTCTAATGCTGCTGGAAGCTCATGGTGATGGCCCTGACCTGCTGCCAAATTACTTTTGGTCACACGAGAATTATCTTTTTAGATTACCATGTTTACCTTTCCAATTAAATGGGAAGTATCTTAAGATTATACCGTACCACAGGGACATGACATACTCTTCATCCACAAGATTTTTCTTGCATATTTTATAATTTTCTTGGCACTTCATTTTTACGTGGATAAGAGTTAGGAGATATTTTTTATTCTTCCGAGAAGGAGATGGATTATTACACTTTGGACTCATCTGATAACTTAAGGCAGATTTCTTTTGTTGAGTTTCGTATTATGTCTTAAAATGTGGGATATCGTTCAAACGAAATGATTTGCAGAAGTATATAGTAGATATTTGAGTTAGACTTTCATTCCTCGTATGCCTGAAAACAAAATCGACATATTCAGATTTAGTTGTATTCTCGTTAGAGATATAACATAGTGTTTATTATGCTGTGGGTCAATTCGTCCATTCACATACTTTGATTATTTAGTTGATGTCTGATTTTAATTTTTAACATTTTCCTTTTTTTCATGAGGGGTCTGTACGGTCAGATTCCAGAAGCTCTAAAATCTGTTATTTCTGAAATAATATTTAAGCAGTTTGATTAGCTTCAACCATCCCAAATCTTTAAGCTCATTTTGGTGTTGAGGGACCATTATGAATGTGAACATACAATGGGAGCAGATGGGTTTTTTCTTTCTGATGATTCTGAGTTTGAGTCCTCTAGTCCTTAATAATGTGACCAGTTTCTGGTCAACATTTAACTACATGATCCCATACAGGGCCAGATCAAGCCAATGACGACAAGAGTTGATGGGCAAAGAGCAGCTCTTCTAGGAACCATTCCCTTAGTGTTTCATTTGTTGTGTTTTTGTCAGTTAGTGGATAAAGGGACTGCCTTCTAGAATTTGTTGACAACATGAGGATACTTTTCTTTGGTTCTTCTTGGGTCTCTGTGATGATGACTTCCCTTGACTAGTGATAGCTGTGCTCAAAATTTTACATGGTGTGACTAGAAGATTTATTGTGTTTCTTGGTTTTGTCTTCTACTGTCTCTGAGAACTGAACGAATTTGTGCAGGATATTTGTAGATATTATTCCAAAAATGTTGAAGGGTGACAATTCCTTACAGCTTTCTTTGAATAGTTTACTAGAAAGTGTGGTAAGTTTGAATTTACATTGTATTTCACTTTCTGTGGCCTAGTTTACCTTAGAAGCTACATGTGTGACCGTGCAAATAAATATCTCATACACTCATGATTGTCATATCTTGTGTCAGCTGCCAATCTCTTTGTCTCATCTTTCAGTCTTCTGCATTTATTTTTTTTGGTGGAAGTGTTCAGCATCAACATAAATGAAATGTCTTGTGCTTTCGAATTAATTTCACCTGTTGCCTTTAAATATGATTATCATGTGTTATCATCGTTCAAGGTGTTCTTTGCACCGAAAGGTAAAATGCATCTGTTCTTTGCACCTGTGAGGCATTAGATGAGCCATTTTGCCCTACCATCAGATTTAGAGCGAGTTCTTTTTGTTCCAGAATCAATTTACAATATATTCGTATAATATTTGTAAAAACTAATATTTGGAATTATTCCAATTGAATTCTCATTTATCTAACTATGGCCGAGAAAGCACTCTGAAGTACATCTTTATACAAGGGCACAATAAGGATGAAGGCACATGCCCATTCTGTAGTGTTCAATGAGATGACCACTTGCCTGTCCATCAAGTTATCATGCAGACATTAGATTCGACCACCATCTCCCGAAGATGATTGGAGGATATATTGAATTCCCATGATGATAAAGAGAGTTGATTTTACACATTTAGAAAAGTTGTTATATTTGGAAACATTTACGTATATTATCTTTTATCTATTTATTCAATGCAATGGGTAAAGGAAAGAGACTATACCACAGAAAAAATTCACCGTTTAAAAAAAAAGTGGCTAGAATTGCCTGGTCTAGACTTGCCATCCAAATACCTGATTAGAACCGCGGAATGCCTGTCCATCAAGTTTCCATGCATGGTCACTGGCCAGCATGCACATTTGACTGCATCACACTTTTTGTTTAGTCCATAGTTTCTTCTTCTTCCCAGACTAGACACTCAAATTACCCTAGTCGTTTAACTCTTTATCACGTCATGAAACATCAATGATGTCTTTATACCATTGCCACACCATGGGGTCTTAGATATTTTTTAATTTTCTGATATGCCTGGTTTTCTCTTGGTTTAATGCTCTTCGAAGCTCACATGAAAATCTGTAATAAATGTCTTGACTTTTCTTCTCAATTTTATTCCACTGTTTATCTTTTACTTAAATCAGGGGGCAGTGCGAGCTATTGCCAAGGAGCTAACGTTTCCTGTACCAATTTTTTCCACTGTTTATCTTTTACTTAAATCAGGGGGCAGTGAGAGCTATTGCCAAGGAGCTAACGTTTCCTCTACCTCTTCTAGCTATATCTCACCAGCAATTAATACGTGGTACTTGTTTGAATAATTATTGATTTCATCATGTTATATTTCATCTATTATTCATTGCATTCGTGGACATTTTGATCCATCACTGATTAGTTTTTTTCGCAGGTAAATTGAGAGATCCTGCTTCTGCCGCACTTGTTGAGGTCTGCTCCTTGCAAGGCTTGCCCAGTCAAATCGTTGCATTTTTATTAAATTTTAGAGCGCGCGACCCAAACCGATTAGTTCATTTTCTTATGTTCATTGTTTCATTCTGCCTACAGGTCTGGGAAAATTATTTTGGAGTCAGTATTAGAGATGCAGCTGATAAGGAGTTATACAGTCCCAGCCATCTAGCTGAAAAATTTTCAGCTGCATCAGCGACTGTGGGGAGAATTGGTTTCATTGGCCTTGGGGCAATGGGTTTTGGAATGGCAACTCATTTACTAAAATCAAACTTTTCTGTGATTGGTTATGATGTATTATTCTTTTCTTATCTCGTTGTACCTTATTATTCGATGAGTTGATTCATTTTTTCTAGTCTGACTGGGAGTAGACAATATTATTCAGTTTCAGTCATTGCATCATTTCCATCGCTGAATAAGTAAGATGTAAAATAATTCAGCATTATTTGTTCTGCTTTCAAGCATTCCTTCGCTTTTTACAAAGTCTCTTAGCATTGACTTTGTGAAATATATCAGTTTACAGTTATCCACATATTATCAATGCATTTGACCTTACTTCCTTATGGAGCATATTGTGCGTTTTTGTTAGTGCACTATCTTTCTTCACCGCGAACACTGGACTGCCTCAAGGAGGCAAAAACTGAATTATCTCAATCTGTACACACAGAAAACCGTCCTTGGAAAAGATATGAAATTGTAACTAAAGATTAGCAAGCTTTGCCAAGTAGACTGATTCTTGTCTAAAGCGGCCAGCTTGGATCACGATTGAGGAACCTTAATGTAGTTCAAATTGGGGAAATTTGGTTCCCCTTGAATGTTAAGAAAAAGGTAAAACGTAAAGATTGAGGTGAGAAATCAGATTTCTCGGATAGGATTCCACTTGAAATGGTCTTCTCCTAGATATCCAAGTCTGATTTGCACACAGCCAATTTGACATCTAATCATGTATAGAAGACCTTGAGATTATCACCATTTGTTCATACCCTAGTCTCTTGTTTTTCTGGTTCAAGTCCTTATAGTCTCGGAATCCTTAACCCTCAAATGGCATCATATTGAAAACATTCTATTCTTTGGGTCATTAAGCTACTCATCTAGTATTTTTTCCTCAAATATTTTACTAGACAACGTAAAGTGTCTTAGGCTAGTCACTAATCTTTAGTGCAAGAATATAATGTAAAGGGGAACAAAAACTGTGCACGCCACAATGGAACACATGAATTTTAATAGTGATTCGATCAATCCCAAAACCTACTCTTCCACCTATTCCCTTTTCAGTATTTTATAATAAGTTTCTATCAACCCTATTATATATTGGCTTTCTTAATATATTAATCAGACCTTTAAACAATGTTAACTTTCTTAGGATACCAATCACTTCGTCAAGATTTCCAAGCTACAAAAAAATAATGAGCCCAAACAAAATACTCAAAAAGCCTATTAAATATGAGGGAAGCATTTCTGAAGTGATGGGAGATGCAACTCGATCATTTGAACTTAGTTCACTTTATTGGTTTGAACACGAGCAACAATAGGGATTTAAACTTTTGATTTGTAGGAGTTTTGTAAGACTTCCTTTCATATCCTTTAATAGTCTCCAATCGCTAACTAGATGTTGTCAAGATTTCCTCTACAAATGGTCAGGTTTTATAAACCTTTTTACTTGCTATTTTCAGCAATATTGTTTCTGTGGAACCACGTGTTGGCACTTTTGAGTTTTTGTGTTGGCACACGTCCAAGAGTGGACGACCAGACGCTCACTTTTACTTCAAGATTGGACACGAGATATGATTAAAATCTCTACACACAAATCCACTTCTTTTTTGCATAAATTGCTCTATAACCTTAAGGGATCAATATATCTTACTGACTTCATTTTTTATCATTTTTTTCTTGAAAACCTTCATTTCATTATTTAAAACTCATGCAAAATATTTACAATAATTGATATAAAAATAGAAACTTGGTAAACATCCAAATCAACTTATTGTGTTCAACACAACCCATCATCGAAAAAAGTTATTATTATGCTTCTCGTTCACGCTCACAAGGTTATGGTCTTCAGTGCATTAGTACATTGATGCTTCTTTTCTAACAATTTTCTGAGTTTCACGAGAAAGTTGAATCGTATGTGCTTTCTGAGAAATTTTCCATCTTATGTAAATCATATATTCTGTCATTTATCTATGTATGAAGTGTTTTAAGTTAGAATCTTAGGGTATCTTAATATCAATAATATTGATGTGAAAAAGCTGGTTTCAAATATTAATTTAATTAGTTATGAATTCTTGTATTTCTAGCATAATGACAATCTAAGTTTGGGATAGAAACCCTAATGGATGTAGGAAAGCTCTAAGAGCGAACAACTCTATGAAAGAGAAGATTGAGCGAGAACGATGTTTTATCTTGAAACAAGCAGATCCTCTGAATATCGTTACAAATTGACCTAGATATCCTGAAATAAGGCCAGCCATCAAGGGGAACAGTATCAAAAAGACGTTAGAGATTATTTCTGGACTATTATAGTTTTTTTAACGGCTATAATCACCTGTCTTACACTCTTTTTCCTCTTGTGCTTAGACTTATCTCGTTATTTAGAAATTAGGCTAAAACAGTCATCTGCATCATCTCCTTTCATTATATGTTTATTTGACAAATTATAGTTCTTTTTTTGCTCATTTCATGCAGGTGTATGAGCCATCGTTAACTAGATTTGCAGATGTTGGTGGTTTAATTGGACATTCACCTGCGGAAGTATCTAGAGGTAATTTTCGATGTGTGCTTTTTGTCAGCATAAAGTCACATGCAGACTGAAATTTTGGATCATTCATGAAGACTCTACAAGATTATACTTTTCTACTCATAGTCTAATAATGTATTACATGATATAACCTTAACCCCTGTGCTGCATTATATTCATATAACAACTCTTATTGGACCTAGTGTGCCATAATATATAATTGTTGTGTACCAGATGTGGATGTGCTGATAATCATGGTTGCAAATGACATTCAAGCAGAAAGCATTCTGTTCGGTGATGGTGGATCTGTGTCAGGTATTCGTAATGAATGTACTGCCGATGTTATAACGATTGTGTAGTGCGTCTTAATCATGATGTTTTTGCAGCCCTTCCTGTTGGGTCATCCATTATTCTTTCATCTACTGTCTCTCCTGGCTATGTGACTCAGCTGGAGCAACGCCTAAAAAGTAAATTCTTTCTCCTTCTTATTGTAAATTGGCAATGCCCTTTATTTCATTGCCTGGTAAGAATATTTTTCTCTTAGATATTGATCGGCTGAGATATTGGGTCACCTTTTCTTTTCTTCTTTGAGAAAGTAGGGGCTCTTTATTTTTCTCATTGAAGTTAGTTATTGGTAGATGTCATTTGTAAAGAAAAGAAGTCAATTCTAGAATGTTACATTATTCTCTATCCCTGTGATGCTCGCAAGTGTGTTTAGAATACGCAGGCTTCCAAGCAAACAGGTCAACCAATGAGGAATCTAGCCAACATCCGCTTGTGGTTGTACCTTTTGTCTATGGTGCATGTGACATGGCCTAAAAGAATATGTATGCGTTTGAGATGCTGTGTTTGAAAATTTGTACACTGGATATGGCTAGTTCAGATTCGCAATTAAATCTATCAACCTCGTTCACTCAATGACAATTGATTGATTTGGAGGGCTGAATTATTTTACTATATGAGACAGTGAATCAGATTTGGTACGATATCATAAACTATAAGTCCATCCGCTTTCATAAAACGCTACCAATGACAGAAATGGAATGTTAATCTCTTTGTTGATTCCATTTACTTATTACCATATGATACTTTCCTCCATCAAATTTTATTTATCTGCTGTTGACTGTTTCCTAGATTATAATAGAGTAGTTTTATCACAGACGAGCACAAAAACTTGAAGTTGGTGGATGCGCCTGTTTCTGGTGGTGTCAAAAGAGCCGCGGATGGAACACTTACAGTATGATTGTCATTTTCTCGAGAACTAATTGTTGAAATGGTTTTTGGTGGATGTTGACTGCATATACATTAATTTATCGAATTTTACGAGTTCAAACTTTTTTCCACCCTAGATAATGGCATCCGCTACTGATGAAGCTCTTGAGCATTCAAGTTCCGTTCTTTCAGGTAGAATTAATTCCATGCAAGTTCAGTCCTTTCATGCAATCATAGTTCTTTGCTTGTTGAAGAATTAATTCTCTAGTTGTCTAGAAATTAATGGCTCCTGGTTTTTTCTTTAAAAACAATTCCAGCATTAAGTGAGAAGCTCTATGTTATAAGAGGTGGATGTGGAGCTGCAAGGTAATGGAACAGACACAGCCCTCATTTACTTTTCCTGTAAATGAGATACTTTAAAATCTAGATGTACTTGTTTGAAACTCACGTGAACATTACGTTTCACGGTTTCTTTTAAATATATTCTTTAAATTTCATTATTGAGAGAAGATGTCTGAGGAGCTTACATTCCTCTTCTGATGGCCAGTTCTGTAAAAATGGTCAACCAATTGCTAGCTGGAGTTCATATAGCAGCAGCAGCTGAGGCAATGGCATTTGGGGCTAGATTGGGACTTGGTACAAGAATGTTGTTTGACATAATCACGAAAAGTCAAGGAAACTCATGGTATTCATGAAATTTCAATTTTTCAACTTCGACATTAGAATTCAATTAACATTTGGTCCTCACTTACTATGCACAGACATCATGTCACAAATCAAAACTGCTCTGTGAAATTTATCAATCTATGATTAAGAAAGGTTGCTACTGATTTAATGATTGAGATTTTTTATGATCCACCTCAGGATGTTTGGAAATCGTGTGCCACACATGCTGGACAATGATTACACGCCATATTCAGCTGTTGATATCTTTGTGAAGGATCTTGTACGGATTTATGTCAAATTTCTTCTTTCAATTTTTTTACCTCGATTGTGTGCCTGCCATTTTCTACTCATGCGTCAATTTTGTTCAGGGAATTGTTAACAATGAAGGATCAGTCCTTAGCTTACCCCTCAACCTTTCTGCTGTTGCTCACCAGCAGTTTCTAGCAGGTCCTCTACAATTGGGGTTTTAGATGATAGTTTTTTTACCTTAGTCTTCTTTCAATGGCTTGGATCTTTCTCACATATACATGTCAACAAAAATTCACGTTCGTGGGTCCTGCAGCATCTAAACTAATGTACCTATAATATACCTTTCATAGATATCTATTAACTTTGCAATACTGTATCTCCTCTACATCTTTCCTTATTCGTGTTCTAACAGCATGTTAGCAGTTGTCTACCAATCCGTATCATTATATTGATGTTTAAACCGTCATCTAATGGGGCAATGTTTTGATTTATTAGGTTCTGCTTCTGGATGGGGCCGACTTGATGATGCTGCTGTTGTCAAGGTATTCAATTTTTTATGCAGAGTTCCTTTCATTACGATGAACAGCCTTGAGAAATAATTAAAATGCCAAAATGGGGACAAAAACAACGGAAGTTGTATTCGGATCAAGTGCCCGGATTTGCCAGGCTCAGTCTCAGGGAGAGCTGGATTCAGATTAAAAAGGCTCTAATTATTACTTCTATTAAGTATTTATCTGTAAGCATTTGCTAAAGAAGACTGAATTTAACAAAAAATTATGGACGATTTTTACATGTGGTAAATAGATCGCAAGACAGACTCCCAATTACAGTTGTCGAGGATTCCTAGTAATATATCGAAGAAAATTTGTCTCTAACTTGCCCAGTAACCTTAATGACACCTCTTGTACGTTTGAACGATTTTCTGCTTCAGAGAACTAATGGGTATCTGAGTCAACAATAGATTGTACAACCCTAACCTAGTTTATATGTATAGGTCAACATTAGATTATACTACCCTGGGCTGCTTCATTTGTATTACCGGTCTACTTCTCCACTTTTTGTTTATTGTGGGTACAGTGGATGATGTTTATTTATTGGTAGTGTCTAGGCAAAACTCTATTCTTGAGTAATACATTACATTTGTGCGCTAGTTGATTTTATGAATAATCGATGTGTTATGCTAGTCTGGTGGTACATTTTATCTTTATTCCTCTTTTATTCCTCAAGAAAAGATAGTTATTTACCCTTTTAACTGGATGAGTTATAATCGCTACTTCGTTGGTTTCAGAGTTGAGACCACTTGCTATTTTCTCGTTGTGTTGACAGGTTTATGAGAAACTAACGGGAGTTACTGTTGAAGGAAAACACGCCATTCTTAAGAAAGAAAAGGTCCTTAATTCTCTACCACCTGAGTGGCCAGAGGATCCTATTGTTGAGATTAAAAAACTGGAAGGTCACAACACTTCTAAAGTTTTAGTTGTCTTGGATGACGACCCTACTGGAACACAAACAGTTCATGACATCGAAGTCCTGACAGAATGGTAAACCTCGATCACTTTGAATTTCTTTGTTGTTATTAACAACATTATCTATAAACATCATCTTCTATGGATAATTTAGGTATGTTATTCCTAAGTGGTGCTCTTTTATTTCTATGCAGTTTCTTTACTTGTATCACGATATCAGTTATAGAATTGTCTGAGATCTTAAGCTAAAAGATGCACATTGAAAACTGTTGGTCATCATACCTTGGTTTTAACTATATTTCTTACATTTTCAATTCAGGAGCGTCGATTCTCTTGTTCAGCAGTTTTTGAAGAGACCTAGTTGTTTTTTCATTTTAACCAATTCCCGATCACTAAGCTCAGAGAAGGTAAATAATCCATGAGTCACTGGTTATGGTGATCCGACTTGATACCAGTGACGCTTAAATCCTTTTGTCTGTGAAATGTATTTGTATGATTATAGCTGGACATTATTGCATCGGTAACTCTATTGTTTTGGTTTAAATTGACAGGCTTACGGATTAACTGAAGAAATCTGTAGAAACATAGATACTGCGGCTAAATCAGTTGGAGACGTTGATTTTTCTGTGGTTTTGAGAGGTGATTCAACACTCCGTGGTCACTTCCCACAGGCAAGTTTCTTGCTTTTCCAGTAATCCATCCTATCAATTGATATTTTTTAATTATATAGATTATCGTATTTCTCTTAAAGTTATCAAAGTATTTAAGGGTAGCTGTCTACAGGAACCAGATGCAGCTGTTTCCGTACTAGGGGAGATGGATGCCTGGATTATATGCCCTTTCTTTCTTCAAGGAGGTCGATATACTATTAATAATATTCACTACGTTGCAGATTCCGACAGGTGTATTTCTCACTCAGATGCGTGAGAAATTAGTATCATTGTATATTCAATACACTGACTTGTTAATGTGGCTCTCTTTTTTGTCAATAGTCTTGTCCCTGCTGGTGATACCGAGTTCTCTAAAGATGCTGCGTTTGGCTACAAAGCTTCTAACCTCTGTGAAGTATGATCATTTTACATTGGATGTCATGAAGGAAAACATTATTAGCATTATAACTTGACTAATGAGAATTTATGTGTTTTTTTGTGATACGGATCACTAGTGGGTTGAAGAGAAAACTAGAGGACAGATTTCAGCCAGTAGTGTCGCATCCATCTCTATTCAGCTTTTGAGAAAGGGAGGACCATCTGCTGTATGTGAGCATCTTTGTAGTCTCCCAAAGGTGAACAGAAACTGTTGCTACCTTCTCGGGCTTTACTTTGGCAACTCTTTGTTAATGCACCTGTATGCGGTGGTTTAAATTCAGTAAGATGATCCTGACTTAACATTTTGTTTGATATTCTATTCATATTTCTTTCTTTCTGCCTTCTTGTCGTTGGGAAACTAGTATTAGTTGGTAATAATTTTTACTTCACCCAGAAAAAAACCAGTGCTGGACAAGATACTGTAACTCTTGACTAGGAAGATCCTAACATCCTAGTTTTACCACAATAGTCATCTTGGTTAAGATTGTCTTAAATTGTAGAATGGTAGTCCTCAATTTGGTGTGCTGGAGATCCCGCAACACATTTGGCGAGGAAGAAAAACCTTTATTGAACGAAAAAAAAGAATCTGTTTTACAAGACGGATGGGGTCCAGTATTTATACCAGACCCTTGAGAGTACATAATTATAAGTATTCAGGGCATATCTGCCAATATGAAAGTGCATGGTTAGTTATAAAATCCTCATGGCAACATTCCCCCTCAATTTGGTGAATGAATATCATTCATTCCTAGCTTGTGAAGAATTTCTTGTAGCTATGTGCCTGAAACACCTTTGGTGAGCATATCTGCTAACTGATCTTTAGTTGAAATATATGGTATACAAATCAACTTTGTCTCAAGTTTTTCTTTAATAAAATGCCGATCAATCTCCACATGTTTGGTACGATCATGATGTATTTGATTATGTACCGTGTTGATTGCTGACTTATTATCACAGTGAATCTTCATAGAATCCGATAAAGGAATATGCGATTCATCAAGTAATTTTTCATTCAGAGAAGTTCACAAACCCCTTGGGCAAGTGATCTGAGTTTTGCCTCAACACTTGAATGGGCTACCACGGTCTGTGTTTTACTTCTCCAAGTAACCAGATTCCCACCAATAAATGTGAGATGACCAGTGGTTAATTTCTGGTCAGTTATTGACCCTGCATAATCAGCATCTGTAAACATTTTGACATTTACTTTCCCACTGTGTTTGAAGAGTATTCCTTTGCCGGGTGTGCCCTTTAAGTAATATAACACTCTATATGCTGCATATAAATGAATCTCTTTTGGCTGATGCATGAATTGACTCAAGATACTCACGGCGTATGAGATATCTGGTCGAGTATGCATGAGGTAGAGTAAACAGCCAATAAGCCATAGGTACATCTCACAATCAACCTGGACTGCACCCTCCACCAAACAATTGGTGTAGTAGCTGGTCTACTGCAGACTTTCCTGTTTCGGCCAACAGATCTGTTATGTATTTTTTTTTTAGAGATCAAAATTCATGAACTAGAGTGAGACACTTCGATACCTAAAAAGTATCTTAGGCATCCCAATGTCTTGACATCAAATGCTGAAGCCAAATTATAACTTAAGTTCTGTGCCCCTACATCATTATTCCCTAAGATGATGATTCATCAACATAGACCAAAAGCATGGTTACTCCCCCTGAAGGAGAGTGTTTAAAGAACAGTGTATGATCAGCATTACTTTAGGAGTATTACAATGTCTTCATAGTGGCTATAAACCGTCCAAACCAGGCACGTGGGGACTGTTTTAGTCCATAGAGAGATTTCTTTAGCTTGCAAACAATGTTGGGAGAGACATTAAACTCATAGTATGATGGTAGTATTATATTAACCTCTTCCATAAGATCACCATGCAAAAAGGCATTTTTTACATCATACTGTTAGATATCCCAACTGAAAATCGCAGCTAGAGATAATAAGAATCGGACAGTATTGTACTTCACGATATACATCCACTTGAAACCCATTATTTTCTTATTTAGTGGTAATGCTACCAAATCCTATGTCTCATTTTTCTAAAGAGCCCTCATTTCATCATCCATGCTTGCTTCCACGTCAAGTTAGACAGAGTTTCAGAGATATTCTTAGGAACAGTATAGGAATCTAAGGAAGCTAGGAATGACCTATAAGGAGGTGACAACCGATGGTAGGATAAGAAATTGGCTGCTGGATAAAGGGGGTTTTAGTACATTGTCTAATAGGTTTCTGCAGGGCAATTGGAAGTGAGTCACATTGTAGGTTTGGTTGATCATCTTGTGACGAAGAAGGAGATATTTGGATATTTTCTAAGGCCTCATTCGAATCATGGGCAGGTTGAGAATCATGAATGACACCTTTTCTAGAATATACCTTGCCAAACCTCAAATATTCAGGAAGCGGATCTGTTGTGGAATGGGATATTTCAGGGGCTGAAATAGGAATATCGAGCTGGAAAAGACTCATGGATAATGGTATTTTCTATAGGCAATGTATGTTGTTCATTTGACGACGACTGATTGAAATAAGGTACTGTTTCATGAAATGTTGCATCCATAGAAGTAAAAAAATTCTTAGTTGGAGGGTGGTAACACTTATAACTTTTTTGATTAACAGCATAATCAAGAGAGATACATTTCAGTGATCTTGGTGCAAGTTTTCTTTTATTCTGTTTATTATTATGAGCAAAAGAAATACATCCAAATATTCTTGGTTTAATTTTAGTGTTAATTTGGTGGTGTGAGAAAAAATTGGCTCGGGAATCTATAGGACAGCAGAAGTCTAAGATTCTAGAAGGCATACGGTTGATGAGGTATGTGGCTGTGAGGATACCCTCTCCCCAAAAAATGTTTGGCACATGATGTTGAAATAGAATGGCTCCAGTTACCTCTACAATATGCCGATTTTCCACTGTCACGAGAATTTCAGAGACGGAAAGAAGAGGATGCCTTGATTAAAACTTTTCTGTGGGGAACCATGATTCCTCAAATCAGTCGTGATTTTTCTTCTTAGGCACTGTCAAAGATTTATGGAAGACAGTTCGCACCAAATTCTCACAGAAAAATAATGAAGCTCACATATATGAACTTGAGACAACGTCAATGTCAATGATGCAAGGGAGTAAAACAGTGATGAAATATGCAAGAGAATTAAAGAATCTTTAGGTGGAACTTGACTATTATCTTAGTCTTGACACTGAAAAACCCACTGAAATTACTGCTTTAGGAAATTTCATAGACAAAAGGAGAGTGTTTAAATTCTTGGATGGTCTTAGTTCTATGTTTGATCAGGTCAGGCAATAGATATTGAGCCGTGAGAAGAAAGTTGAGTTAGATGAAGCTATTTCAATCATCTTTAATGAGGAAAATCGCTGGAAATTGATGATGTCAGGTCCAGAAATAGATAATTCTGCATTTATGATTAAACAAGGCGACAATATGAAGAAGACTACTGATCCGCCTAAACCATCTCAACAGGGTAAAGAAGGAATCAGAAAACTGACTCTAGAGACAATTTATGCGTTCGTAATGAAGTAATTTCAGCAAGTTTTTCTGTGTCAAGACTAGGATAATAGTCAAGTTCCACCCATAGATTTTCTAATTCTCCTGCATATTCCATCACTATTTTACTCCCTTGCATCATTGACATTGACTTTGTCTCAAGTTCATATATGTGAGCTTCATTATTTTCTGTGAGAATTTGGTGTGAACCTTCTCCCGCAAGTCCTTGACAGTGGCTAAGAAGAAAAAATCACGGCTGAGTTGAGGAATCATAGTTCCTCACAGCCAAGTTTTAATCAGGGCATCCTCTTCTCTCCATCTCCGAAATTCTCGTGACATTGGGTCTGGTTTTCCCTCTATCAAGTGGTGTACTATGCCTCTTCCAGTTAATACTTCACGTATATATTCTGACCATTGTATCAGATTATATCTCGTCAGCTTAAACTCTAGAGGCATTGCATGGAATTCTATCAATACTCTTGTGCCTCCAGGAACAAGATTAACCTCCTTGTGGAGATTGAATCACCCTCAGAAGATGAAGTAACATCTCCTGTAGCTTCCATTTCAAGAAATAGTAGGCTCACTTAGTGTAAAGACTGATTTCGTGACCAAATCTTGAACAGAAATATTCAACGAACAGTACAAAGACCGTAGTAGCAGAATCACTAAGTGCAGAAGCGAATTAGAGCGATCGCACCTGTATTCGCTCTATGAAGAGGCTGCAGAGATGGTGTGTCCCTCGCCAGATAGATGTGGCACCAACAGCAGCGGTACCTCCCTCACAACTAACCACAGATCGTTAAGAGAGAGGAATTTGATATCACAGCGGTACCTAGGCTCTGATATCATGCAGAATGGTAGTCCTCAATTTGGTGTGCTGGAGATACCGCAACACCTTTGGAGAGGAAGAAAAAAATTATTGAATGGTAAACAAGAATATGTTTTACAAGACAGACGGGGTCCAGTATTTATACCAGACCCTTGAGAGTACATGATTACAAGTATTCAGGGTATATCTGCCGATATGAAAGTACAGGGTTTACTTATAAAATCCTCTTGACGACATAAACAATTTTGCATCATCTCATGTCACAAAGTGCGAATTTTGAAGTTTACAACAAAATAGATTATATATTCATCCGTCTTAATGTCATAATGTGTTATGTTATTTTATTTTAGTACTTGTCAGTAACGCATGCCGGGTCATAAGATCACTCTGATACAGTTAGATCGTAACACATTCGACAGTGGCTATTGAATATCTTGTGAATGTCATGAATAAAAACTTGGAAGATACGCTGATCAAATAACAGTCCTTGTCATGGACCAGAATAATACTGCAGACGATAGCTCTCATAAAAACGTGAATTCCTTTCTTTTTTTTCTAAATCTTGAAGAATTATTTTTTTGAACCAGGGAACAACATTCAGGATCAGTGTTTAGCTTTCATTTAATTGCTATAGAAAGTCGGGTTTGACCGTGAGAATTGAAATTTCAACAACTTGCTCTATGATTTTTTATTATAATTTCTGACAGTTGCATCGTGTAATTGTTGGAACAAATACATTACTTAAATCCTTACATTTTAAGTTTCATGCGCCATGAATGTTGCCAGGGATCAGTTTGCATAGTAAATGCAGCTAGTGACAGAGATGTAGCTGTATTTGCCGCAGGAATGATCCAGGCAAGTCAGATTACTACCCTCTTACTTTCTCTGGTATCGTTACTTTACTAGTTTTTTTTTCTTTGATTTTTTTATTAATCAAACGATTATTCAACAGGCTGAAATGAAAGGAAAATGTTTCTTATGTCGAACCGCCGCAAGTTTTGTATCTGCTCGGATTGGTATAAAACCGAAGGCTCCCATCTCCCCAGATAATTTATCTGGAAAGCTTCTTAAAACTGGGGGTCTCATAGTTGTGGGTTCTTATGTCCCAAAGACCACAAAGCAGGTCTATTTTTTCACTTTCATCCTATGTTTTTGTTTACATGTAATACATTGAATTTGAAATTAATTACTTGGTACTAAATTCTGCAGATTTTGGGTCTGAAATCAAAACTTGGGCATGTTATTAAATGCATAGAGGTGACTTTTTCATCCCCAGGTCCCTAATGACATTTTTCGATTTTTATTTATGATATGATTCGGATTACAAATTTAAATTATAATATGGGCGGAATAAGATATCATGGCTATAACATCTTTATTTTCGCCTGATTGATATCCTTCTCTGAAGCAGGTCTCTGTTGATAAACTTTCTATGAGTTCATCTGAAGTGAGGGAGGAGGAAATTAGGCATGCAGCTGAAAGTGCAAGTTCCTATCTTAGACTTGGGAAAGATACACTTCTGATGACTAGTAGGGAGCTTATTAAGGGGAAAAGTAAGTCGTTACCCTTTGTTTTCGTCGTATATCCAGTTGCATTATGTTTATATTATCATTTTCTCTTCGATAAATAAGTGGTGCTTTGAAAAATAGGGAGAGGCATTCCATTAATGTGGACAAATATTCAGTTTTTGGGTTTGATATGTGCGAGGTTTTCGATATAAACGAATCGATATTAAAAGATACTAACGCGGACAGTTTCTGTCAACCATGTCATACATGTTTGATCATACGTCCAGTTGGCATGACAAAACATGGAAAAGTCATGTCATAAGATTCGCTAAAGCAGCAACAGTCTGCTCAGTTGAGGGAAAGTGATTGGAATAAGGCAGGAAACAGGGATGGGTCTATCGCAGGTATGAAGAACGAAAAAATATCAATCATAGTATGTTTTTTGTCTAATCTGTGGAAATTATATCTTCTGGTACATTAGATTCACGCCAGCGGAACTAGATCCAAAACCCAGTAATCTCATTTTTCGTTCCATTGCATTGCGCCGTCTGCTTCTCGTGAATGAAGCGTTTTCTTCATTCTGATGTCAGTCAACACTGGTTTGTCTCAAGGTAATAGTCCTCACGTCCTAAGTTGCAAAGATCATTCTTCTCTCCATCAATTTCTCACAACTCGATCTGAAGTTTCAAACTTGAATTGACCCATTCTGGGGCCATTTTTTTTGTACACGTAGAATTCCTATCTTGTAGGGCCTAAAAAATAAACTTATTAATGTCTCCCAGTACAAAATTTTGATATGTATAACAAATTCCCTGATGTCTAGCACGATCAATGTTAATTACTGATGATGCAAAATTATTTTCTCGAATATTTATCTTATTTTTGGAGGTGCAATATTATTCATGTAAAACGTTATTGTGCAGCTCCTTCTGAGAGTTTAGAGATTAACTTCAAAGTGAGCTCTGCATTGGTGGAGATCGTTAGGAGAATAAATGTACGACCACGTTATATAATTGCAAAGGTATTTAAACATCATTCTTGAGGGTACATCATCATTCAGTGGTTTATGAATATTTATGTATATTCTCTTGATATTAAGGCTCTTATTCTTTTATTGTGCTTGAATTTCTTTTTTCTCCCTCTGTTTATTCTTTTATATCCTATGTTTCATGTCTTCTGATTAAGCTATGACTATGATTTCCAGGGAGGAATCACTTCATCAGACCTTGCTACTAAAGCTTTAGAAGCTCATCGGGCACAGGTTGTTGGCCAAGCTTTGCCTGGCGTTCCCTTTTGGGAGCTAGGACCAGAAAGTAGATATCCAGGGATTCCATATATTGTTTTTCCAGGTAAAAGCTTATCTTATATATGTTTGTATGGACGAAGGTAGAGGATGTTCTCACAATTTAATGAATTTCTCTACCTACATGCCTAACCCCCGCGTCCTACAGGTAATGTTGGTGACGATAATTCTCTGGCAGAAGTTGTGCAGAAGTGGTCTCATCCACCATTGAAGTCTTCGACAAAAGAGCTACTTGTTGTAAGTGTCTTATTTGGAAACATGTGTTTATGGATTTTTACAATAATACATTTCTTCTTCCTGAAGAATGCGGAAAAGAGTGGGTATGCTGTTGGTGCATTCAATGTATACAATCTTGAAGGGGTAGAAGCAGTTATTGCCGCTGCAGAAGCTGAAAAAAGTCCTGCCATCTTGCAGGTAGGGATGAGTTATTCAAATGTCTTTAGAACAACTGTCTTTAGAAGCGTCATAACGTCCATGGACGTGACGCCTCAAGTTATATTTATTGATTGAAATATAAATTATGTGAAAACCCACCCTTTTCTGAATTTTGGTCAAAGTTGCCTGCTGGTAAACTTTTTCTAGTTCACAAAAGCTATTGTTAGTTAGTTGAAAAAATTTAAGTTTGCTACATTGTCCTGTTACAGTCTGCTTTGTTTCTTCACTGTATCTTTTCCAAATGTATTCACAGAAGCAAATTGAAAAGATGTTCTGAAACAGTCTGGTCATCATGTCCATTATTCTCCTCAAGACAGCACTACACCTATCATCTCTAGTTTCTTTGGAACCTTTTTCCACTCTAGGATACTATCTGATTAACAGAGAAACAAAGACCTTTATAGCGATATTTATGTCCCTCTCTGCGCCTCAAAAACTAATGCGTCAGTCTGCCCAAGACCCACTCAACTGAGCTTGTTGAGTCATGCACGTGCCCCTAAACAATGTAGAAATAAATATGGATTACATTTAAAAAGTGCATGGATATGTCTACATTAATAGAAACTAATACTTAATATACCTCTTTTATTGCCCAATCCCTATCCCGCATACTAATGAACATTCGCTCTGGAAGTGAAAGGAGAATAAGTAGGAAATGCTGTAATGAGCTTTGCAAGCACAGGAAACAATGAACCAATGAGATGAATTTCTCCTAGTCCATTTATATCACGTCCAAGCAATATGGGATTAACTTTTCATGGTTTATCAACCCTTGGTCTTTATCACAAAAATATCATAAATACGGTGCCAGCCGTACAAGAGAAAATATCAGCTCTAGTATCACAATGCTGCAACAGACCGTCTTTCAAGAAAGCTGAAGGAGAAAGCCACAAGGGATTAAATAAGGCTGTCGTATTTTAAGCACCAGGGAACAGGATTTAAAGCCCTGGTGCTTAAAATACGTGCATAGAAGTTTTCTTCTTCTGTATGATGATTAGGTTGGAATTTTTCTTCTTGTAGGATACTCCTTACTGATACACATTCTAGAATAGTGCATTGCTTTGCTCAAATTCTATGTAAAATCTACGAAACAATTAATGATGTCTTGTTCGATTTTACCAAATAATAAATTCCGTAGTGTCATTATCCTTTTTTTTCCAAAATAGCGAAGATTAGTTCAAATCCGCATATTTTATCTTTCAGGTGCATCCTGGCGCTCTGAAGCTTGGAGGACACCCTCTAGTTGCTTGTTGCATCTATGCTGCTGAACGAGCCAGTGTAAGTAGAATTCAAATGAAGACTAGTATGATAAAAACTGCTTTTCGGAAGCCTAACGTTACCAGATTGAAAGCATCATCGTGCTAGTATTTGGCATCATGGGTATGCTATATATAGGACATGCATTGACAGGTGCTTGGGGGCCGATATGCTTACTGAGGAGTTTAACAAAATCCAACTTCATATTTATAAAAAAAAAAAAAAAAAAAAAAAATTGTCTGCACTTACCTCAGTATTCTGATACAGATCGTGTCCTTTTGTCACTTGTCCTTTTCTTTTGCCATCTCTTTTAGCTCCTAGAAGAATCCAGTACACGCACTGGAAAAGTTTCGTTCTTTATAGTGCCATACATGAAGAAGGTTAATATAATTCATATAAAGAAGAAGCATCTAGTTTTGGTTTAGCAAAAATAGTTTAACATACTATCCCAATCATCAACTTTCTGTTTTTATCAATTTTAGAGTGTTAACATAAGATAGGGAAAAAAAAAACCACTCACTCTATGTGCTTTTATAATGAATATGCTCCAGTAAAAGTACATGTTACTCGTTATTAAAGGTAGATAGGTGAGAAATACGTCTTTTCGTGCCTTTAAGTGTTGCTCCAGGAGTTACCATACTCTATATGTTCACTTGTAACATCTCAACTAAGATCAGTCTCTTTTTAGGATGAACCTCTTCCACGTTGTACACATGTGTACCATGTTTGTCACTGTTTTTCAACTGCGTATGGACTTGTGAAACTTGCCAGATCTCGACTCCTTTCAACTTAATTCATTCCAAGTTGAAATGGCATAGAATGTCTAAACAAAAGCTAGAGCCTCCCTTAACAAATCATCTATGGATGTCTGGTTCCGTTCAGTGAGATCCTTGGACTTGCCCTATGTTTTTCATGGCAGGTGCCTATTGCTGTTCAGTTTGATCACGGGAGTTCTCAGCAGGAGCTGTTGGAAGCCCTTGAATTGGTATATTTTGCTAACTATATCACTCTTGTTGTAGTTCAATAACTACTTTATTGTCTATTATAGCCACATTAGAACCTATTTAAATAGCATCTTCATCTTCCACCATTGACTACGCTGTGTCTTTTGGACGAGCACAAGGAGATGCTGCTAAGTCTCTACTCACTGCAGGGTTTCAATTCAATCATGGTTGATGGTTCACATCTTCCTTTTGAGGAGAACATCTCCTTTACAAAGCACATATCGTCCTTGGCACATGCAAGTAATATAATGGTGGAAGCTGAACTTGGACGACTGTCAGGCACGGAAGATGACTTGACTGTTGAGGATTATGAAGCGAGATTAACTGATATGACTCAAGTAAATATCTCCATAGAATATATTTTTCTTTTGTTAAAGATCAGTGGAGATTGGTAACTTGGCTCCACGTGTTTCAGGCTGAAAAATTCATTGATGAGACGGGAATTGATGCTTTGGCCGTGTGCATCGGAAATGTCCACGGAAAATATCCAGCTTCTGGCCCAAATCTGAGACTTGACTTACTGAAGGTTTACTACTATCTTCTGATGCACAACTGGGATATATTTATATTTCAATAGATAAGCAAGAATAACTTCCACGCGTCTCAGCTCACACTCTCTACAGCCTTTTGGATGTTTGGCTGACAGTAGATGTTCCTTGAGCTTCACAAACCTACGGTTCACACCCACCACCCTTAGCTTCTAGGTGTATTTAATCCAGGACAATCCGTTGACTAGATGATGAACTTTTTTTAAGAGATGTTTCTTTCACATTCAGCCACCTTAATTTTTTTCAGTTAGATCAGCAGTCAGTTTCACTTTCACTCAGGAAAAAAAAAAAATTATATATATATATATATTCACCATAGATGTGATGATCACAGGCTCCAACAGGTGGACATCTAGTTCAAAGCCATGGCCACTCAGGTTGTCCATCATTCATATATACCTGCAGCTTCTATTATAAAACTGACTGATAAATCATGGAACTGTACCAGACACAGAAGTTGACCGAATTTATTCTTGAAAGCTTTAATTTTCACCATGTAGAAAGAAGTGATTGCCTCTCTAATTTAGTCATCCTCTTGTTAGATCATCATGTTCACACTACTCATGTAGACCCAATTCTTTTCCTTAATATCCAGTATTATTTTGAGTATCTCAATAAGCTTTGTGCACTAAGATAGTTCGCTAAAAGTTCACTCTTTGCAACTCTTGATTTTTTTTTCTTTTCTTTTATTCTTTCAATCTATGAACCCCGACCACTGTAGCATGTCAAACAGGCTTGTAGACTTGCCACACTTCTGCTCTCTAGTGGTTCAATCTGTCCGAAAATTTTATGATTCAGTTCACAGATGATCGTCTTTACCTTTTAGAGCCATCGTTGACTTTCAGTTCATGTATGTTCTGATTTTGAGAATTTTTTTACCAAAAATCGCTCAGAGTATCGGTGCGTTCTTGTTGACAGGATCTGCATGAACTAGCTTCAAAGAAAGGGATCGCTCTTGTTCTCCATGGAGCATCCGGATTGCCAGAGGAACTTATAAAGGTCAGACCGCCCCTTCATCCCTCCCATGTATCGGTAGAGACTCGTACAGTGATGGGAATCGGATTCCTGCTTTTTCCGCCAAAATCATAGCCAGTGCTTGCATATTCTGGGTATAAAAAAAATGTTCTGATGAGATTCCGGTCACCATTTGAAGAAATAAAGCCGCGTTCTGGAGATCAGGGAAAGGTCAAACACTGATAGCTGGAATCGATTCCCTGTTCGAGAGCATCTACAAGGGTAAATCATGTCGCAGTGATTCGTTAGGTTCACAGGTCCTGGGTTGTATATATTAGGCAAGAACATTTGTAGGCTCTAACCCACTCCCATTCATACATAGCCCATCAAATCGGATCTGATCTTCAATCTAACAAGAGTTAGCCCTCACCCCAGTCTGACACAGAATCCTTCCGATTCCCATCGCCTTGCCCTAGATTTTATTCCATAAAAAGCTTCATTTTTTATGTGCATATATATATATATATATATATATATATATATAGAGAGAGAGAGAGAGAGAGAGAGAGAGAGAGAGAGAGAGCCCGCTTCTGAGTGGGATATGAGGAGGGGGGGCGACCAAAGCTAACGAGGGTCTGTGATGTACAGGAATGCGCAGGAGCTGGCGTCCGGAAGTTCAATGTGAACACGGAGGTCAGAAACGCCTACTTGGAGTCTCTGAGGAAGCCCAGCAAAGATCTGGTCCACGTTATGTCCTCGGCAAAGGATGCCATGAAAGCCGTCGTCGTGGAGAAGATGCGCCTCTTCGGCTCCTCCGGTAGGGCTTGATTATTTGCCCCAACTGGTAACTTTTTTATTCCCTTCTACCGCCTGCATTGCTATTTATTCATCGGCCGAAAACAAGAAACCATGAATCCTCCCTAACAATAAATAAATAAATAAATATTTCTTTATATTAAAAATAGAAATACCATGATCCGAACATTATATTTCTTGAATAGCCCTTGTATAAAAGTGTTGTTAAATCAGAGACGAAACCATGAATCTCCCTCTCCTCGACGGGCAAGTGATGGCCTGTGCTTCGTTCAGTGATTACATGACCCACGACGATGACCACACACTGGAAGTCGGAAAAGAAGGCCAAAACTTTTCAAAACTGATATCTATTGATGTCCGACAATTCACGCATTTTACCAAGTTCTTGATGCCAAAGAAAGAAAAGAACCGCGATCCAAACATTTTACTCATTCCATCTTCAATCGACCAGAGACGAAGATAAGAGGATCGTATCATACACCAACGTGCATATAATTCAAGAACATGAAGCAACCTCTGTTTTCTAGAACTAGAAAATAATAGTGCGCGATTCCGACAGCATGGTCATCAATGATCGTATCCTTATCTGCCCTGATGATTTGAGCTTATAGCATCATATGTGTGCATACATACAATTAGTGTCAGTAATTCAAGTACGCGAAGCTATTTATGTTTCCAGAATTAGAAAATAATCAGTGGGTGATTCCAACATCAACTGAAGGTCGATTGCATTGTGGTGATACAGAGCACTGAGTGTCAGAATAAAGTAGGAACCGGAAACATGAATGAGATAGCCAGACGAGGAGGAAGAACATATTTATCCCAAAAGTCCTCAACAAAACAACAAGATCTACAAGAAGCATCTTCAAACCTCTCTCACCCTCTCAGCTCCGCCGCAAAATCCCTCAACTCTACTTCTTTCCCTTCTTCCCAGCCCTGCTTACCAGAAAAAGTATTAACCCAGATTCAGTCATACCTAAAAAAGGAAAGGAATCGAGCCCAGCTAGCTTACCCGGCAGTCTGAGGAGGCGCGGCTGATTCCGGCGCAGACGCAGGAGCCGATGGCTTCTCCCCGGGGCCCTGTTGAGCTCATCCCCGGTAAGTCGTAGAACAACAACACAGAGCAGCACTGGGGTGGTAGATGGGGGAGGGGAGGAGAGAGACGTACCTGGGCCAGACGCTCTTCCCTTCGAGCGATCTTCCTCTCCCTGCTAGCCTTGCTCTTCGCCCTCTTTGCCTCGAACTGATCAGACAGGGTCTTCTCCCTGGCCTTCTCCGCCTTGGACTTGTGAATGCTCTCCATCAGCACCCGCTTATTCTTGAAGACGTTACCCTTCACCTTCATGTACATGTCGTGGTACATGTGCTTGTCGATCTTCTTCGACTCCCGGTACTTGCGAAGCAGCCGTCGCAGGACCCTCATCCTCCTCATCCAAAGGATCTTCGTGGGGAGCCTCGCCTCCCTGGTACCCTTCCTCTTACCGTACCCCGAGTGCCTCCCCTTCCTCTTCGCCTCCATGGCTCGCCGGGCCCGAGAACGGGAGTGGATCTTCGTCGGCTTCCTGATGACAAACCCATCCTTCACGAGCTTCCTTATGTTCTGCCCTGTTCGTCGGACGAGAGCAAAGGGAATGAATAATCATGCACATGTTCCAGATCATCCGTGCAAACAAATACGATTAAAACAGACAATGAGAAATTAGGGTTCGTCTTCTTGATTAGATCCATATATGTCCAGCATGATAAGAAGGAAAGATTGAAAAGCAATGCTTTTTTATTAAAAAAACAGACATGAAAAAAAACAGATCGATTTTGAAAAAATGATTTTTTTTAGTTTTTTTTTTTAAAAGGAAAAGCCTTACTTGAATTGGCCATGGAAATTTCATTTGTCTCATTTGGGTCTAGCCAAACCTTGCCCTTCCCACATTTGAGGACACTGGCAGCCAAACGCTTTTGCAACTTCAACGACACCATTGTCGCAGACTTAAAAGAAGAAGACTACTGCAAAGACAAGTAAAAAAATCAACATGATGGTCGCAATTTTTGAATTTCATGCGATTAAATAGAAGAGAAATAGCAAGAAATTGTCAACATAATTGAAACTAAAAGTTAACGTAATAAATTACCCACCAAGCAGGTAAATAAATTAATTTCGTAACACGGTTACCAACACTTTATTCTTAAAAATGCCAAATACAACGTAAATATTTTCAATAGCTACACAACATATGGGTAAAATGACACGGATAATTTCCATCCGAGGAAAGGTGCCCCTTACTAGAGGTTTTTAAAAAAAAAGTAAGAATATTATAACCATGCACTATGTTTCTGAATCTCCATCTAGGAGAGAACAAATCATATCATGAACTGGTAATCAAAAAGGTAGAACGACTCGAAGCTGGAAAAATGAATGTTCTCCAGTCATTCGAAGCCATATGTACAACAGAAAAGGAGCTATCCCCTAAAGAGGGAAGAAACTAAATCAATTACTTGGATACCTCTCGCACGCCCTAGCAATACTGTAGACGACAGAAATATGCATTGAAATTAAAAGGGTTGACATTCTGGAGAATACACGATGTGGTTAACCATGACGCATATACGTTGCTTCATCATTACCTGGCTTTAATTGATATTAAAAAAGACTAGCACAAAAAATAGGCAAAAGTTCCCACGCGATGATTCATTGATTGATTTAAATTTGGAATCTTATTAGCTGGGCATCAGAAAAGAGAGAAACAAAAAAATTGCTTCTTAAAATCGTCAGGCACAAAAAACAGGATCACAGAGATAGAGAGAGAGAAGGACAGACTCCACCAGAATAACAACAAAAATTAGAAAATCATAAAAAAGAAAATAGCGGTGATTCGAAACATAACCTAGTGGAGAAATTCTAAACACACTGCAAAGTTAATATTCTTCTCGATCTACGTTTCAGGGAACGAAGGCAACAACAGACAGATGAAGTCACTCAAGAACAGACCAAAGCAGCGCGGATGGAAAAGACGGGAAATCTAGGGAGGACGAAGCGCCTCACTTATGGCCATCACGAGAGCAACCAACGAGCTTTGAATAATCATGAAACATCCACAAGAGGAAACCTCATTTCACAAAACCAGCACACAGAAGCGGGATGGACAGACACACGGTAGGAGGAAGAACAAGGCGAGACGAAGACTGACGGAAGACGTACCAGGGAGCCACAGGGGAGGTGTTCCCGCTGGACTGGAGGCGGCAGCAGCGGGAGCCTTAGAGCTAGGGTTTCAATATATATGGCCCCCCCACCTCAGCGAGCCAGAGAAACTGTGACCGTCGGATATCGGATCTGCATCTCGTTTTCGGATAGACCTCCAAATGGGCCTCTTCCCCAAAGCCCAAAAAATGATGGGCCCACAGTGATTAGACCATCCACAAACCACACCATCGATCTTATTTTACATTATATTAACACCTCACGTCGGGCCCAATATTGTTAAGGCCCAAAATATAGTTGGGCCGGTACAGGCCTAAGTGGGCCCAACCCAGTCCAGCAGTGGCCCTACGCGGCCACTCGCTTGAGACCCCCCACATCCCCAGGCTGTAACTGGGCTTTGTATAAGAAAAAATGGGCCTCCAGTTTAGCATAGCCCAGCCCATTTGACATCCCAAGTGAAAATAAATATCAAAATTATTATCGAAATTGAATTATGACGTCATCATATATATATATATATATAGATAGAGAGAGAGAGAGAGAGAGAGAGAGAGAGAGAGAGAAAGAGAGAAAGAAGGAAACTTGAAAGCCTATCTCAGAACATCACATACCCAGACGACAGCCCCCCAGATACCATTGAATACTCCATCCACTTAGAACCCACCCAGTCAACGACTGGAGTGGACGGAGGGACAAGAAGTCAACGCCACCAACCAGAGGAACGTCAGAAAGCGGTTCGACCCGCATTTAAAACCGAGGGGCGGCGCAGCGCCACAAGGTGGGGAAGGGGCGGAGAATCAGAGGCCTCTCCACTGTTACTCCGGAGCCGAGAACAGGCAAGGAAGACAGCGATGCAGTGATCCGATCACATTGGAATCAGGAAAAGAGGAGCAGCTTGCTTGCATAATGTACATGCAATTACAGCACAATAATCAAACACAGAGGGGGTTGGGGGATCCATCCATCCATCCATCCATCCATATCAGCTACACTAATCCTCGAGCTAGAACGACGGGAAGAGAGGAGAGAGGCTCAAGAGGCCGACCAAGCTCGCCGTGTTCAAGCTCCGACAGCAGCCACCGCGGGTTTCACCTTGGGCGGCCGGCCGCGGCCGCGCTTTGCACCGGCGGGCGCCGGAGCAGCAGCGCGGGCGGCCTTCTTCGGCGGACGGCCCCGCCGCTTGGGCAGCCCCTCCGCCGCCTTCGCGGCGGCGACGGCGAGAGGGTCCTTGGGCTTGGGAGGGCGGCCGCGAGGCCTCGGCGGCGGAGGAACGTAGCCGGCGGGGAGGGGCTCCTTGGGCTTAGGAGGGCGGCCGCGGCCGCGCTTCGGAGGGGAGTTGGGATCGGGGCGCATGTAGTTGTTCTTCGAGAAGACGAGCTCGCCGGCGTCCTTCATCTTGTTCAGGTGATGGGAGAGCAGCATGGAGTGACCGGTGGGGAGGTCGCCGTGTTTTGATTCGATGAACTTGGAGATCTTCGCCTTGCTCGATCCGTTCTTGTCGTTCAGCGTGTCGATCGCCGTGAATATCATCTGCTCGAACATCAAATTCATCAAATAATATAAATAGGGACATACTCGTGTAATCGTCCTTCTATGGATATCATCATGCAACAATACTGTGAGAAGCGGACTTCTCGCTTATTTCTAAGAGAATAAATTAATCTTCTACAGCGGGTGTTATCCAAAATGGCTGATGACTATCTTCGAATTAATTATTCTAGATGAGATCTTAACCGCGGCAAGCTCAGCTATTTGGAATTTCAGCTCCCTCCAGATGATGGGATAATTAATCGCCGCGCAAATGCATCCTTGTTTCATCGAGTAAAGAAAAACGTAGAGTAGAAAACACGCGATTCCTCGATAAGAACACCAAAAGAAAGCGACGATCCAAAAAAGAAAAAATCAAACAGTTTCTTCCACATCAAATCCGAACAACCCGATCGGATGCGAGGACGAATGATGCAGAAACCTCCACATCCACCTCCCCCTCTACCGCGAAAAATCTGAACACCGAGTGGAACCGGCACGAAATTGAGATGGAAGACCTTGTTCCCGAGAATCCAGCCCTGAGAGCTTACCTCGGGATACGGTGGAAGCGCCGGTTTCCCGTCATCAGCCATCACCGCTGACAGAGACGCCGCCCTGGACTCCGCGGCGTCGTGGAGATGCCTCTCAGGTCCCCTGCTCGTATGCCACCACCAGTTACCCCACAGCTGGAGAGAGAGAGAGAGAGAGAGAAGAGAGAGAAAGTGGGGTTTTTGCTAAGACGTGGGTGGGTTCGGGGATTTAAAAAGGCGGGATATCGACGGCCGGAGGGCGAGAGGAAGTATCATATACGATTTCATATTTAAAATATAATGCGAAAGAGGAAAAGAGGAGATAAATGAGGTAATAAAATAATGCAAACGAAGCAGGAGAAAAAAAAGGATCCTTGATCCGACGTCCACAAAGAGGGGAGATGAGAAGCATCCGACGGTGTTTAATGCCTGTGGAGCTTCACCTGGATCGATGACGTGGCCATTAGACTTGACTTGCGCCCCCCTTTACTTGCCCCCACTCCGAGATGTGGTCACCGGCCTACGTCGGGGCAGCTCGAAGGTGACCGTAACCTGCGTACGGCAAGTGGCATCATATTCCCTTCTCCGAGAACCAACTAGGTCCGTGTCGCTTTGTACTGAATAATCCGCGTGACTGTCGGGGAATGGTAGTTGATACGAACATGACCAACATGCTGTATCTAGCCAGCGCAGCATTCGATCCGCAGCGATGCGCACCTTATCTCAACTCACATGGGGACCGATGAGCTGGGACCATAGGGCCACTCTGGATATTTCCTTTTGTCACGTGGATTTCAAATTTCAAATCAGCCCCTGCTGCCGACGGAGATTCGAAAGCAATCTCTCTCTCTCTCTCTCTCTCTCTCTCTCTCTCGCTACCCTTTTGGGATACACAGCGAACCCTGTTGGTGTTTCAGTACAGACCTGACGGCCTTGAGACGGGAAAGAAATCAACGGCCTTCATGTGATCTGGCATGAAAGATTCGCAGAACTGAAGTGATATACGCCGTTGATTTGTTTAGACAATTATCCTTCTTAATTAATTTCTCGTGAAATCAACGGCCGTGATGGGATCGGAAAACGGCCCACGACAGAAGCTTCCACGTCTGCCGAACCTAAACGTTGACTGGAGGTGTTCTATTGGGCCGGCCCAAATTCAAATATCACAAGAGGCAAACTGGGCCACTTGTTCAAGAACCTTGAGCCTGGGTTTCGGTTCTGTCGGAAGCCCAATAATTTAAAATGATTTTATATTCAATGACGGGACAAAAAGGAAATAAATTGACTTTGATAAAATATGAAAATAATTGAATAATATATTTTATTCATTAATTTTCATAACATAAAATTGTCTTAATTGATGATGACGACCAGCTGGCACATATGGTAGTGGGAGACAGCAGTCAAGTAATGGCTTTGTTCTCCATAAATCTATTGTCCCTTCTTATTCTTCTAAATTCCATCTGCATCCTCCTCCAATAACCATGTTCATAGGAGGAACATGAAAGAAATAAACATGTTATGGAAAGAAATAGAAGGAAAAGTAAATGAGTATAAATAATGGTAGATATGACATAAACAATACAAGGAGTCAAAAGAAAAATTAATGACCAAAATGTACATTCTCAAATTAACATATCATACTTCATGAGTGAGATTGTTGAGGAAAGAGATCACCACTACACCCCACCCACATGGAAAGAGATCTAAGAGGAATAGTCTAA